GACCTCCTCGCAAAATATATTCTCCTGATAATATAAAATAATAAGAAGCGAATTTTCGAAAATTTTCGCGCTTGCGTTATTAGGAGAACATGATTTGTGAAGAGGTCATCAACGCATCGTCGACCTCTTCGCACAATATATTCTCCTGATCATATAAATTATAAGAAACGAATTTTCGAAAATTTTCACGTTTGCGTTATTAGGAGAACATGATTTGCAAAGAGGTCATCAACGCATCATTGACCTCCTCGCACAATATATTCTCCTAATAATATAAATTATGAGAAACGAATTTTCGAAAATTTTCGCGCTTGCGTTATTAGGAGAACATGATTTGTAAAGAGGTCATCAACGCATGATCGACCTCCTCGCAAAATATATTCTCCTGATAATATAAAATAATAAGAAACGAATTTTCGAAAATTTTCACGCTTGCGTTATTAGGAGAACATGATTTGTGAAGAGGTCATCAACGCATCGTCGACCTCTTCGCACAATATATTCTCCTGATCATATAAATTATAAGAAACGAATTTTCGAAAATTTTCACGTTTGCGTTATTAGGAGAACATGATTTGCAAAGAGGTCATCAACGCATCATTGACCTCCTCGCACAATATATTCTCCTGATAATATAAATTATAAGAAACGAATTTTCGAAAATTTTCACGTTTGCGTTATTAGGAGAACATGATTTGTAAAGAGGTCATCAACGCATGTTCGACCTCCTCGCAAAATATATTCTTCTGATAATATAAATTATAAGAAACGAATTTTCGAAAATTTTCACGTTTGCGTTATTAGGAGAACATGATTTGTAAAGACGTCATCAACGCATCATCGAGCTCCTCGCAAAATATATTCTACTGATAATATAAAATAATAACAAACGAATTTTCAAAAATTTTCACGTTTGCGTTATTAGGAGAACATGATTTGTAAAGAGGTCATCAACGCATCATCGACCTCCTCGCAAAATATATTCTCCTGATAATATAAATTATAAGATACGAATTTTCGAAAATTTTCGCGCTTGCGTTATTAGGAGAACATGATTTCCCCGGTGGGACATACCAAGAAAGAGCCCTGGGGTGCTGCCCGAATCTCAACCCCTCTTGGGGAAAGGAGGGTGGCCCACCCTGGGGCTCGGGGGACCGGGGCTCGAGTCTCCCGCTCGAGCCCCGGCCCCGCCCCCCGGAAAACACCGATGAGGGCGTGGCGTGGAGGTGATGCCCCTCTGCGCCACAACTAGAGCAGAAGCCGCCATACAGGCGGAGTGGGCGGCCCCCCCCCCCTCGGGGGGGTTCGCCCACGAGGTTAGGTCGTGTGGGTGGGGGGAGGACGTCCGGTTGACATCGCTACGGCGCACCCGGTCCTCCTCCCAAACACCCGAGTAGGCATCCGGTGGAGTTTTAGTGGGTATACTGGTCCTTCAGACCAGGAATCCCACATAACCCGCCCTCCCGCCCCGGGGTGTTCGGGTATCCATAAAGGATTTCTCCACCGTTATCAAAAAAAAAAAAAAAAAAAAAAAAAAAAAAGGAGAACATGATTTGTAAAGAGATCATCAACGCATCTTCGACCTCCTCGCAAAATATATTCTCCTGATAATATAAAATAATAAGAAACAAATTTTCGAAAATTTTTACGCTTGCGTTATTAGGAGAACATGATTTGTAAAGAGGTCATCAACGCATCTTCGACCTCCTCGCAAAATATATTCTCCTGATAATATAAAATAATAAGAAACGAATTTTCGAAAATTTTCACGCTTGCGTTATTAGGAAAACATGATTTGTAAAGAGGTCATCAACGCATCATCGACCTCCTCGCAAAATATATTCTCCTGATAATATAAAATAATAGGAAACGAATTTTCGAAAATTTTCACGCTTGCGTTATTAGGAGAACATGATTTGTAAAGAGATCATCAACGCATCATCGACCTCCTCGCAAAATATATTCTCCTGATAATATAAATTATAAGAAACGAATTTTCGATAATTTTCACGTTTGCGTTATTAGGAGAACATGATTTGTAATGAGGTCATCAACGCATCATCGACCTCTTCGCACAATATATTCTCCTGATCATATAAATGATAAGAAACGAATTTTCTCAAATTTTCACGTTTGCGTTATTAGGAGAATATGATTTGTAAAGAGATCATCAACGCATCATCGACCTCCTTGCACAATATATTCTCCTGATAATTTAAATTATAAGAAACGAATTTTCGAAAATTTTCGCGCTTGCGTTATTAGGAGAACATGATTTGTAAAGAGGTCATCAACGCATTATCGACCTCCTCGCAAAATATATTCTCCTGATAATATAAAATAATAAGAAACGAATTTTTGAAAATTTTCATGCTTGCGTTATTAGGAGAACATGATTTGTAAAGAGCTCATCAACGCATCGTCGACCTCCTTGCAAAATATATTCTCCTGATAATATAAATTATAAGAAACGAATTTTCGAAAATTTTCGCGCTTGCGTTATTAGGAGAACATGATTTGTAAAGAGGTCATCAACGCATCATCGACCTCCTCGCAAAATATATTCTCCTGATAATATAAAATAATAAGAAACGAATTTTCGAATATTTTCACGCTTGCATTATTAGGAGAACATGATTTGTAAAGAGGTCATCAACGCATCATCGACCTCCTCGCAAAATATATTCTCCTGATAATATAAATTATAAGAAACGAATTTTCGAAAATTTTCACGTTTGCGTTATTAGGAGAACATGATTTGTAAAGAGGTCATCAACGCATCATCGACCTCTTCGCACAATATATTCTCCTGATCATATAAATGATAAGAAACGAATTTTCTCAAATTTTCACGTTTGCGTTATTAGGAGAATATGATTTGTAAAGAGATCATCAACGCATCATCGACCTCCTTGCACAATATATTCTCCTGATAATTTAAATTATAAGAAACGAATTTTCGAAAATTTTCGCGCTTGCGTTATTAGGAGAACATGATTTGTAAAGAGGTCATCAACGCATTATCGACCTCCTCGCAAAATATATTCTCCTGATAATATAAAATAATAAGAAACGAATTTTTGAAAATTTTCATGCTTGCGTTATTAGGAGAACATGATTTGTAAAGAGCTCATCAACGCATCGTCGACCTCCTTGCAAAATATATTCTCCTGATAATATAAATTATAAGAAACGAATTTTCGAAAATTTTCGCGCTTGCGTTATTAGGAGAACATGATTTGTAAAGAGGTCATCAACGCATCATCGACCTCCTCGCAAAATATATTCTCCTGATAATATAAATTATAAGAAACGAATTTTCGCAAATTTTCACGTTTGCGTTATTAGGAGAATATGATTTGTAAAGAGATCATCAACGCATCATCGACCTCCTCGCACAATATATTCTCCTGATAATTTAAATTATAAGAAACGAATTTTCGAAAATTTTCACGCTTGCGTTATTAGGAGAACATGATTTGTAAAGAGGTCATCAACGCATCATCGACCTCCTCGCAAAATATATTCTCCTGATAATATAAAATAATAAGAAACGAATTTTCGAATATTTTCACGCTTGCATTATTAGGAGAACATGATTTGTAAAGAGGTCATCAACGCATCATCGACCTCCTCGCAAAATATATTCTCCTGATAATATAAATTATAAGAAACGAATTTTCGAAAATTTTCACGTTTGCGTTATTAGGAGAACATGATTTGTAAAGAGGTCATCAACGCATCATCGACCTCCTCGCAAAATATATTCTCCTGATAATATAAATTATAAGAAACGAATTGGTTTGTGGGCTCTTAATGCTCTTTACTTAATTATCATGTTGTTAAATATTTTTCTATATTCGAGTGTCACCGTGTGAATGAAGGCAAAGCTATGACATGTATAGCCGCTTGCTATACGTCGTCAAGGCTAAACATACATATTAATTGATAATTCTCTGCCGAAATATTTTGCGTACTATATATACACGCGACAGTTTAAGTTATAGAAGTATATTTTATTTTAAATTAATTAATTATGAACGATTGATGTATCACGGAACAATCGCGATATATCGCAAACCACCATCATGTTTCGGAGAGCGACCCGCCCATCGCTTCGCCGCGATCGTAGTATCTATATTTAATTAATTAATCGAACGATTACATTCCGATTCATCTTTTCGTTCGGTATATATAAGTATTTAATCAATTAATCGAACGATTACATTCGGCTTGCCATTTTACTCGCCGCGTTACAGTGAATATCGTGCGAGATAGGCAGGCAACATGCGCGGCGTCGTGCACGATTTCGACCGTCCGCGCGCAGACGAAAAACAGCGGATTTATATCTCGACTTCCAGACGCGATTTCGTTCTTTTTGCATAAAATTCTACACCATTTCGCGGCACTACCGTTTAAATCTCGTCCCGATCGCTTGAAGAGCGGCTGACTTACAGTGAATATCCGAAATTTGCTTCTTGGACTCACACTTAAATGTAATATTTATACATATAATATAAATATATAATATAAATATATAATATAAATAATAGCAAGGTAAAGAGAGAACATATTAATATTTTTATATAATAAATTATTATTAATTAAATTATTTATATTTTTATTTATATTATTTATATTATCAGAGGGACATATATGTTATCCTCTGAGAACCTTCGTGGACATTTGTTTTGTAGTTCATATTTTGTTGTTAATGTTCATAGAGGGAGTATCACTTCCAGGGATAAAGCGAGCCACGACATCTCTCAGTCTCTCTGTGCACGCTCGGTCGTCTTCGGTCAGCTCCAATCAGCGTTGAGCGCATGCGCATCGCATCACCTCCACGCTGTTGACAGATATGACCAGAGAGATCTGCACTATCGGACGCCATTTTTGTTCCATCTTATTGAGATCAAAATTGCGGTACTTTGTTAATCTAGTGACTTTAGTTCATGGTTTATTCTAGCGACCTCTATACATATTTAACTTAACCTAATCAGACATAAATACATAACCTATCCGACATTGTTTCGCAATAATTCGGTAACGCGTTAAAGTGTATAACGAATACTTTTTTGTAATAAAATATTTATATAAAATATTATTGACGGAAAGAAATTTGATAAAGAACATGGCAGTAGTGATAGAAACCACTATAGGAGATTTTACAGTAGATCTCTATATCGATGAACGTCCTCAAAGTAAATATATTTAATGTTTTCTCTCTTGTGATAGAGAAAATTTTTTTTCATATATTTGTTATTAATTTACAAATTGGACAATTTTTTTACATTAAATATAATTAAACACTGTATTATTTTTACATTAAATATAATAAAAACTACATTAAATAAATGTTTTTAACATTAAATATAAATATAAAAATATACACATGAACATAAACTTATATATGTGTATATAATTAGAAAAAATACAAATATATATATTACATAACTATATCTTGTTTTTTACAGCTACGCGGAACTTTTTAAAGTTGTGCAAGATCAAGTACTATAATTGGAATCTTTTTCATTCGGTGCATACTAATTTCATTGCACAAACCGGAGATCCTACTGGTACTGGGAAAGGTGGAGAAAGTGTGTACGGAATCGTATTGGGCGAAAAAGCTCGTTATTATGAAGCCGAGCATATGCCAAAGATTAAACATAACAGGATAGGTCTGTTATCTATGGTGAATTGTGGCAACAATATGCTGGGTTCCCAATTTTTTATCACGCTAGGACCGGAACTCCAGTCTTTGGACAATGAGCATTGCGTGTTTGGAGAGATCACAGAGGGATTGGAGATTATTCTCAAGTTTAACGAGGCTATCTGCGATGGCGATCAAAGACCTTATCAAGACATAAGAATATCTCACACTGTCATCTTGGAGGATCCGTTCGACGATCCTGTGGGACTCGTGATTCCCGACAGAAGCCCGGAGCCGACAAAAGAAGCTTTAATGGTATATTACATCTCAGAAATTATAAGTTTTTATCGCATTCTTGTCAATTCTATTCTTATCAATTTGTACTTTATATATTTTTACATTTGTTTTACATAATTAAATTTATAGATAATTTTTCGCTCCTCAAGCCCGATTAATTACTGATTCTTATAGATAATCTTCTCTAATTTATATATAATTTTATTTATTTTGAATAAGTTTTGACATTTTTATTTTTTTAAAAAAAGTTTTTGTCATTTCTAGTTATTAATTTTTATGTATCTTGTATATATTTATAGAGCGACAGAATTGGAGCGGATGAGGCAATCGACGATATGGGTGGTATGACAATAGAAGAACTGACGGAAAATCAGAAGGCCAAGGAAGCAAAAGCAAGGGCCACGATATTAGAGATCGTTGGCGATATACCAGACGCGGATATTGCCCCTCCCGAGAATGTCTTGTTTGTATGTAAATTAAATCCAGTCACGACCGATGATGATCTCGAAATTATCTTCAGCCGTTTTGGCAAGATTATTGGGTATGACTCTCATTTTCATAAAAAAAATGTTGGTTACAAATCGTTGTATCCTTTTTCATGTTGTGAATTAATTATTATAATTTGTTGACTCTTTCACGTATAGTTGCGAAGTTATAAGAGACCACCAAACGGGAGACTCCTTGCAGTACGCATTCATCGAGTTTGCCGATCGTAAAAGTTGCGAAGACGCGTATTTCAAAATGGATAATGTCCTGATCGACGATCGAAGGATACACGTGGATTTCTCGCAGTCTGTTGCCAAAATGCGTTGGCGAGGCAAGGGTAAAGGTATCCGATACTTTGACGAAGATGATAAGAAACGCGATAACTATTCCTTTTTGAAAAAACCTGAGACATCACGCGAAAGGAACAATGACAACGGTAAAGATAGAGAAGACGGAAAGAGAAAGGAGAGCTCGCGCAAGGATCATAGAAAGTATGAGCGCAGGAAAGAAGATAAAGATAAGAGAAAGGAAGACAGATCTTACGATAGATACGAGAATGAACGAAGGGATAGAAGGAAGAAAGAGGAACGACGGGATAGAGATAAGGAGGATCAGAGAAGAGACTACAGCGAAGACAGATCAGAAAGGAGAAATAGGAGGGATGAGAACAACGACTGGAGAAGAGATCACAGCGAAGAGAGATTGGAACGAAGGAGTAAGAGGGACGAGTATAGCGATAGAGAACGTCGACATCGTGATAGCGAGAGAAAAAGGAATGAAGAAGATGATACTAGGTATAAATCGCACAAGTATAAAAAAAAACGGTGAAGGAAAAAACGAGATGATGTTGATGATGTTGAAGAAAATTCAAGAACTTAATATTCCTAAAATATATATATATCATTATTGTGAATAACGTGAAAACATTATGAAGATAATTTTAATTTAATCAAGGAAGAATTTAATAAAGACAAAACATCATTTTTTGATAAAATGAATATTTGTAATTTACATCTTTTTTGTAACGATTCATTTATAGAAAAGATGTTTCTTGCGAATTAAATTATCTCTATGACTACAAACGCGATTTTTACACAAACATATAAAGGCACATTGATAGATTTTATTATCCGAAATGCATAGATATTTGAATTTAGGTATAAATCTTTTCTGTCGCATCATCAAAGTGAATAATGAAATAATTTTAGAGGATCTGTAATTCAAACCTTTTTTTTTACACCAAAATTGTCAGCGTTCTTTCGAGTACAAAATATTCGAAAGCACGATATCCGCAGAGATATCGATCGACGGATGTGCTTTCTTTCTCGCAAATCTCTGAACGACGGAATCGATAAGGCCACGGGAAATTCTACGGATTCTACTGATACCAGCGCAGTAATAAGTAAAGCTATCGAAACCATAGACTTCGTTCGTTAAATAAGGCGCGAAGTCTCCCATAATTTCACGATGAAAAGAAATAGCACGGCTTGTCGCGGAGCAAACGGCCGTATCAAAAATAGAGAGCAAAGAAGAGGGGATCCAGCGGCGAGATACTGTTCGAACATCGCCGTAGATTCGAGGAGGAGTATCGTTTCTCACAAAAGTCCGAGTCGAAAATCTCGCTTCACCTCACATGTGAAATTATTATAGGAACGATTCACATTTCGCTTTTACACGTGGACACGTAGATAATATAGCTACGCAGCCCGTAGTAGGATGCCTTTTCTTTGGTGATGTCGCATTTGGTATTCTTTTGCATATGGAAAGTACATTAATGCATTCCGTCTACCTCGCGATATCGCTTTGCCCGTTTCTCCTCGCGTGGGAGAGACAGGAAGTAGGAAACACATTGGAAACGAAGTCGAGAAGCAGTTCACCTCCCTGAATCAGAAGATTGGAATACAACGGTCATCATTATTACCATCATTCAACAGCGGAATTCTGTCTCGTATTAACGTCTGATAACGTTAATTTCGCCGCTTTTATCAAGAATCTCTTTCGGCGAATTTCGAACCTTGTACTCTTTCGCGGGAAACGTTACCCCATCTCGCACGCTTATTCTTAGAGAGCCTTATTCTATAGCTTCGCTAATCACAATATCCACCTATATCTGTATATTACAAGATTTTCGAAAGAAAGTTCAGTTTAGCTGCGCCGTGTTACGCGTTACATATCAAGGGAGAAAAACAATCGGACTATGGATTATATAAGCGCGCACGCATACATATTAGACGACTACACATAACACACAAATAAATACGGTAAATTATATTAAGAGATATAATATAATACGCTATATATGTGTGTGTGTGATAAAAAATGAATAAAATTCGAGAGTGTAAAGTGATATATCTTTACATGTAAATTATAATTTAAAAAAAAATTATATATATAGTCACACATAATAATTTTATACTTTGGCGTTTTACGTTTATCGCTTCGTTTTTTTTCTTTTTCTTACGCATGAAAAGACTATCTCGATCTCGTTACCAATTATTGTAAAAAGAGATATATTACGGATCTACATATAATCTACGCGCGGATTTCGAGGGAAGATTATTACATTATGGTAAAGCTATGCGAAAAGAAGTATCGTCTCTACGATGATAAAAAAAGAAGGAAGAAATACGCGAATACGCGTATTGCGAGGATTGCAAAGGAAAGTTCGCGATTCAGTCTCCCCTCCTTTGTCGAGGAGTCTAGATCAATTCAGGAGCTTGGGAGTTGTGTTTCTAGCTTGGATAGTTTGTGATCAAATTAAACTATCCACGGATCCCTTTCTCTTCTTTTCAAGAAAGAAAAACCGGAAACTTTTACTCTGTTTAAACAAAAATGTTTCATGGAGATCCGCGAGAAAAGGCACTTTTGACATATCTTTCCTCCCATCCTGTGTTAATAAGGCCGCTGTGATCGGATCGCGAGATGCGACTAAGGAAAACAATTCTTCTTTCCTATTCTACCGAGAGTTACTTTGGTAATGACTAGGTCATACACTACATCGCTACATCGTTAATTATAACTCGTGTGTCGTTCGTATCCGTCTTATGGCTTGCACGATATTGGCTTACTAAACAATGAATAGTAATCGTAATGGCGCGACGCAACTCTAGGCACTTTCTTTTCGTTATGGCCGATTTCTCGCATCGCGTACAATACAATCTTACGTTTACAAGCGACAAATCAATCAAACGAGCATTATATGAACGAATATCAATGAAGTAGTGTTATTTAATAAATAATGTAAAAACAATATATCAAATTATATATTAATTATAAGTTAGAATTTTTTTAAATAATTATAACAAAGTAGTTTATACAAATTTTAGATATAAAAAGAAAGTTAAAATAATTAATAATGATGCTCTTTCGACGCTCATTCATTGATATTCATTTGACGATTCGTATGACGTACTCGGTTGCTTAATTTGGCTTATGTAACTTGCACAGATTACGTTATAAAGTTAACGAAAACTGGAGATTGTCGATCGAAACTCGCTTCGCGAAAACTTAGACTTGCTCGATATCGAATCGATTCTCGAGCCCGTATTTACGCTCGTTACGTTAAAATTTTCCTTATCTTTAAATCTTCAGTCAAAAATCGTATGTGAAGAAGAGAGAAGAAGAATTCAAGACTCATGCATGTAAGAGAGCGACTAGTTTTTTTATATAAAAATTCTGATCCGATTAAATCAATCGTTGAACATAAAAATAGGGATGGTGTGAGGGAAAAGATTGGGCGTGTCTATATGCTTATTTAATTAACGAGCGTCAGAATCCATCCGTGGCAACGATATCGCATATCCTGTGAAGAGAGCATTCTCACACTTTTCAGCCCAACGAATAATTGTTAGAAAACAATATTCGTATACTAAAAAAATATGTGAGGTGCAAGTGATTGGATCGGGAATCGAGCCTTTCCAGGCAACTGTTCTAAATCACTGAGCTATCCAGACCTCACATCTGATGCCGCTATTCATATAACACAGATATGCGACTTCAGAGCGAGATTGGAATCTCACGTGATGGATGCTATGTCGATTGCCACCGAGGATCCAGCAATGAAATCGTGTTAAATCGCCGGTTGAAACACAAGTATTATCATCTCGACTTCTCAAGATCCTATCTTATCTATCTCAAGACTGATGTCTCGGACTAAAAAACGTACGGCGCGTAAATGCGGGCTCAGAATTGAATACGATAGTTGGGACGCGGTATCGACCTCGCCTTGGTCGGCGGCAGGGAGGCCGTCGACGCCTCGCTGCTGGCGGTTCCGCCGGAATCGCGGCCGCCGCTCTTGCTGCTCACGATGCTGCCGGTGCTCTGGCCGCGAGAAGAGGCTCCCGTCTGTTTCCTCAAAGTGTTGCCGCCTGCCTTGAGAGCAGTTACCGAGCAGGACTCGCCGTCACTCAGTCGACCGTATTCGCCGATACGAGGACGAGATGACGACGGGGGCGGAGGCGGTATGAAGGAGCGGCTCTGAATCTCCCTGGGTTTCACTGCGAAATCCGACACGCAGTTATTACTGCCGGCAGCCGAGGATTTCTTGCGACCGCCACCCGTGTCCGCCTGCAACCTCTCGTATTCGTGACCACTGCTGCTTGTCGTGCCGGCTGATTTCTTCAGCGTATTGTTGACCATAAAGCTCTCCACGGGGCTCTTCTTCTTGCTGCGCGCTACCTTCGCAGCGGTGTCGAATCTACCGTACTCGATGCTGCTGCAGTTTCCGGAAGAATCGCGCGTCTTTACGCCGCTCTTCGCGCCGGTTCCGTTCGTCGCGTCCAGCATTCCTGGTCCGGGATCGGACTTTTTGCGCGTCTCCGTGTCGCTCAGTCGACAATAGCGGGAATTGCTGGTCGTTTTAAGCGTCCTCGGCGGTCGCGGTAGCGAGCTGGGTGGTAGACTCCCGGCGCGGCGCGGCTCACCGCCGGCCTCCGATGTCATTCGCTGTCGTTGCGAGCTCCTGCCCTGCTTCTCGAGCAGCATCATGTCTTCGGTTGGTTTGCCACCGCCGTCCGATAGCCGCGAGATAGTGCCCTTCAATCTGGCCGCCGCGTTCGCGAATTCGATTATACTCGGCGATACCACGTCGCCACTACCGGACGAATCATCCAGCAGCCGGCTCTTGCTCGAGGCGGTGCTCGAGGTACCTGTGCTATCTACACCCGCCAGTAGTGGCTTGGGTATTTTTCCTTTTCGCGATGCAGTGCCCGGATTAGAGAATCCTGGAAAACAGCAAAGTGCCCGCTGAAACAAGAAACAAAGAACGCACGGGTTGCAGATAGGAGGCCGGGACCTGGAAAAGGGTTAGTGCTCGCTGTATAAAACGCTCGCACATGCACATTCGAGGATATCTCGGAACGGGTAAGAGGGAAGTTAATGGGCTCAGAAGGGATTAGTGGAGCAATTCGAAAAAAAAGAAAAAGAAAAAAAAACACATAAAAAGAATTAATTTGTGAAATGTAAGATCTATTTAGTTCAACACAATTTCGATACTAAAAAAATGCTAGATTAATTAAAAGAGGAACTTACATACATTTGGGTAATAATAACACGAGTTATTTAAGTGTTATTAAAAGTATTACACGATTATCGATAAATACAAAAGAAAAGAAAAAAAATAGATTGAGATTATTGTGTTATTAAATCACACAATGTTAATTTGCGATTAATCGATTAAATAACTTCAATCAGAAAATAGTCAGTATGTAACGTTTCTCATTCTATAAATGATTAAAACTTTAATCTCGAGATCTTTTCAGTATCTTCTTCAAACGTATATACCAACTATTGACCAATTCAAGACACGCTTTTGATTAAAAAAAAATATAAAATATACTTCTACAGCAACACAAACACAAGAATACCTTCGCATGTTTGACCTGTAATATTTTCACGATCAGCGGTGATTATTAAAATGTTGCTAAAGAACTCAAAGTATGATCCAAAAATTAAAGTATCTCTATTGATTAAAAAAAAAAAAGATAAATATATTAATGCGTAAATGAAATATAAATATTAATGTAAATCGAAGCGCATGTGTGTGTCTAAAAAATAACGGATATGAAACAAAAATAAAATTCAATGAAACATAGTGATGCGATTTATACAAAATTCTCGATCATCACCTAGATATCTGATAGAAAACGATCACAGATGGACACGCTTAAATTATCATACCTTGCTAAGCAATTGAGAGTCTAACTCTTTCAGTTGATCGTCGAGGCTTTTATTGGTCTGTTCAAAGCTGCCCTGTTTTCTATATTTGTAACTGTCTGTGACACCGTAGGAGCCGGTGCTGCCGTAACCACTACCCCCACCGAGTACGCTGCTCACTTTTCGAGAAAAGGAGAGCGAAGGAAATTACCATATAAATATCGTACATTGTGAAAAAGCATCGCAGGGGGATTTCAAATTGTTGAAATCAAATGTGTTTTCGAAGTGCAATTTTTTTACCGAGTTCTGGCGTGCTTGTCAGCGCGGTGTGATGATCCGCCGACGTACTCGAGTGCGACGAGTGTGCGGCAGGATAACTGCCTACACCGCTACTACTACTGCTGTCCGCTTTATCGTACGTGTGTTTTTGCAACACTCTGATCATGGCGTCCCTTTCGGCCAGTTTCGATTCCAAATCTTTCATTCTATCGGATAAGAAACGAATCGATTGATTGACGAAAGATCTGTTTAGTCGTTAGATGACGTACAAATAGATTCATCTTACCTGGATTCAAGATCAGCCAATTTCTTTTGCGCAGCATGCACCTCGTCCATATGTCTCATCTTCTCAGAGCGTGCCTCGGCTATTAATTTCTCCGCGTCTTGACTGGTCTTTTCCAGTGCGGCGATCTTTGCGTCTCTGAATAAAAGTATGAGCGTAACGAAAAGAAAAAATAACACAATATGTAAAGCTCGAGAACTGTACTCACTTTGGTAAACTAGCTGCGTCGATGGCCGCTTGCCTCAGCGCGCTTTCCTCCAAATAACGTTGTTCCCATTTGGCCACGTCTCCTTCGAGAGACATGATCTTCTCGTCCCGCTCGCGCAACCGTCGTTTCAGATCCGCGATGGTCTCGCCATTCGACGTCTGCTCGTTGCCATTACCTCCACCACCACCTCCGCTTCCCTCGCGCAACTCTCTCTCCAGCTGACCTCTCAATTGTCTTTCTGTCTCTTCTCGTCTATCGCTAGACGCTTGAAGCGAAGACAAAGCTCGTTGAAGCTGACCGACTCTCTCCACGTACATTTGCTTCTTACGACACTGTATAAATGAAAAAAAAACCCTTTTTTTAATATATATGAGACGAAAAATTTTAGACTCTATCTTCAAAAGTTTAAACGTTATTATATTAATGAAATTGAAATGAATCTATTGATGAAGGATATCTGCTATAACTAGGATATTTAATATAATACTTTATCAGTTAAATTAATTAAATCAATTTACTTCTTCCTCGAGCCGTACGACATTGCCTTGTGCATTAGTCAAGGCGGTGTCCAGAATGTCAATGTGCGTACGTTGCTCTTGCAAAGTAGCTCGCTGAGCGGCCAGTTCGATCTCTTGTCTTTCCTTCGCAGCGGTTAATTCTTTGTCTAAAAACAGAACAAGAGTACAATTACGAGAAGGTTCAGATTAACACTTAAATTCTCAATCGAATTGAAACTCTAATCGTACTTTGAGTGATGAGCTGCCCAATGAGTAATTCGCGTTGCGTTAGCTCTTTTCGCATAGTTTCGACGATCGGTGGACTGTCTGTACGCGCGGACAGCAAGTCGAGTTGGTCTCTCAAGGCGCGATTCAGCTCGGTCAATCGACGACAATCGTTCTGCAATCTCAGTCGGGCGGCGCGTTCCAGCTTCTCCCGTCGCTCGCACGAAGCTGCCAGTTCTTCATGAGCGCGATGAACCTTGGCTATCTCTTGCTCCAACTTTTGCGACTTGGAAACTTTATTGTAGCAGCGCTCCAATTCTAGCTTCAACGCGCTATTCTCCTGAATTATTATCTGAACCATTTCCGATGGTGGCCATATCTCGGTCGTCTCCCTTTCTACTTCTTCCCGTCCCTTTGTCTGTGGTCTGTAAAGATTTAATCGAGTCAAAAAAATACCTCGGTACATGTTTGGACGTTAGCGCGTGAAAAATAGAATTACCGGGGTGATCTCATTCGAGTGAGATACAATTCCTCCCTGAGAACTTTGGACAGATCGGGCTGCGATCGCGATATAGTCAACTTCTCCGTCGGCCCGAGAAATTTTTGCTTGTTGAACGGTATCAGGGTAGATATATAGCACGGCAGCCTGTTTTCGTATTCATTATCGCTCTGCTTTCCCCCGTCGCCATCTCTTATTCTCATCTCTCCCAATCTCATTTCTAAGCTGCCTCCACTATTGGTGTATGGCGGCACCTTTACCTCTTTCGCGAGGTGTTTCAAAACCTACAACGTATTCAAATTATTATTTATGTTTCTTTTGAAACAAGTTTGCTATTATTTATTTTATTAATTGATTATTATATTAAAAATCTGTCACACCTGAGATTGACTGAGATAATCATCCGGGATATCTGTAATTTCCTGACAACTACTGCCACCAGATTGTTCGTTAACGTAATCCTCGTGCGATAAGTTGGACAGAGATTGCATCGTAGGACTGTTGGTGTGGCCCTTGCCATTGCCATCGCAATACAAATAGCCCACGTCTGCGTGTTCTCTCACCACGCCCGATAATCTACCCACCCAAATGAATCAGATCACAAATATGTAGACACACATATACACACACACACACATACACACACACACACACATACACACACACACAAAAGATTAGTAGATTTTAAAGTAATTAAAAAATGTTTACCTTCCGGACGGTATCCATGAGTTATCGTCATTGGCGTTATGTATGATCAATGTGTTGTAAGAACTCGTTGATACATCCAAACTGCTTCTATTCGAACCTACGCTACGATTGCTCAAATTGTCCTTTAAACTGTTTCGATTTGAGCCATTGATGCTGTCCTTCAGGCTGTTCCGATTCGAGCCATTTAAACTTTCCTTTAGGCTGTTTCTATTTGATCCATTTAAGCTGTCTTTCAAACTGTTCCTGTTATGCAGATTGCCCTGTAGCATGACAAATTATCTTAGTCTTACAAAATGATGCTGAATCATAAAGTTTTATTTGTATTCTATTGTTTACATTCTATTAATTACAATTCTTTTACAATTATTTTCCTTTATTATTATATTTTAAATGTACCTGAATATTTGGTATATTTTCCTTGTGACTGGAAGACCTAGAGGGACTCTGCTGCTGATTCTCCTGACCCTGCGGCTCTTGTCGCGCCATGTGCCTGATGACGTATCTCTCTTCATTGCTTAGATTCTCATTGGATGTGGAAACATCTGTCTCGCTACCGCTCAAGCTTTGAGGAAGACCACCTGCAGAGGAGAGACGCACCTTATTTATCATCTTTCTGAGAATAGTTATCCATATATATATCGTAAATCTTGTAGTCATCTTATCGTCACTGCCACCTTTACGAAAACGATGATTTATCAAGACACACCTTGCATGGACAGTTGTTTCCTTTGCAGATTGTTAGTCGGGAATGGGAGGAATCTGTTTCCTGGCTGTAGCGAGCTCATTTTCGCAAAGTTCGGCTCATTTGACGTAGATTATTCCGTGCGCCCGTCTAAAAACACACACAATTAAGAAGAAAAAAAGAAACGGGCTGCCCTGCAGAAAGAGGTGCGAGGAGAAAGAAAGGAAGGAAAAAAAAAAGTATAATCGGATTGAGATATCCGCGGACCTCGTGTTGCGAACTCGGACTCTAAACTCAGGTAGACCCTCCGACGGATCTCCCGGAGAGTCGTATAAATAAACAATAGAGCGCATCGTCTCGTCGTCGTACTATCGTCATCGGGGTGTATCTGCCAACCAGCGAGCGCGCGGGGCTCGTGAGACAAAGTGACAAACGACACCGAGCCTCGATTCGAGGCCTCCGGTCCCCGCGCGATTTTACTCACTCGTTTCGAAACTGCGATAACACCAAAGCCCAGTATCTCTCCGTGATTATCTCCGATAAATTAGTACACTCTCCACTTGTGTCCGTACGCGAGAAATAAAAAGAACCGCTTGCCACATTCCTCGCCAGGCGGCGCTCCCGGCGAATTTAGGCAGGCCTCTCAACGCGCGACTTTGGCCGATTGGAAACCGAAAACCTGTCAAATAAAAAAAAAAATTATTTTTCTTTTCATTTATTTTTCTTTCTATTTTCCCTCATTAATTATCTCGTTTTCCCACGTATTTTCCTAATATTATTGCTACTTTAGTCTTACTTTAGTCTTCTCTTAATTTTATTTTCTACGCATGCCGCAAATACACCCTTAACTGGAGTTGTTCGAATAAAATGCATTTTTTTTTTCATATTTGAGATGTACAATTGTATATTTGGAATATTGTAATATTATAATATTTGCTAATCGACTATTATTATCTCTATGATTTTGACGAAACGCGCGATACCTGTCAAACGAAACGAAACACCGTAGAGTGACAGTCAATCCTCGATCAGCTGTTCATTGAAAAATTGACGCTCGCCATGTATACAAGATTCTCCCGTCGACTTTATCAAATATTCATGTCAGCGGATTTTTTGCGCAAAAACCCATCGATAGATCTGTGTTATTATCAGCGATTTATAAGAGTCATATCTGATTGTCCAACAGGCAACCGTGCGTATCACTTTTCTTATTGACTATAGAAAATCTAAAAAAAAACATTGATTAAAAGTCTATCGAGATTCAGATCGTTAAATGCATTTTGTTTGTTTTTCGCTTAGCGTTGTTTTGTTTCTTCATTTATAGCCTCTTCAAAGATCATTGATAGATTATTGTTAGAATAGAACATATAGAATATCTATAGAAATCTATAGAATATTGTTACTATTATGAAATAGACTATTTTATCTAACGATCGTTCTATTGATAAGATATATAACTTTTCGATATAACTTTATAAGTGATACGAAGTTTATACTCGTCGAGTTCGCCTTATCGAGAAGTGGACACTGAGATTCACTGTGAAAACAGAATGGCACTTAACGTCGATTACAAGCAGCTTTTGGAGGCGCAAAAGGACGAAAATATTCTCATCGTCGATGTTCGCGAACATGCGGAAATAAACGAAACCGGAAAATTACCCGGAAGCATTAATATACCAAGTAGGATCCTTCTCTCATATCTACAAATTCTTTGGAAAGTTCATGCTTCTCGTTACATGTTTCTTAAACAATATAACATAATGATATAATAGTTATTGTACCTCAATCACAGAAGTAATATATATAATATTAATGTACTTATACAGTGGATGATGTCAAAAATGTATTCCTAAATCTTTCAAAGGAGGAATTTGAGGAACGCTATGGCAAACATAAACCCGATAAAGATACAAAAATTATATTTAGCTGTCGATCTGGTAGAAGAAGCGGGATAGTGCAAGAAACAGTGCAAAAATTAGGATATACAAAGTATGCTGACAATATTTTTTATTTATTGAAATTTAGACTAAGACTTTTATGGAACTATCTTAGTCTATATTTCAATTGAACTTACTGTATAGAATCGTATAAGCAATGATTTGTACCAAAACATCCGTTTACCTATTCTACAGGGCATATAATTACACTGGAGGTTGGCTGGATTGGGAAGACAAGCAAAAAAAAAACTAAAAACAGAAATATTTAGCATTAAAAATGTATCTTGAATTCATTCACTGTTATTTTTAAATCACATTGCAATGATTCTAGAATATATTCTACTTTTACAAATAAAAGATAAATATTATTAATCCAATTGAGCATATTATACCTTATTAAAACTGTTGCACTCTGATTCAAATAAACTGAATGTTATTAATAGTATTTAGTGCACATGTGTCGGTACATTATTTTCTATATATTGTATTTACTTAATATACAAAGGCTTAACATTATGCAAAAATGTATACAAGAGAATTTGTATTCTATATACAGAAAGTTTATCTAATTCTTCTCCTGCGCCAATTTCTTCTGATTAATCATCTCTCTAAATTGTCCTAATATAAGATTTTCTCTCTTTTGTCGTTCCTCTTTACTGAACATTGCCAAGGCACGCTTTTCATCGGCGGAATAGATTTGGTTCTCCTTACGTATACGAACGGCTTCCATACGACGGTGCCTTTAGAGAGAGATAGAACATTTAAAATGCATATATCTTTAGCAAGCACATAAATAAAAATATTCTTTATATTTTATCAATATGTTTGTTAATTTAATTTTAAACTAATAATATTTGCATTATGTATTTGCATTATTATATTTTAGAAAATCAAATTCTACATATTATATATGTTTTTTAAATGAAGAATCAAAATAGATTGTTGTACAAATCTTTAAATGTATTCTATATAAACATTACCTGCTGCCGCTCATTACATAACCAACGGATTCGTATGAGGCAATCTCCTCGGAAGTGAGGCCGATTTCACCTCTCCTGGGTATACGTTTCCCTTCGGCGACATAAGCTGCCATCGCTGCACCCTCGCCTGGTAGTAGAGCCTTGCCGAAGTCTTTAGCCGAGAGAGTCACATGCGGTTTCGGAGCGGGTCCTACTGTACCATCATCTCCGCTGTCATCTGAACTCGAACCTTTCCTAAGTCTCGGTTTATCCGTAACTGCAGTCTTTTCTACCCAAACCTCTTCGTCACTGCTGCTGCTATCATCAGAACTACTACTGTCTGTGTCTTTCTTTGCTTTCTTTCTCTTCTTCTTTTCCCTCTTTGCCTCCTTCTTTGCTTTTTTCTCTCTCCTTCTTTCCTTTTTCGCCTTCTTTTCCTTTTTTAATTTTTTACTCTTCTACAAAGTGTAAATATGTTCACTAATGTTATTATAAGTATTTGATACTCAATGCTGATTGAATTAATCTAAATACCTTCTTTTTAGTATCGTGTCTTTTCCTCTTGCGATCTTTTGGTAAAATGTTATCCTTTTGTTTGATCAAATCTTCTGTCTCTTCGTCTGAACTACTGCAAATAAAAAGATAATCCAAAATTGTGGTGATACATATATATCTTTAACTATATAAATATGAGTCACTATGATCATATGTCCTGTAACAAAATTGTGCATTTATGTCACTTTTTTAAACTTACAAATTTATAAATTTGTCCAGCATTAAAATTCTAATTTTATGAGTTACAAATTATAATATAAGGCTTCATGACATTAATTCTTTGTATAGTATTATTTAAATTGACAGTCAAATACAGGTCTAACGAAGTACATACTGTTCGATTTGAATAGGAGATTTGCTCCAAGCCTCAGGAACTCCTCGCAATCCTATCAACTCTCTCTCGCGTCTTCGCGCATCCATCATTTTTTCGTTCATCATTTTTTCACTATTTTATGAATATTTATCCTCGTTAAGATGCACTATACAATATCACTCTTCTCTCAATTTTTTTTCGAACAACGCGTCCATTTTTGACAAACAAGAAAGGTTATGTTTCTTCCTTTTTCTTCAATTTGATTGGTTCCGTTTTGGTAAAGTAATTCACTGTTTGACCGACACTTCAAAGTCTAGTATCGCCATCTATCTTTGGAAGGAAAAGTTTCTCATCAATTTTTAATGTTGGTAAAATCACTATTTGTGTTATCAGAATTCAATTTTATTTCAATCAACATGCAATGTCCAAGGAACAGCTTTCAAAAAAGTACAGGTAGATTTAACGTTAAATTTATATCGAGTAAAGAATTTTTAAAATTTCGAAATTTTTTCTATTTAACAGCCAATCATGTGACGAGCTTATTTGTGTCTCTTGCTGAAAAGCTCTCTAATCGAATATCATGCATGTGTGTAGGACTCGGAATGATCTATGATGGAAGAAGAGGAGGCGAAAAAAGATAACATTGAAGGCCTGAGGGATTTGAATTTGGAAAACGAATAATAAAGCAAAAATGAAAGAAAAGAATGCAATATTGCACGCAATTGATACGCTACTTCCAATGTTTCCTACAAGAGCTGTCGCTTTTATTGAAATTGGTGTGTATACACGAGTGGCACAGTGCTTTTTTCACGTAATTTCTTTTTTTTTTGTTGTAATATCCCGTACACACTGCGGTTCGAATTAACGGGCGAGTTTGAGCCTTTAACGCGCTTCGCGAATGTTTTCTCTAATAGTCATCTCTACTGGTCCGGTGCATATAACTCTCTTTCTTTCTATATGTATTATGTCTACCTTAATGTTATATGTATATGTATACACTTGCATATGTATATACACAAAAGGTCCCGAATTATCGCTATATTTTACCATTCTCTATCTATCATTTTAATCTAATAATAAATTTTAATTTAATAATAAATAAAATAAATAAACAACGTTGGGACACTTCGTGTATACGCATACGTAGCATATATTATATTTTATCATATATATATAATTTTTTTTAATAGTATAAAATTAACATATATGGGGAAGATATTGAGAATCCTTTGGCAAACCTCCAAACAACGTCAGAGTGTTGAAAAAGATTCGCAACTTTAGACGCGTCTGAAAAGTCCGATAATAAACGCGGAAAAAGATTCTCGTCTCCGACGAAAAGTTCTGTTTTGGAAGTTTGTCAATAAAGTTTCACGCGCTTTTTGTGTGATGTACATGTATGTGTATGTATGTGTGAGACACCCTATATATCGCATAGAGCGCGCGCGAATGATTACAGATATATGTGTATGTACAAGGTGTTTGAAACTTTGAAAGAAGAGTCGGAGCGATGGAATGATCGATGTGTCTCTTTCGTTCACTCGATATCGATAATAGTACCTGTATCGCAATCTCTGTCTCCGTTTGTTATTCCAAGAAGAAATGACACAGAGCTTAAAACAAGAGTGAAAAAGATATTGAGCTCGATAGAGCGAAATTTCTTCTCTCTCATCATTTTAGAATATCTTGCTTCCACGATTGCGATTTACTTTTCTCTCTTGACTCTCTGTGCTCTCTTTCTCTTACAGTCTAATATATTATACAAATATCTCTTACAAGTATCTCTTAATAAATCTATTTTGTGTATTCATTTAGACAAGGTAAACGCAACGAAACCGCTAACATAAACATCACGGTGTGTGTAAATTAATATATTTTATAATAACATATGTAAAAAAATAATACATCTTAATACACAGAATGTCAGGGCAATCTCTTCCCAAAAAAAGCTCTTGTAGTTTACTTCGAGAGCTTTTTAAAAATACTATGATAAAGTATTTTTTCTATAATTTCTTAATTTTTACATAAACCATAAAATATCTAATAAAATATTCATTTTACATTTATCCTACCTTAATACTTTTATGTACAAAATGAGAGGAATTAATTGGTGTAAAGAAAATACATAATTGTTTCGAAAAAAATAATGTAATTGTTAATTGTAAATTACATGTTTTTTCTTCGAAACAATTATGTGTTTTCTTTACATCAATTGATTCCTCTCATTATTTTGTATATAAAAGTATTAAGGTAAGATAATCGAAAAACAAATATTTCACTAGATATTTTATGGTTTATGTAAAATTAAGGGATTATTTCAAGTCTCATAAACTACAACTCGAAAAGTACTCGATGAAAAAATACTTTATTATAGTATTTTGAAAAGCTCTCGAGGCTACAAGAGCTTTTTTTGGGAAGAGATTGCCCTGACACCGTGTATAAAAAAATATATGAAAATAATATATAAATATATTTTTTGGAAGATGTATAAATAAACTTATATATACGAGATAATCTAGAGTTCAAATTGAAAGATGTGGAATTCTTATCGCGCGTGGCGAATATAAACGTAATTGTCATTATGTAGAAGACATTAGAATATATTTTCACGTGCGAAAAAGGCAGTATTTGTTAAATTCCGCCGCGCGAGACCATGGATTCTCATGCGACCAAGTATCTTTTCTTTCACGTATCTTTCCTATACATATACTATATCCTACGAACCCTGACCTGTTTTATATCTTCGTCTTTTATTTAACACTACACACTTTACATTTTAACGTCGTTCAATTAATCTCGTTATTCGTATAATTCTGAAATATATGTTCTTATTCGTAAAACGCACTTTTGTTTCCGGCTCTCTAATCTCTATTCTTTTATATATATTTGTATAGTTTATATTTATATTTATATATATATATTTATCTTTTTTATTTGTTAGAATAATTCGCAAGAGATCATCAGAAGTCGTTTCCCCTCTCTCTTCTAATCTCTAAAATAACTATCGCTATATGTGAACGCGCGCGTTAGCGAGAATCTTCAGGTAATAATAGCATTTTTTTAAAAGGTAGACTTCGTACTCTTCATACGTGAATCCCGCTAGACAATTCCGGGATTTACTTTCCGTCCTGGTAAGACGTGCTTAAAGCTATATATCTAAGTCGAGAATTTCTATGTATATGTGTGTGTATGTGTGTGTTTGGTATGTGTAGTACTTAATGTAATTAGATACATATATAGGGAACTATCACAAATACGTCACTAATATCTCGCCAACAGAAGACATTCGGTGGTGAGTGGTGAGTGGTAAGATCCCGTTTCGACATTTCTTTCGAATCGATGCGAGAATGAACGCGAAATCGAGCGAGGTTTTGTTGAACAAATGATGAAGGAAGAGAATTCCACATGGCGGAATTTCGAGAATTCCTCACCGCTACGCGATCATACGTGTATATATACATATATGTATATGGCACCACGGGAGAGATCTTTCTTTCTTTTTTTTTTCATTTTCTTCTTATCGTTTTTCTTCTTCTTGTTTATCGAGTAGAGTTAATCGGTTGGACGGTGAAGCACACAGAATTTAGCGTCGCTAGACAGTCGTTTCCCGGTCCACGTGAATGTACTCCACGAAACCGGGCGGCTGCTGTCAGGACGCCGCCCCAAGGAGCGTCTCCTCCGTTGGTGCCCGTCGCGGCTTCTTGCTCTTCTTTGTCCCCTTGTAGTGAAGTCTCTTTGTGCGAGCTTTGGATCTAGAAAGTACAAATTGCATTTAGCAAATATTTTATGTTTTTCTCAAAGTTATAACTATGCTAATTTAAAATTGCAATTTTTACAAAATATATTTAAAAAAATTTTCCTTCGATAAAATTTTCCTAATATAATTTTTCTTTTCTAAATTTAATATAAAAACACTATTCCTAGTATTAATTATTGTAGTATTTTATATATACAAAATTAATAATATGTAAATATATATATTATTTATAAATATTTAAATATATAAATATTATTAATATATTTATATATTTATATATACATTTATTTATATTCATTTATATATTATTGATCTTATAAAATTGTATATAAAATTTATTATATTAATTAATAATGGTAATTTTTGTAGTGATAAGCAAATAAAAAAAATAATGCTGTGACATAATTGTTTCTTTTTTTCAATTTTTCAGAATGTTCGAGCCTATAATATATACCTGCTAATAAGAATAGTAAATAGGCACGCAAAGGCAGTGACAATTCCAGCGACGCCAGCCATGACGAGCCACACAGTGGAGGGCAACAGGCCGAGCAGTCGGGCACCGTTGCCGCAGTTGGCCTCGTCGTGACCGGACGGGCAGTGTTCGTATCCGTCGCACCAGAGACTAGCGGCAATGCAAGCGCCCAGCTCGGGACACTTGTGCGGGCAGTCGCCGATGTGGGACGGCATGCCGTTCGTCTCGTTCTCCGTTATTACGCCTCTCTCCGGAAGACGTAGCTGTCGGCGCAGCGCCGCCCGGCTCTTGGAGATCTCCAACCAGGACGCGGCCGCCTGTCCGGATTCCCGCGCCACAAAGTCCAGCAGCAGCGCCGGTGGTCTGGGTGGACCTGGCCATTTACCCTCCTCCGTCGCGCCCAACCATTCCTCCGAGAACACGTGTACGGTAAATTCGCGGGCGCCCGGTTCCGCCGGGCACACCACCTTCAGCAGTTTTTGCGGCCAGCCGGAATAGAGGAGAATGCGATTGGTAGTCGGACATTTTTGCTCGCCGATCCCGGTGCCACTAGGTGACTCGGGACTGACGGTCGGCGGCTCCAACGGTAAGAACCAACCCCAGGTCAGAACGAAGAGCGATCGATTCTCGCGCGCCTCTACGAGCCAAGGGAGGCCTTCGCAATAGATGTCTGGTCTCGACAGTGGAGGCATGATAAATCTCAGTTCGCCACCCTCGCCGCGGATTCTCTGCTTGCGCGGACATTCCGGCACGCGAATTAGCTCGAAGCTGGCGTAAAAGAAGAGCGTGTCAAAGTCTTCGTGAGGCGCCTGCTGATCCACTAGGAAAGTAATCTCTATCGCCCGGCCGGAGGAGATGTACGTGAGTGGCAAGTGTGATGTATTGTCGCATAGACACGCCCGAGGTACCTTCACGTCCCGCCACGGTGCCTCATAGAGGACCAGACGTGCCTCTCTGGACCCGACTTCCTGAACGCAGCGCGGTCTGCCGGTATGGGGATCCGAATCGCTCATACACATGGTGGATTCACCCAGACTGACATTATGCAGCGTCAGACGAACCCGTTCACCGCTGCCAGCTTCCACGCGATACCTAAAATCGGAATTAATAATCAAGGTATTTATGAATCTTAATCGAAATCGATATCTACCAATTTTGTTTCATGTAATTTGAGTATCACTCGTCAAAACTTCTACTTGAGAAATATCCAGATTAATTGTTTCCAAAATAATTCAAAATAAATGCTTTTAGCGAGAATGTATTTGTATGTCTCTCAAGAATTTTCGAATCCTGAAAGACATTTTGTTAGAATCCTGAATTCTCTCTGTTTGTTATATATCTTTTTCAGTGACAACTACTCGGTTGTATTCCTTTGAGAAACTCGATCCTTACCTGCAATCTAATTTGCTAGAACCACCGCGGCCAAACAGACGTACATCGCGCGGTGACATCACTTCGCCAGTGCGCGCTTTGCGCCATACTCGACTGCAGACACCATCACCCCAGGGTTCACCGGGTTGAAGGGTGGAGACAAACTCGTATCGCGCCTGGAATGCAGAGAATTAGAGTGATACGCATAAATTTGGTTCCCCGACTATTGAAAAATAAATAGATAATTATATTTATTATAAGAAGAAAGAAGAATATTATGTACGATGGCTGATTCTCAAGATTAGAGAAGATGAATTAACAATATTGTTTAGTAAGTTATGGCAAGAGACTCGGTAAATCAACGCAATAAATGTTATGAAGCTCTAATCTTGTATATTTGCAAAGCGAACGGAACATGAATCATATTACTCAAAGTTTATTATTGTGTCGTCAACAGTTATCTAAAGCATGTAATGGCGTAGGAAAACGATATTTGCCACAGAGATGCAGTGTAATTTTATAGCATCAAGCTAAACTAATATTGAGGTCAAGAGCCAATTATTGAAGAAGCATCTGCCTTTAGAGATTTACATGACAAAATAATTTGGCTGGAAGGAAATATTATGCAAAAAAGTAATATATTCACAAAATTTTTATAATTCCTTTAATTAATTATAATCTCATATAAATGTTTCAATTATAGTCTCATTAAATGTTTCAACAAAAATCACTTCGTTAAAATAAGAAAAAGGAAAAATAGCTTAAATAGAAAAAGAAAGTAAAATTTTGACAAAAAATCGCACTGAAAATAATATTTACATCTTTTCCAAGATAAATTAATTAAACTTTACGAGAGTAATTAAATTAATTAATTCATATAATAGATATAATATATAATTTATATATGATTAAATTAATTAAATACAATAGAAATAATTTACTATTTAAATATTTTACTTTAGATGATCGAGTTAGACAATTCATACACTTACGTGGAAGTTGATCGGATGAAGGGCGGTACCCAGAACAGTCTCCATACGTAACGTCAAGCTCGGAGCGGCTGTCAAGTAGCTCTCGTCCTCGGTGCAGGGTCTCGTGCTCCTGGTTATATTCCGAAGAGCCGCGTGGGCGCATAACTTGGGCGTGTCATCGCATAGCGTGGCCATCGGTTGACCCGTGTTCGGTGCTCCGTCCCAGAAAATGAGCTTAACAGCGCACAATAGCGACAACGGCGTGCTGTCCATCGCCGACTGGCCGGCGCTGGCATTGTTGTCGCCGTTGCCGGTCAAATCACGCTGCGAATACGACGAGAAATATATCCACACGCGATCGCCGATCGCCCCCTTGATGTTCCACGTGCAGCTGGAACCTGGTGGTAGCGCGTGCAAAGGTGCCCGTATCGTTCCGCTTCGCTTGGCGCCGACGCCGGTACCATTAACGAAGAAGTGACAACCCTGCGCGCCCTTGGCGTAATCCAGACCGTCCGAGTCGACGTAGACGACCCGTAGCTCGAGCTCAAGTCGCAGCGACGACGCGCCCAACGGTATCGCTACTGGTGAGCTGCGAAATTCCACCTGCATGGCGGGTCCACGCGCGGTTATCTGCGGTAATGGGCCGCCGCAATATACCAGGAGCACCGCGTCCTCGGTGCGAGCACCATCGCGGAAGATCAGACGATCCCTCTCCGGTGGACAATCCTGCCAAACGCTGAGACTGGTGTTGACGGCGGCATTGAGGCCTACCGGCCCGGTCGACGTGCTCTTGACGGATATCATTGCGTGCTTGCACGTGGGCACCTCCTTTTGGCGCACGGTGATCAGGCAGCTGGCGTTGCGCGGATACTCGCCGGGGTAGTTTGGACTCTGCAGGCGACACTGCTTCAGGTGGCACTCGTAAAAGTTACGGGAGCAATAGGTTCCTGGCACCGGGGAACCTCGCTCGACCGGTAGTTCCGGTTTGCCCAATCGGGCGACTGCCTCGTTGCGCGAAACGAAGCGGAAACGAAGACGAAATTCAAACGGCACCGTCGATGGCGCGTGAAACAGCCGTATAGAGGCAGTGACTGTACTGGTTTCGCTGTAAAAAGCAATGACAATGAATATCGTTTTATGCTGATTATTTTAAACTTTCATCAGACTTTGTAAAATTTTCCATATAATATTTGTTTCTATAATTTCTATAGATGTAAAAGAGAGAGAATTATCATAAAACTACATCTACTAGTTGCTACATCTTAGTAGTTAATAAGGAATCAAAAGGCGCTAGAAAGAAGTTCAAAAGAAGAAAAAATGTAGCAAGCCAGATTAGAAAAGTAAGTTTTTTCAATTTATTAAAAGGATATCATCTTATAATCCGCATGCAAACACAAACGACATATATACAAACGACAATAATCAAAACTAATATTAGACAGAAAAAGAACAAGAAGAGAGAGAGAGACAACTAGACAGACCTGTAATAAGATGCACGACCCTCACCGACGCCGCACCACGAGCCGCCCGTGAAGTGTCTACCGAGTTCGGCCAGCTGAAGCGAGCCTTCGGGACAGCTGGTGAAGTAATTGTCGGCGTTGGCGTCGATGCGACCAACGCTGAACGCGTCCCACAGCAGTTGGACCAGCTCGCCGTAACCCTGTCCGGCCGCGGTGAATGTCAGGTGACAGAGAAACGGCAGACGTTCCTCGGCCGGTCTAGGCAGGTCCAGCTTGTACGTGCGTCCCTCGCGACCGTGGTACGTGCGATTGCACGGGGTGCACATCGCCGGCTCGTCGCTGCCATCGCCGCAGTCATCCTCGCCGTTGCAATAAGCGTCGATCGGCACGCATCGGCCGTCCCGGCACGTCAACTCGGCCAAGCCGCAAGTGCCGCTGCCACCGCCGCCTCCTCCTCCGCTGCCCCCGCCGCTCCCCCCTGTGCCACCCCCTATGCCAACGCCGTTCGACGCGTCAGCGATCAGCAGTAGCAGCAACAGCAGCGAGACGATGCGATGCAGCGATCGACATTGTTGTCTATCGTTGTTATCGGATCCTCCTCCGGTATCAGCTATCTCCTGCTCAGCGAGAAACCGATTCGCGATACATTGCACGCTTCTTCAAGAGGTTTCATTTACAATTCTAATCACATGTTTAATCTTAACAATTTAATTAATCATTTCTCTAAAGCAATTTTTTTTCCCGCAGCAATGTGATGCGAGTTAGCCAAAGTTGCAACTCGGAGAATTAATCGTGTTAGCGAGGAGACCTAGGTCTTAAACGGTCGGGATTTAAATCGATCGGTCCTCGCGGCTCGATATATGTACATCGAGACGCCGCGTCGTAAACACCTGTTTCGAGGAGCGCTTCGAATATCCGCGACACAATTACGCGACCGATTTAAATCCACCATCCTGCATTCATCGATACAACCGAGTTAATGACAGAAAAGGTCACGCGACAATTACCATAATAATTCGCCAGCGAAACGAGCATATCACAGTGACAATTCCAACGGTGCGATCCGGACGTTGACTTCGAACGGCGGCATGTCGGCTCGACGACGAGGATGATGCGAGGAAGAAAAGAGAATCGCTAAAATCGCGGATCGCGAACGGCAGTAGTCGTCGACACCAACATCTTCCACAAGTTCGAGCGCAAAGACGACGACGATGACGATGACGACGACAATAATAAGGACTTGGTCTCTCGCAAGAGACAAACAGAGAGAGAGAAAGAGCAACGATGGGAACCCCGCCTAAGCGCCACCGCCTCCGTCACCGTCGCCGCTGCACTCACGAGGAGCGCCGTCACCCGTTGTGCACGTCCCGGAGGTCGATGCGCAACTGCACACCACCGCGTATCTTCCCCGGAGGGAAGCCAGCCGCCCGCGCGCCGCCGCTGCAGGCGACGTGTGCCACCGCGGCAGGGGTGAACAGAGAGAGAAACGGGGGTTGAGCTCGCGGAGAGAGCTGTGCCTTGTCTGCCTAGGCGCCTCAATGCATCGATCGACTTTTGGCGCTCTCTCTCTCTTTCTCTTCCCCCCTTCTCTCTCCTTCCATCTCTGTCCATGAAGCTCATCAACGTGCAGCGACAGCCGAAATGCGAGGAGAGACTCCGGGGATCTCTACGCGAGAGGTTTGCGGATCCATCGCTCGGATCTTGCTAATCATATATTGATGCGACCTGCCGAGCGTCATCTGGGAAAAGTAAAACAGAATTTCTCAATGTTACCTTAAATAAATAATACTCGCTCCAGAGTTTACCGTCTTCTCTCTTCCTCGCATTTCGCTCTTATCGGAATTTTTGCGTTCTAGTAATCGCCCTCGGGATTCGGTTAACTGTATATTCTTTAAGAAAATACGTTGTCAAAAGGATCGAATCCTGTACACGATACAATGGATATTAAAGTCGCGCGTGCAACGTTTGTCTTATCGAGACGCGACTCGATTGTTCAAGGTGGTTAACCGATTTCCGAGCGGAAATGGAGAGAAGCCGCTAGTGTTTGCCTTTAATATCGTGCGCTAGTTAATAGGCCGACAAGTGTAGGCTTCATTGCTGCGTCCTTCTCACTCTGCGGGATTATCAATGTCCAGACTTTTGACGTCGATGTACACAGGACGTTTCATGATTCGATCCATCTGAAGTATCTCCCTCGCTAGAAATTATCCGACTCGAAGAGACAATTCTTATCATCTTTATCTTTCAACATCCGCATTTGTCTTCTTCAATAAATATATCTCGAATCTTTCTATTGAAATTCCGCGTTGAATAAATTTAAAAAGATGCGCTATTTTTTGGAAAATCGTTTTTTAAGTGAAAAAGAAAGTCTCCTTTTGATCTTTCTTTTCAATCTAGTTCATTTCAAGCTTCATTTGATTCAGGCGCTGTATTATACACGTAATAACCTTGACCTACGGAAAGTAGAGTAATTTCTTCTCCAAGTAAATGAGGGAAATTTCAGTTGGTCACGCGATATTATGAAACGCCCTGTAGGGGACACGGACGCGCCGCAGCTTCCCTCCGGATCTCTCCGTTTTTTTTCTGCATCCATGACGACGCTAAGCATGTCGAGGACGTCGTCGTCGTTTTTGCTGTCCCTAATAATATACATACAGCCATCGGCGCGTACACATCCTCGTCGCACGGCGACGACGGAGTCGCCTATCGAACGCGGGTGCACACCCTTTTCCATCTCTCTTTCTCTCTCTCTTTCTCTCTTTGGACAGTGCATATAAAGGGATTGGTGGTAACATTCTTATCACGTTACCAGCATCATGGTACTCCAACGGTCGCTGTTCCCCTTTCTTTCTCTCGTCGGTTATCGATCTTTCGCGGTCGCTCATTATCTTCGCTTATTACGCTTAACAGTTCATCGTCCGCGCGAGCGAGCGACGCTCCGTCAATTGAAAATCTAATCTCGTAACGCGGTTACGAGGTAAATCCGATAATGCCGGCTGCGCGATAAAAAATTGCGTATCTATAATTTTAGACTTTAGCTATTGTACAGCACATAAAGTAATCTTACATTCTTTTGCATGATAGAGAAATAAAGGGGATGCGAAATTCCTGGAGATGTAAGTTTTCAGAGATCTCATTGATATACATGTGTGAGTGTATGTACATGTATTACATGTATATAATTTATATTTTTTTGTAAAAACTAATTTTATGTAGTCCGTAAAATGTATCTTATCATGTATTAAACAAACATTTCTTTGATGTTAAATGTAATATTTATATAAATTTATGGAATAGAATTTTTTTTATATTTTTCAGTAAATTTTAAATTCGCAATTATATTTATACATATATATACATACACATTATTATATATCTAGTATTTGATACAATGATATTATTAATAACATAACACAAAATCCATTTAAAAATGAAATAAAATGCATTATCCAGTCATTTTCAAATTTAATTTAGGATGCATTCTACATTCTCGAAGCTTGCGAAGCTATAGAATTCTTTGAGGATGTGCATATATGCAGATATCGTGACGCAAGGGGTGCAATTGAGTGCTGAATGCATTTGCAGGGATGCATGCTCACCTAGTTACGCCATCAGCGCGTAACATGGATAGAGCCGTCGTTCCGCTGTTCTAATTCAGTGTATTCTGGAATATCCTTTAAATAACGAGGGTGATCTCTCGACGCGCTACTATATAGATCTTATCACTTTAATGAAAATGTGTTCCCGAAAATGATCGAGTTATTGTTTTCGCTCCACGCGATATATTTAACCAAAATTGATTTAATTACATCATTAACGATTTCAATCTCATCACTGTCAATCTGCACACAAATTTCATTATTTTATGCTTTATTCATGTATATCACCACAAATTCGATATTTACATAGCATTAAAAAGATTAATATTTTTAATTAAATAAAATGCAAAATTTTTGAATTTAATAAAGAAACAAAAAGGATTAAAAATATTTCAATATCCCATTATAGAACTCCAAGATAATCCTACATTTTCTTCGGTTACATTACATTCCAATTTCTATGGAATTAAATTACAAGGAGTTCAGTCAAGAGAGAGAGAGAGAGAGAGAGAAAGAGAGAAATACATACACCAGAGAGAGTTCTCCTTTAATAAATATATTCAAAGATATTCGTATTGAGGATGTGTGTGTGTGTGCGCGCGCACACACATACACACACACACACACACATACACAAATCATTATTAGGTGAGTGATGAATTGATATTAAACTCGATGATATTAAATGATATTAAACTCGAATGATTTAATATGCAAATTTGCAAAATAGCAATAAGCTGAAATTAATCGCTATCATAATACCATTTGAATAGCAATGCATTAGTTTATATATGTCGTATGTAGTAGAATAGTGAAATTACATCGCGTTACATGTATATCTACACTGATACAAGTAAAATTAAATATTTTCTATTCATAACAATCAAATCCATTACTTTCACATATTTACGACTCAACGTATTTTTCATAGCGATTCGCTATTTGTTACAGAAATACAAAACTTGTGTATTTAGGCGGATTGTTTTAATAGCTTCTAAAGACTATTAAAATATCTTTACTCATCTTTTTTAAACGAGTTGTTTGCCTGGAGGAAATTGAATATACATTTTCCTAGATATTAATGTGTATATCTTAAAAAAAGAATGATAAGAGTTTATATATAATAAAGTTATCACACATGTAGAAAATATTGAATTTTTACACAGATTATGTCATACATATTAGAACTTAGTTTGTACGATCGATTATGATAATCGGAAAATATCGAAAGTGAGAAAACACTGGTTAAATGTTATGTGTACAAAATGGATAATAAATGTACAACAAATTTCCCAAGATCTATCGATTAATGTGACGCCGAGTTTGCAAAACTGTGAAAAACAACATATCGAAAGATACTCGTGGGGGAGCATTTAGAACGCGTAACGCGTACGTATGTCTTCCAGTTTCTTCGACACTTCAGACGGTGTTCTCTCGAGATCGCCAGAGATGCTCTTCTGCTTAACGGGTTCGATCGAATTGAATTGCTCGCAGAGATCGCCATCGATGACGTTCTTCACAGGATAATAATACGATCGGAAGGACAGATGATCCCTACCGCATAGGGGCGGGTGCTCGGATCGCATGTGCATCTCCAGATGTTGAAAGAAATCGTGATCTTCGTGACTGGTGAACGGCACGAGAACGCCCACCGTTCCGCTGAGAGTCGTGTAGACCAAACTCTCGGAACCGCCGGGTATGAGAGTCGCCTTTTGCAGGGACATTACCGTCTCGCCTACGTGAAAACACGCAACCGTGTCCGCTTTCTGGCTAGCGCCGTTCAGCAATCCTCGATCCCACAGAGCCTTATTCCCTGTAGGATCCTCGTCCACGTCGTCGTTAATACCGGTCGCCAACCGTATCACAGCTATGTTCCCATATTTATCGGCGGTAGCAACAGTATCGTAATCCAACACGCACGTGGTTGTGATAAATCTAGGATGTGTATCGTCTGCGAAAACGATTAATTGATTCTCCTGGCGTTTGTATCTCACGGCGTATACGGACTCCTGCACATCGCTGACGTAAATCCGTTGACCGATGGCGTTGATCGAGACCACGGCATTGGGTATATGCTTGTTCTCGCACTTGCGCAATAACTTCTTTTTACCCATGTCGTAAAGCCGTAGCATCCTGCCTACGCCGACCAGTACTCGGCCCTGATACGGACAAATGGCCAATGGTACCTCGTCCAACGGAGATTTGTGCAACAATTCGATACTAGTACACTCCGTATTTACTCTGGAAAGAAGCGATTGTTTTTCATTATTTCTCGTCCCATGAAATACTGCGTTAGAAGCGATAGATTTTTAAAGCATCAGCACTGCAGGACTATATCATCAAAAATACAGACATGTTCTAGTTTCATCATACGAGCATTATAAATTAATTAAAATAACTTCCTTGTTTTTAGTGATAAGAATTTAGTTATAAGAATATAAGAGAAAATTAAGATTAGACTTTCCAGATTAATATCTTCTATTCATGTATCGCGCGAATGTAATGAAGTATCTTACTTGTATGTATAAAGGAAACCGCCGTTGCTAACTCTGGGATTTAATTGAAACTCTTTTGCGACTCCAACGATGAGGAACAGTTGATCTCCTTGATTGGCAAACTTCACGAGACAGAGACTACGAAAGAAAAAAAAATTTAATAATATCAAAAATATTTTCGATGATATTAAAAGAATAATTATTCTTTTCTCGACTTACCATAATGCAGCTAGATTTTGCTCGAAACGATGCACCTCGAATGTTTGGCCAGTAGTCGGTGCCATTATTCTCAGCATCGAGGCCCAAAGGCCTGGTCCCGCACGCGGGGCACCGAAAACTGCCTCATTCGGCTCCTCCGATAGGAACGCTTCTGCCAATTCACGGGCGACAGCAGCCTCCTCAGCGCCGGCTGCTTCCTGCATTTCCTCCGCCATTTGTAATCTTCTCTGTTGCTTCGTCTCTTCCGTGTAAGCGTTGTGTTCGGTCTCGATGATTACTAGGTGCGCAGAATCGGTGTGAATGGCAAACTTCCGCGGCGTATACTCCAGCGGAAAGCTCACTTGATTGAATACGGCACCGAGTTTTTCGAGTGCCAGAATCCTCAAGGTATTGGTCGATATGGCGACGATACCTTCTGGACACTGTTCAGAACTGAAGCCAGATGCAAATTCTAAACTCTCGTACGACAAAGGCGTAAGATGAAAGCGGTTCTGATGATAGTAACTCAGCCACGATCGACTGCTCATCGCCAATACAGCTTGATTACCCTGCATACGTATTCTGAAAAGCTTGACAGGACGGGAACCCAAGTAGCGTGTTCTCGTATCCGCGAGATCGCCAGAAATCGGATCTAATACTGTCCTGAGTAATACGCCGTTTTGCAAACCTGAAGAAATAATAACATAGTTTTATAATTTTAAATGTAATTATTGTATATTAACATATCTTTTACAATTTGTGGTTGTATCTTAAATATTAATTCGTGTAATATTTATTCGTATAATTCATGTTTGCAAATATGTATAACTTACCTATGTTTAAATACAAACTGGATTGTTGTGGCGCTGAATCCTCGGAATTGTCGGCCTCCTTTGCACCCATTTCCACGATACATAGACTCTCCGCAGCAGCCGGTAACGCTTGCATACTCCTCGGTGCTAAACAGTCCGAGGGATCCAATGATATTATCCTCACTGTATTATCCTGTAGGCCAACGGCAAGGAACCACGAGCGTTGTTCGCCCACAGCAACATTTCCGAGAGCCATGCACATTACTTCTGATGGCATCTTCTTTCTTTCCGTATATTCATTCAATTGTCCAGTCTAAAAAATATGAATGAAATAAATCGGCATTGTCGATAGATAATTTTGCAAATGTCATGTTCACTCTACATCAATCTCAGCTATTAAATGATAAGCTTAGAATTGGCTGTGCCAAGATGAAGCAAGTGATATGCTCTTCGCATCTCTTACATCTCTGAGAAAGAACAATAGACATTACTCAGAGAGAACAATAATGCGATTATCCCGGCAAGTGTGATTAATCGAGAAAACAATGGATTTATATAAGGATACGTACGGGATCCATTTCAAAGTAGACGAGTTCCCCTCCAGTGAGAGCGATCACAACTTGACGTTGATTTACCGCGCACTTTACGATGGTCTTCTTGCCAGGAGCCTTCCATTCATTGACACGTTTATCTGCACGGATGTGACGTATACCGTCAGGATATACCTGAAAGCGGATTGTGATATTTATTTAACGTTTCAAATCATTAAGAATATATTTTTAACTATTACTCTTAAATTAATATGTAAATATATCATTATTATTATTATTATTATTATTATTAGTCATATATTTATGTCTTTTATAAATTATAATCTATATTATATAAATATACAGGATGTCCGGAAAATCGTCCGCAATATTTCGGAAGTGATTCGGGAAAGAAAGAAATAGAAGGAAAAAGTTACATAAACATAGGTCAGGAAATAAGTCATTTCCAAGCCTCTTTTATGTTTAAAAAATTTTATTGTTCACTTGACCCCTTTTCTAAATTCTTTTATAATCTTAAATTATAATCTTAAATTTAAATTTTTAAATTCAAATTTTTAAATTTAAATTTTTAAATTTGAAATTTAAATTTGAATTTAAATTTAAAAATTCAAATTCAAATTTTTAAATTCAAATTTAAATTTAAATTTAAAAATTTGAATTTAAATTTAAAAATTTAAATTTGAATTTTGAATTCAAATTTTTAAATTTAAATTTGAATTTAAAAATTTAAATTTGAATTTTTAAATTTAAATTTGAATTTAAAAATTTGAATTTTTAAATTTGAATTTAAAAATTTGAATTTTTAAATTTAAATTTTAAATTTAAATTTAAATTTAAAAATTTGAATTTAAAATTCAAATTTAAATTTTTAAATTCAAATTTAAATTTAAAAATTTGAATTTAAATTTAAATTTAAAAATTTAAATTTGAATTTTTAAATTTAAATTTGAATTTAGAAATTTGAATTTAAAATTTGAATTTAAAATTTGAATTTAAATTTAAATTTAAAATTTAAATTTAAAAATTCAAATTTAAATTTTTTAATTTAAATTTAAATTTAAAAATTTAAGATTAGAAAAAAATTTAGAAAAGAGGAATGCTAAGTGAACACAGAACAGAAACGCATGGATGACATCTCTCTCCTACTTGAAAGTACTGAACTATAAATTACGATTTTTTAATTTCCGGACCTATGTTTATGTAATTTTTTTCCTTCTTTTTCTTTCTTTTCTAAATCACTTCCCGCGTATTGCGGGCAATTTTCCGGACATCCTGTATAGAGTTTTATATAATGTTATTGAAATTGAAAAGTTTGTGATTGTCAGGCCTATAAAACCAGGAAAGTTCGGACGAGAATCGGAACCTTCCAACGATGTGAGCCTAGAATTACTTTAGCACTCTTTTTGCGACCGACAAGATGATCGACCAAAATCAAGCCGGAGATACCGAATGCATCGCAAATAATTCTGCAATCCTACGAGCGAATCATTCGTCCCACAAAATTGATTATATAAATAAGTGATTTTATAGTACGTTTGATATTATAAATATTGTGTGTATTTAATAAAATGTTTCTTCGATTTAGACAAGATTTTAGACTCATAGAATGTATAATTCACACATGAGATTAAATACGCGCAGAATATAACGCGATGTATAATTCCAATGTGCAAAATACCTGCACCAATGCATCCTCGCCCAATGCTGAGCAACTCAAGGTTGGTGTCGTACCAAGAAAACCCGAGTCCGTCACTTCCTCGACAGTCTCGCCGATACTGAGTACGAGCGTGGCATTCACGAAGGACACTATGATGTATGCATCATATTCCTCTGCAATCAAAATTATAAGGCTTATTCTCAATACACAGGGAAATACGCGAACGAAAACGTCGAATTGAATTGTATATTTGAATTTGGAAATATAATGTATTTAATATTTCGCCCTTTCCCTCGATCGTTCGAAACTGCACACGTTCTCGGGGCACGGAAAGAGTTGACGAGCTTTCTTTCTTTCTTTTTTTTATGTCGAACGAATCGACTCTTATTCGTGCCAATTTCGCGCCGAAATCCTTACCTTTCGGTCATTCAGACTTCTGTGGGTCAACCAATAGCGCGCTGGCATCCTGAAAGAGAGAACTGGTGTTTGATAAGAGTGTATCAAGCCACCAGGTTCATTAATATCGTTTTACAAAACCGATGCCATTTTTTTTTTCTTTTCTTTAAGCAAACTATAATTTTCTTTTCCAAGTCATATTAAGTAAATATTCTTACCCCAAAGCTTTGCTCAAATTTACTACCATTGAGCTTTCTTATCCACATTTTCTTTTGCAAAAGAAGAATAAGATAATAAAAATCTGCGGTACATTTAACTTCTGTGATTGCATAAACGGATTCATTTCACCTCGCAAGTGATATATGCAAGATATTCAAAGAAATAAATAAACGACACATGTGAGAATAAACGATCGCAGTTAAAACTTGCCGATCGTTGAAGAAGCAATTCAAGTAGGAACATGCAAACGATTGATAGAAATATCTTTCGACTAACCATCGATTCTTCTTTTCACGGTCCATACGGCATTTGGGTTACCAGGCAATTCGCTCACGGCCATTTCAGAAACCTCGAGACCGTGGCGTAGCACGCGCAGCGTAGATCGCGGTCCTCGACCACAAGCAATGTATAATTGCGGCGTATCTTCGTTTGCCAAATCTGCCACCTGTGCATTGAAGGTAATGACAAATTTTCATTTAAATAAATTTATATATAACTCTTTCTACAAATATGATATGAAGAAGAAAATTCTCAATTGTACATTTGTTTCTCTAAGGATTCACTTCAATTTGCAATAACAAACCAAAGGCGACAAAGAGAATTTTGCTCTCGCACATCTATCACAGAAAAGAGACGCATGGATGACATCTCTCTCCTACTTGAAAGTGCTGAACTAAAATTTGCAAAATTTGCACTATAAGAGTATAAATGTCACCTGACAAGCCATTATGGGTGAGAGACTGTCCATTTCATCGACTAGCACTAAATTTCGAAGCGGTCGTGGCGCGAAGAAGAAGGTATCGCCTTCCTCGAGCGGCATCGCTGAGCTGAATTCGGGTTCATCGTCGTCATCGCCGAGATGCGCTATTTGATAGAGGTAACTGAAAAACAATAACGTAATTGTGCTGTTCTCAATCATTTCTATTATATGTGCATGACTATGTGATGCGTCTATGATACTAACTGATTGCCAAATTCCGAGGCAACAAACAGGAAACCCGTTTTCAGGACACACATACTCGCTGCAACAGGTACCGTATCGAAGTACTTGAGCTTGATCTCAGTAACCATGTCCTCGTCTGTCTCGAGAGTGATTTTGAAAATGTCCCCTTGTTCTGTTTGCGCCAGGAAAAAGAACATGCTTTTTGTCTTGTGAGTAGCAGAACACACAAATATCATTCCTCTTTCGGGATCGTCCAGGTCGTTACGACGTCGTGGGATCGGACAACGAATATCGTGCTGATCACCGAGATTCTTGTAGGTGAGATAGTTTTCGGAGCAAATTAGTACACCGCTTGGACCATCGTTGCCGCCCGGCACAGATACAAGAAAGTTAGCATGTTCTTCCAGTGGCTCGCTGTATTTTCGCACTACGTGATTTAGACCGAGATCGAGCTCGTACAGCGTCAAAGTTTGCTGCGTCTTCACCGCTGCATCACCTGTAGGATCGCTGTCTGCTTCCTGTCGAATTAATGTTTTTAGAATATATTGAATGTCTCTTTTATAAATTTAATACTGTGAATATAATTGCATAAGCACCATCATAATAAGAAATAGGTGTAATCAATGTTAATCAGTTGAAACACGGTTACAAAAGTAATCATATGGCATTTAGTTACAACAAAAATATTCATTATTTCAAACCGTTAACAATGCAAGTTTACCTCATAATCGATCTCTAAACATGCAAACATGGGATTATCAAAGCCAACATCGACGCCAACCGTGTGATATACTAGTGTGTTGCTCTTATGAGCTTCCAATGGAGAAGAGATTGTCAAACGGGCTTCTGCATCTCTGTTTAGGATATACACGAGTTTCTGCTTTTCAATAGCACCTAAAATAATATTAATATATATATATATATATATATAAATCAAATTCATTTAGATGAATATAATTGTTATCGGCAAATAGACTGCCATCATAAAAATAAAAAGGTGTAATCAATGTTAATCAGATGAAACACAGAAGTAATCATATGGTAGTTGACAATAACAATAATTATTCATTCAATAATTGTTAAAAGAACACCACAAACGATACAAATATGTGCAATACCTATCATAACTGCTCTGCCTTTTGGATCAATGGCTAGATACTGGCCAGGTACAATGCGTCTACAACCACTCTTGCCAAAGGTCTCTTGATGTACCTTATCGAACATATTCTTGGCAGGAATATATTCCAAAATTACTATGCGCCCGGAATCCGAACCAACAACGATATAATCTTTCGTTGCTCCCGTCAATCTGAATGCCATCAGAGACCTGATAATGCCAAAAACCTCAACAGTCAGCAGAGTGTGAACCTTCCCCGTGTTCGGGTCCGGTCGCAGCAGCTCCAGCGACTTGCCGCGAGAGACGAGGATCTCCTGCATCTTGCTGCCGGAGAAGTTCCCGTGCACCGCGTGAGTGATGCCGGTGGCGCGTTGTAGGGTCAGATTGTACAGATACATCTTCAGCGGCACGTTTTCTTCTTCGTTGATCGATCAATGGAATTGACGAAGGCTTACGCTCTCGATAGAAGTTGCCGAGCGTCCATACTGCAACACACATGCACCTTCGTACAACAATTCGACACGATGTCATCCATCTTAATTCCGCTCGAAGCGAATTATTAAAATAAAATAACGATAGATATCAAAGCGGAGAAATGTTGGGAATGTTCTTTTACCTTGATCAAGTTTTCGGCGCGATAACGCTCGACGATGCCTCCAGATTTTCTCGTTGTGGTCCGAGAGTCGAGTAAACCTGCCGCCACAACCGTTATGAGAGGACAGATCTCATCAGCGTTCGCAAAGTTTACTCTTTCCACCGGAAACGAAGCGCGTTTTTTTTTTTCGGGAAATGTCGTATCCGGTGCGCGCAAAATCCTAGTTCGTTTATTGGCTATGTCATCGGCGCCATATTTACGGAAACCTAAAGGTTCATTCGTATGAAGATGTAGAAAGTTATTCATGAGTTCCCTAAAAAAATATAAAAGATTAGTATATGTGTTTGCATATATTAATATGTGCGTGTGTGCATAAAATACCATATGTCATACATATATAAATTAATATATATTTTTATAACTATAGTAAAAATAATTTTATATTGAAGAAAAGAAGACAGGAAAATATACATTTGTTTTATTTCCAGTTAAACATTAAAAATTAGAAATGCTTATAATCAATTCATTTCTTAACATCTATTAAAATCACAGGTACGATATATCATATATATGTATATACACATTCAACACATACACACATATATATATATACATATACCCACAAATCATATATAGACATATGTTGTAACAAATTTTGTACAAACAATTTGAAACATTCCGTTAAATAATGAAATTAAAATTATACCAACACCCAAAGTTTTAATACCATTTGATTGAAAATACAAACATAAGGCTGATATTTGTCGCGCGAAGTTTTTTAAGTATTAATTAGCTATGAAATAAAAAATATCTAGAAACTAAAGAAATTTCTATCCTGCAACAAATTATTATTTTTAAGAAGTTTGTCATACGAAAAATATCAGTTTAAGAAATAAAAACCGACACAATTCTAATAAGAAATTAAATTTTGTGCAACATAAAAAAATATCTTAATATAATTGTCATTAACTTCGTTTAAAAATAGAAAACAAATAAAAAGCTACAGCGTCGTAATATGAACACCTAAATTTCAGTGTCTTTATATTTTCGATCGTGTTGCATCTTGTTGAGAAGTCCTTTTCGTTTCCGTCTCTCCATGCTCACTTTTCCTGAGCGATTGTACATTAGAGGTCTTGTTTCTATAGACGTCTGGTACTAAACACTCTAGTACAAAGTGGGTAATGGCACCGGTAAATCCCCAGACACGGTGTTTACCGCCTAAATAATTCGGCAAGGTGAGATTGATATTGTGAAAATATGTGAAATGACACAGCTCGGGATCGCACAACTTTTGTAAGCTGATCACGAATGCCTCATCCACTTCGTCATGGTTGATCTCTAATTGTTCCGGCACTACTTCGCCAACATAAGCCAGCACAGGCATCACGTTGACGTTTGTCTTGCTGATAAAATTTCCCATGGTCCACACGTCGATCTTATCTTTAGGGATCTTCAGCTCCTCCCAAGTCTCTCGCAGAGCAGTTTCCTGTAGATCGACATCGGTCTTGTCACGCATACCACCTGGAAATGATGCCTGTAAAAGATTTTCTTGAAAAATTCAAATCTTGTAAGATGATAATTTTATGTTTTACAATTTTATTTGATGAAAGCAAAAAATGAATTAATTATAGACACACATATTTCTAATTTTTAATGTTTTATGATTGATATAAATATATTCTTTTAATTATTAAAGAAATATTTATCTGTAAATTTCTAACTTTAAAAAACAAATTTTTTGCAATTTTTATACTGTATAAATTTTTAAAAATAAATTATATGTATATATTGACCTGTCCTGCATTGGATCTGAGTTTTATGGACCGCAGAGTATATAAGAGACCAACTTCTCCTTTGTAGGAGCATAATGGAATCAAAATGGCAGCTTCTGTAACATCCTTGTCATGCAACTTTGGAAATTGCATGGATCTAAATTTTCTGATGCAAGCCTTACGATTGCTCTCTGACAACACCACCTCGGGCTTTAAAGCAGAGTTGATCATGTCGATATAATGTTTGGACACTGTGGACTAGAAAAATATTTAGAATTAATTTTTATTTACATTAATATGTATAATATTCTAAAATGTATATATATATATATATATATATATATATATATATAATTACATATATAATAAATACATAAATAACATATATAATTATATATATACAAAATATCTGTTTGCATTTTAACTTCAAGTTTTATACATTTTTTAACAAATTTTTGAAATCTTGTCTTGATAGAAAAAAAATAATTTCTAAAAATGAACAAATTACAATTTCAAATTATTCAAATTAAAATTGTAAAACAATCTATATCAGCAGGACAGTAAAATTGTAATTGTAAAATAATCTATATCAGTAGAATTAAAAAAGAAAAAAATTAAATATTATTTTACATATATACAATTTCAATATAATTTTATAATTTCTCTCTCTCTCTCTGAATTTTTCTCTGAATGATTCCCAATAGAAGATTTTTTTTAATGCATCACACTAGTGAAAAAACATTACGTAAAACACGTGTCGCGTATTCAAACATAACCTTGAATAAAAATTTCATTATTTTTATTAAATATATGTATGTATTAACGCACATAAAATCGATCAACTCGTCGAATAGCATTTTGTCTTTTGCGCCATTAATAGCAGTTGCAATCTCATCTTAGACACTTTGACCTACTCATGATAAATTAGTAAGATTGGTTAGGTGGCAATTCATCTGACGCAATATGCGCTATACATATATATATGTAATGACGTAATTCTAGCCTGCAAAATTCATTTGTAAAATAGCGGATAAACGATTGGCAAATACTTACGTATGCACGTAACAACGGACGCGCCGAAGTCGCGGATAGCTTCATCAATCAGTGAATTTTCGTTGCATAAGTGTTAAAATCACCGGATCAATTGATCAGTTTCGTGGAAGATGTTTTGACGGTCGCTTGAATTCGAGTACTAATTCACAGATGTCTCACGACCTACAATTTTCTTTCTTTTTTTTTAAATATGTAAAATGTATATTATATATTATATGTATGTATATTTTTTTCTCTTATATTATATGTTTATTACTTGTAAATTATTTTCTAATTAGCTATTACTGCTTTTTACAAGATACATTTTATTTTTTTAGTGTTTGATCCGAGATGTACGACGATTGAAATGTAATTATCGATTAAATAAAATTCAAATTTTCGCGCTAAAAGTTGAATTTTCGGTAAGTAAGATTTTCCATTAAGCAGGGTTTGAGTCTTCACTAAGTGAGGTTTGAGTCTGAGCTAAATAGGGTTTGAGTCTCTGCTAAATAGATTTAAATCTCTACTACAAATAGGATTTAAATTTCTGCTAAATGTAATTAGTTTTTGCTAGTAAAATGCAAAACGTTTATTAAAAATTATTTTATATATTTATATAAATATTTAGTTAAATCACTTATTATTTCATTTTGTTCTTTTCTTTACTATTACTTCCTTTACCAGTGTATCTAGTTTAACAACAGGATTATTATGTCGTAGATTTTAAAATTATCTCTACATGAACTGTTTATATATTATCTATATGATATTTAAATAATTTTTTTCATGTAAATCTGCGAACTATGTAAATTATTATATTATTATTATTATATATTTATATATTATGTTTATGCATGTATATATTCTAATTAATCAGACTGATGGTGAGAACAGCCTCTCTCTTTTTCATTTGAATGAAGTTTATTTAAAATCTTTCACATTTTTTGTAGCATTATTATTATTATTAAAATTATTATTACATGCATGCAATTTCAAACACACATATAAAATTTATATACACACACATTTACACATTCATGCGCAATCAAATTTATATTTTAAATATCGGCCTTATCACATATGCGATAAAAAGGGAGCAAGTAAGCGTAATCATCGCCGTCACTGCCGATTATTTCCTGGGCAGTAATGTTATAAAAATTAAATCTCCTTTCTTTAACAGCACTACGCTATACTCTATGCACGTAAGATGAGATAAACTTAAGAGAGAAAAGTATTAAAAAGTACGAAAAATGTAAGAAAGTACAGACGTGCAGTTAAAGAAAGAAAAAAAACAATCTAATTCAACGTTATGATACGGAATGTGTTTTTTTTTTGAAGGGAAAAATAAAAACGCGATAAAATAATCGAAAGGAGAAAAACAACGATGAACAAAATTGTGCTGGAAATAAGAGAAAAACGTGTGGAAAAAATGCAAAAAGAACACATTTTCGATCGGGCCTTGTCAGCGATTGCCAGCTAAGTACATCTGAAATTTGAATGGATTTTGATAAAGATACTTATTTAAATAATTATCTTGTGGGGACATTGATGAGATACGTAAGGTGTCAAAACATTATAATTTTTCATGAGAAGAATTTCAATTATTCTATAATTTAAAGAGCTCATTTCTAATTCGTTTTAAATACCAATTTTCAAGCTCTTTGTTTTTCAAATTAATTCAAATTAATAAGTAAATTTAATTCAAATTAATTTTCAAATTAATCTGTCGGATTTTTCTTCGATCTTTAGAGAGATGGGGACGAAAGAAATGATCAGACGTTGGAGTTGGCTTCTCGCCACGTGACCTGACTACCGCCGAGATTCTGCAGCCTTAAACTATTGACCGGGCTATCATCGCCCTCGTAACCGGCGTTCACGTGCCCCGCTGCCGACGTCGCTCCGTGTCCCTCGAACACGTCCTTGACGGATATCTGACTGCTACGAGACGGCCGAGCCTGGATCCCCAGCGGATTGCCGGCGACCCCGTAGATATTATTCGCGCCCAGGGTCTGCATCTGCGATTTCCGGCGCTGTGCCATTATGCTGTTGCGTCTACCCTCGAATGCCTTGAACGCCTCGGTGGTGCGTCGTGTCGACATGTTCCTCGGCAAACCTGGCAAATTTTTATTCAATTTTGAACGATTAAAAGTTTGCTTATTTTGCTTCGATTGCGGTTGCTTTCTTTCGGAGTAAAAAGGGGGATGATGCAAACCTGCGCCTTCGCTCATGCTAAAGAATCGCTGTCTGAAGGCTACGTCAAGCGTATTGATCGCCTGCGTCTTCCTGCGACTCTTTTCTAGATTTCTAATTGTTTTTCGTCTACCGGGCCCGCTGCCGCTGCCTTCCTCGTAATCACCCTCTATTCCGTCTAGTCTCTGTAGATCTCTCACTATCTCGACCGCATGTTTTGATAGCAAGGCTTCTTCGGAAAGATCCTTCGTCTGAAAAAATTGTCAAAGAACGTTTGTGTAAAATGACTCGAATGTATATTGTTGCACTAAAAATACAAATCCATGTGCGAATAATAATTAGAAATCAAAGATATATTCAACAAGAGTTGCCTAAGAAAATACAACTTTGAAAAATTCAAAATGCGTAAATTTAAAGTCAATTAAAAAATAATTAACATCAATATACTTGTTTTATAAAGAAGAAAAGTTTGTCTAAATCCCATTTAAGAATAAAAACTTTAAAATTTTAATTGGAATTTAAATTTTAAATTCCAATTTTATTTAAAATGGAATATGAAAAGATGACATATCTTATGATTTAATGTAAAAAACACATGATGTGCATAATTTTATAAAGTAAATTATGGGTACCTTTTTGCAACAATCTAGACTAGTGCTGGCCAAAATGTGGGCCAGTGTGCCGAATCGGTGGAACAACATCGCGGTGAATTGTATGACCAATATCAATGCGAAAAAGAAGACGAAGACGAGACCGATCGGCTCGAGTTGCAGATACTCCTTCGTGATATGTACCTGCAAAATCGCTTCCTTGTAAAATTCGTTACATTACTCGACGAAGCATATTTTTTAGGGAAAAAGAAACGCCTGACGAAGATCGAAATTTGATCTATTTTGGAAAAAATGATCGAGATTCTTAAATAAAATTTAATTAGTCTATATTATTAAGAATTTTTTACATTGCTAAATTAAAAATCGAATTACATTTTTACAAATTTTCTCAAAGAGAAAATTTTATTTTCGCTTTGAATCATTTTTTTTCATAAATTATAGAAATTCAATATCCAATTATTTTTGCGAGCACAATAATCGATCGATCGTCATCAGGAATCGTTTCTTCACAATCGAATGTACAGACAAATTCTGTTAGCGATTAAAATTCTATCGGTGCGTCTTTCGTGCGTGTTAAGATTAACACATCTATGTACACATATACATATATACGCTTATGAACCAAATAAGACGAACTTGAGGGTTGAACACTCAAAGCATCCACCGCGTTATATACATTAGTGGTGTTCGTTCACAATTTGCGATATAGTGCATATGTCAGAGTTAGACACATCGAAAAAGAAAAAGAGAAACGCAGATCTGAAAATCTATAGATCTGTAGATTCTTGCGAATCTGAGAGTCTGCGATTACAAGACTTTTGTACAGAAGCGGATCTATAATTTTGTTCGGTATCATTTTTTTATAAACAATAATTTTCGTTATAAAATAATGTTAACTTTAATATAATAATATTTTAATATCAATTTTAAAAATATTAATTTCGATAGCAATAAAATCTTTTAATTTTAATAACAGTTAGAATTTTTATAATATTAGTGCTAATAATTTCCTCGAACATTGAATGAGATTCAGAATTATAAAATTATTAGTTTCTAAAAAATGGAAAAATTAAATTTTTGTTCAAGAATTATTAGCATCAAAAATCTTAACAAAAGTTATCATCCGCCTCTGTCTCTGAATTATCGTGAATTAATTGCGTCATGTAATTAAATTAACAAGATTTAATTTAATTTCATGAACGTTGATAAATTTAGTAAGAGAAGGTAAACGAAAGTATATGTTATTGTGACATTCAGGCGACTAATTTCTGGTTATATTCCTAGTCAGAACCATGAGAAATCATCTCCCCCGCCATTCCATTCCATTCCATTCGACCCGGGTGATGAAGGTGAGATACCTGTGTGAGAATATTAATCGGAGACCTTCCGCACGTGCTGTCGGACGCGAGCCAATCGTGTTAATTACACACAAAAAATATATATACATGTTGAATCGAGGTGCAATGTCCATCGTACCGAAGATATAATAATCGTCCTCGATACGTTAAGATACTCGGATAATTCGATGTCTAATCAATTAAAAATGAGAAGAAAAATCTGAATGTTAGAATCGTGGAAAAATAAAAAATTTAAGAATTAAAATTCTAGAAATTAAATATCTAAAATTTTAAATATTTTAACATTATAAATTCGCGCGTGAGCAATTTTCGCTCTTTTATCAATTTTCATGAATTTTCTCATTATTTTTTGCAAGTTTGTCAATTTCGATAAATCTTATGAACAAGATTCATGAAATAATAATTTAAAAAAATTGCGAGAATCCAAGGAAGTTTCGCATCGAGGACGACTTCAAGAGAAAAACACCATGGCACCGCCTTAATCCTCTTCCCCTGTTTGATGATCGGATACCTCCGAAGTCTCCTCGATGTAAGTGATGTTGGTCTTGACGCCGAGCGGCCAGACAACGTGTAGCTGATCCTTGTTCAGCTGTAGCAAGAATACGATCAGAACGAACAACGCATTGAACATTAGAAAGGCGAACACGCTCTTGTTGCGTAGCTCAATCAGATCGCCGGCGATGCGGGCCTATGTTGCGTGGCGCAAATGTAGAGGAGACAGAGAAAAAGAAAGAGAGACGGCACGAGATTAGAATAGTAAAAAAAAAGCTCCGTCGATCGATCCATCGATATCCGTCGATCTCGTCGTTAACGATCCGTTCGAATCTGCTAGGTTTAAATCTAGATTTAAATCTAAGTTCTCTTAACAGAGATCGTCAACGATCTGTATTCGCGATCGAGGATACGGGACGACGACGGAGCTGGCTTTACCTCCATGGTGCTAGCGTCATACGTGACGTTCGTCTTGATGCCGAATGGCCACTTGATGTGCAACAAGTCTTTGTTCAATTGCAGCAGAAAGACGATCAGGACGAAGAGAGCGTTCATCATAAAGAACGCAAAGACGCTCTGGTCGCGTAGGTCCTTTAGATCTTTGGCGATTCTTGCCTGACAGCATGGCATTACATTAATTCAAGTATTACATATACATGAAATATGCAATTAAAATATAAATATATCTTTCATTGAATGGGAGAGAAGTAAAAAGTTCACCTCTTTTATAACAATATTTCTTTCAATTTGTAAATTAAATTATTGTATTAATATTATATATATATTTATTATATAATATTATAATATTATATAATAATATATAATATTATATAATAATAATATATATAATATTGTATATATATTGTATTTGTATTAATTTAATTAATTTTTTTAAAGCCATTAATTTCCTTTTTCAATTGAGACAATAATTTTTTTCAGCTTTTAATTTGATTCAATTTAATCATATTTCATCACTAAGCGATACATTGTGCCTGCGCGATTGTCGAGAGACAGAGGATCCATAGATCTTTTTTGATCCTCAAGATTTTGGATCCTCAAACAATCGTCCAATAAGAGAATGATGTGAAATAAGTTGTTTAAAATATAAAGATAAATATTTCAGAAGGGTAAATTTTGTCTCTTCACCCTTGATCGATGACAGCATGCAGTGACAAAGACGTATTGTATCGCAAGAAAGCTCGTTTTGATCCCGGAAATTTATTCTACAAAATCAAAATTAATCCATATTGAGATACTAACTGCATCTCTATATGAAAGATTTTTGAAAAAAATGTGAGTACAAACTAAAATTTTTTCTTCACATGCAAAGAAAGATGCGGATTGAAGAAAATTGGCTATAATAAATTCAAAAATTAAGCATGCTGAATCTCACAGAATAAATTGTTCTCAAAATTCTTTCAATTTACCTATTTTTTATACAAATTAAAAAAAATTAAAAGAATCCCCATCAGATTATTAATAATATCATTTCCAAAATTATAAATATTTGTTTTACTGTAGTAGAAATATATGAATCGGCAAAATTAAAAAATTAAATGTTTCGAATTTTATAGAAAAAAATAAATTCATCACAGTTCATTTAATTTTTAACATGGAATAAAAATTATTTATGTAACAATTACGTTAAAACAATCTTCCTAAAAGTTCTTAAAGATTACTGATTAAAATAAAAATATTAAAAAATTCCTTTAACTTTGATTATATTTGGAAAAGACATATGAATTAAAGGAATTCGCAAAACAAGTTTTGCACGAAACAAATACTAATTCCTCCGATTAAAGGAATATTTAAATCAGCCTCAGAATAGTTTGCTCGTCGTTTTACCTTCTCCGCCTTGTCCTCGTCGATTGGATAAAGATACTTCTCTAGCAGGTCCTTCCAGAATTGCTCCTCCTGCAGCGACAGCACGTCCACCTCGCCTTTCTTCAGGCCTTCATCGTTCAACCAGTACGGCCGCGTAAGGAAGTTGCTGCCATCGCGATTACCCTCGGTATTCAGACTCGTCACCGTTTCCGCGTCGCTGGCCTCCTCATCTTCGGCCGGATCCTCGCCGATAGCGCCAAGATGGTCGGCGGTTCGCGAACCCACGGACGAGGCTCTTCTCCTTCCGGAAGAATGAGGATCCACCGCTCTACAAGAGAATCTTTTGATAATTTGCAAGTCACACAAAATATATAAATCAAATTTAAATTAAATAGATACTTAATTTAGATAAATATAAATTAGATTAAATAAAATTCACCTCAAATTTTTTTGTCAAATATATCTGTAAATTGGCTTCAATATCTACGAAGATTTTATTATAATAGATTTTAAATACTTTGATTATATATTTCGGAATGATTTTTCATCGATTTCAGAAACCGATGGTGGTATCTCGTGTTTTCTTCTTATACCTCTCGATAGTCTCGAGCCTCTTGCTGAGCTGCTCGAGCGATTCCGCGATCGCCACGAGCTGTTGTTTCTCAGCAGACGGTTTGCCATGGGTGCAGAGCATACACTTGAACAAACCGGCCAGAGATATCTCGATGGAGCCCTGATCGTCATCGTTGGTACCTGCGCCATTCTGCAGAAAGCCAAGCAGGGATTTTTGCTTGGCTTTGCGCTTCGCTTCCTCCGCCTCCCGCTTCTCTTGCTCGAGCTCCTAAATTGTACAAATAATGACAATAACAGACACTTCGATTCTTGCTCAAGAAAAAATTAACGTAAGTTTAGATCGTGTATAATACAATAAAATATTAATAATGTAAAGTAATGTTAGCCTCTTAGTCCCAATTAGTGCAAATTAGTCGGTTAGTAAGGTGAACGATTAATTACCGTCCATGTTTTCTTCGTCTTAATCTTCCGCGTGCTCCAAGTGATGTCGTTGAGATTGCACGGAGATTGCAGCGGCTACTCTCACCTGCCATTATATTCCCATATATCCCCATCAATCCTTCGTATATATATGCGTGTATATATGTTAATTGCTTTTCTTTTTAAGATTAGCCAAAGCGTGACAACGAAGCGAATGCTTGCAGAATTATTTCATGATGAAGAAGCTCTCATGACTGATTAGTTTCCAGGACGCAATTTCCTCTGGTTCATGCATGGAGCGTTAAAGTTGTTATACAATAGGCGTTTCTCAAGACACAGAGGACACAGCGTATCACTTCATCCTTGCTGGTTGCCAAATGTAAACAAGGACGAAATGATTCACTGTGTTACACCGTGTCCTCTGTGTCGCTTGCTGAAAAACGTCCAATGTCAATACATATATATATGTAAACATTTTTATATTGAAATAGAATCTTTTATTTTTTTCTTTTTTTTAGAAGCGAATTAAATATTAATAATTTTATATACATTTTTGTGCGATTGTACTAGCATTTTTGAATATTAATTGCCTGAGATTGTTTTGCGTCAAGAGGATCGTTTTAATTTTGCAAAAGATATTTTTTTATTCAAGAATTCTAATAAATATTTTAAAAACAAATGAAAAAATTATCTTTAAAATTATTATTAATCTCAATCTTTGTCATAAGTTTAAAAAATACCAAAATAAATAATTTCTCATAATCTGGCTAAGTCTTTAAAAGTGAAGTTGTAAAGCCGAGAATCTAAGAATTCGATCGCGTTTTTTTGCCAAAGTCTGTTCATTAAAGAATTATATCCCCCGATTAATTACGATGAAAGAAAAATAAAAAAAAGTCAACAAATGCTGTGGACGAACCTTTTTGGTCTTCTTCGTTTGCACCTCCCTGGTACCCCATGATACAACGTTAAGATTGATGATGGAGTACAGTATGAGAAGCAAATACATGCATGGGATGGACAGTAGATATATGATGCCGGGCACGATGCACCAAAATTCTTGCGGATGCAGACAGGCTGCTATGAAGAACGAGCTCGACAATGATATGAGGAAGATCGCCGAGGGCGAGCCTATACCATCCTCGCCAAGCTGTAGAGCTGTACCTACGATCACCGCCATCATGATCATCGCGTACGCCGTCGACAGGATCTGGGCGCATAAAAGCTGAAAACCACTCACTCTTAATTTCTCCCGATACATCTTGAAGATGAGCTTTCATTTGACAGTTGACTTAAAAAGATTATATTGTCGAAATTTTTTCGTAAAAATTATTTTTTTCTGTAAAACGGATTTACAATGCTTTGTAAAACAGTCTTATTTTTCGATTTACAGTCAGTTTCTTTTTCTGGAAATTATGCGAAAGAAATTATACATATTTTAGCTCTTTTGAATAAGTCCAAGTCCGATTTTCGCGTTCGGTGAAAGATCTATGTATTACGATATATTGTACGTTAATTAAGAATTCTGATTGTGAAGACACACATTGCGAGGAAAAGAGAAAAACACAATGCGCAACGAAAAGCGGACAATAATGTGCGTGAAAAATTGAAAAATGAATAATAATGAAAAATACCTGCATGTTTGCTTTGCACGTGAAACAGACGATCATGAAGAGCAAAATGGGGATAATATTATAATAGAAGCTAGTCCAATTGTCGATCTTGAAGGCCGCCACGAAAGCTCCCACCAACATGAGGAAGATCGTGCCGGGCCCCAGAATCGTACCACCTGTTTCGATAGTCAAATAATCATAATTTCATTAAACATATCTTTTTTTTAGGAATTTGAAATTATAATATTTTAAATATATTATATGACATCAAGTGTGTGAAAATGTTCCAATGTGTCTACATCTTAATATTCAATCGCGTTCAAACAAATATTTTAATTTTATTTAATTCTCTCCCCAATTAAATCAACGAGCACTTACCCATCAGCAGAATCTGATAAAAGATGTAGAGTAACGAGATGTTGTCGTTAATTTTGATCGTGCGTTTCGCGTCCATCAGTAGATCCATGATATTCGCGATCGTGGAGGGTACCCAGCGACGCCGTTGGTTGTAGAACTCGTTGAATCCTTCCGGTGCGTGAGTGTAAGCGTCGCTCGCAGCCGAGTATTCCACCTAAATACATAAAAATAAATACATAAAAATAAACATATAAATACAAGAAAAATAAGATGTAACAATTCGTGGTAAAGAGACAGTTACTTACTCTGTACCCTCGTTGCAACAACAACGTGCATAACCAACGGTCCTCGCCCTGATCGTATTGCACATAGTGTCTCGCTTCGTCGGATTTGGTCGTATATTTCTTCATCACGTTATCGTCCATCAGAGCCTTGCCACGAAACAGCGAGAAGCATCCGGGACTACAGAGGACGCAGCCGATCATGTGCTCGGTAGCCTTTTGCAGCCAGTGACCAATTGCGTACTCGAACATCTGGTACCACACCATTGGTCCTGTAAATTTCATTGAAAAGGTCATAATAATTATTAAATTAATAAATATATATAACTATAAAAAAATTCTCTTAGAAATATTCAATTAATTATATTTAATAGATAATATGAAAATTTTGTGAATATTTTCTACTAATATTAATATAGTTGTATTGATATAATTAATAGCTATATTAAATATAATAGTAGATTTACTAGATTAATTTAGCTAAATTAATTTAATTTATAAAAGGATATTTTATGTATAATAGAAAATATAATGATAAATTAAAACAATATCATAATAATTGCATATATTTAATTTACTATGATTTTAATATCGATAAAATATATCATAATTAAATTTATTCGATTAATTTTGACCAATTGTTACAAACACATGCACACTGTGACGTTCATTTAAATCGCCAAAGCATAATCTTACCAGAACCGACTGGGTGAATTCGACCGCAAGCAGCGCCCAAATTTTTATTCTTTTTCATCAAATCCACGAGAAGTTTTACAGCTGCTGGTTGAAAGTCAATGTCGCCGTCAAGTGTTAACAGATATGTATTCTCGGCGATGACTTCTTTGCGATCAACGCTGATCGGTAATTCCATTAGCCGATGTCCGAGCAAATAATACATGTACATCACCTAAATTAAAAAATAAGTAAGGAATCGAGAAATCAAGAATCTGAGAAATTCGAAAAGAATACGATTTTAATTCTCAAAAAGAATAATAGATTTTAAATAAGTTTGTGAGACTAAACTAATTTAAATTCTGAAATTTTAGTCCTAAAATTTAAAATTTTTGAATTCTAGTCTTACATCGCAAGGAAAACCTGGCTCTTACCTGGCTCCATCGCTTCCTGTGTCGGATTTTGCTCTTGTCCTTCAAATGGGCGATCATCTTCGTCTTCCCTGGGAGAGTCCAAACCAGTCGTCCACCATACGGAGTCGGATACTTCTTAGGTGCTCTCACATGCATCCTCGTTTTATGCACGTCCGATGCGGCTTCGTCCAACGTGCCGACCAGGAGTTTCACAAACCTGTTCACTTGCGATTCGTTCTCGTCGTGATCCGACAGCTCGAACGCATCGTCGAAGAATATGTGAGCTAAAAAAAAGAATAGATACTTTTGTTTCCAAAGCGACAAATAATAATCGACATGTGTTGGTACTTTATTCGATCAAAATGACGAATTATTCGCCAACTTACTTTCAAATTCATAGTAATCGGGATCGACGACTTTGAGATACTTCTGGGCGACACGTCGCGCGCATTGGTCCTCATCGAGGCGTAGGATACTCTTCAGAAATTCCATCATCTCCTCCTTGTTCTCGTGCCACATGGTAGCGCAAGCGTAGATCCTGGTTACGTGATCGCTGCTCTTCACCGCGGACGGAGGTGTGGTTGAGCCGTCTGTTTGCTCGTAGATGGTCTCGTAGTCGCCGTCGCCCTTCTCCTTCTCTATCTCCGCCAGATCCTACCGAATCAATTCACTGATTAATTTAAGAAATTAAGAGGAGACATAACAAACTGAAAAATCAAGAAATTAAGTAGTTAATAAATTAAAATATCGAAAATTAATATATCGAAAAGCTAATAGGAAATTAAGATTTAAGAAATTAGGAAGTGAAAATTTAAACATTTTTTAAATAAATAAATAAGGAAAAATTAAGAAGCCAAGAAATAGAAAATCAAGAAATATTAGCAAATTAAAAAATTATTATAATTAATGATAGCAAGAACTATGTTGCTTACTTCTACTTTGACCTCCGGTTGATCATCCCTTCTCCTGTTCAGTCCCATCGATTGATCGATCAATAGAGAGTTGTACATCGGCACCACGAATAGCTTCTCCGTGGCAGCGAGACGCTCACACTTGGGTGTCCAGATATGCAGGGTGATCCAGGTCTGCGACAGCAGCCAGAGCAACCATACCCAGGCATATTGCTTTGACACAAAGTCGTTGAGAAAGTTCGGTGGTGGCGACTCGTAAAACAGGTAATCCGGAATAGTGCCATGGAAGAAGCACGGATCGCTGTTGCGAAGACCACAGGCGGCGATCAGCAGCGAGATCGACACTGGTATCGTGAGATTCACCGGAAACGCGTAACTGAAGCCCTGAATCAGAATCTTGCACGCGAATTTGCCTGAAGACAAAATAATTAGAAAATTTTAATCTTACAAAATTATTTCAGATATTAATCACAATCTCGAAAATTTCTGATTTCTCTCACATTTACCAAAAGAAAAACGTAATTTTGCACACATAAAGAAGAAGTTGAAATATATTTACCGTTTATACAAATGCCACACAATTATAATTGTTATTAATATTAAAAATTATAATTGCGACATTTAAAGAAACCAAAGTTAACTTGAATTTTATTTACCGAAAATGTAGGCAAAGTAGGAACCAGCGATCTGCAGCAGAAGAACGTAGATGGGCGAGCTGAAGTCAGCGTTGACGACCTCAGTGATGTCGCCAGTCACAATTTCCGAGAGATCGGGCAGACTTCCGGCGATCGACTTGACGGACGTGACGGTGATCTTGTGTTCACCGAACGCGCTGCTCAGCATGGTGAAGAGATGGCCTACATTCTCGCCTTTTATATGCAATATCAATATTGAACTGATAAAGAACGCTATAATCTTCCAGATAGATATCAGCATGTAAGTAAAGTAGCGCGTCAATCGCATCTCTTTCTTTACTCTACCAAGTGTTTTGATGAGACCTGCGAGAAGAAAGTGGAGACAACTGAGAAGACAAGTATTCGAAAGCTGCCTGACATATCATAAATAACTAATAAGGATTATATTATCATATAAAGTAAGTTTTATTTTAATTATGTTTCTATTATTAATAGAGCTAATAATAATAAATAAAAATAACAATTTATATTATTATAATAATTAATTAATTTGATACTAATATAAATCAATTAATATGTAATTGATCTAAATATTATTTTATTATTATTCATGTATTATTATTTATATATTATTTATATATTATTTTATTAATTAATTTTATTACATTACTATAATTTAAAGAAGGATTTTATAATAATCATAATTTAACATAAAATTAATATAAGAAAATATTTAAATATTAAATATTAAATTTAAAAAATATTTAATATTTTTCCTTGTGGGTCTACAAAATTCCTCACCGATCCGACTCTGCGTGGAGACGTAATTTTCCCACCAGCCGCAGGAGACGAGAAACAGGGCGACAGGAATCAGCCACAGGGAATGCTTCGAGTTCTCCAGCAGCGGCCAAAGGACGAAGCTGGTCGCCTGAGCGGCCAGGGCGGCCATATCGACGAGAACGAGAACGAATCGTTTAGATTCTTTGCTTTTGTTACGGGAAAGTAGGCCTGTAATAATAACATACGTGCACGTTACAGCGCGGTGTTTTGCTATTCTCGATTATCCGTTCGATAACACGGAACTGTGAAAAGATGGAACGAGAAAGTTGAACGATGGCTCGCGATCGAAAGCAGGCGAATCGTTCTTATTTCCTTTTACATGGCATGCAATCGTTCCGCATATTACACTATTTAATAAACTACACTGTGTGTTTATCACATTTTATGTATTTTATTTTTATTTTTAATAAATAATCGTATTATACTATTTAATTATTTTTATCTTATTTAATTTTATTAAATTATTTTTCATATTAAATTTCTTTTAAATGTATTTTATTTTAGACTCGATTTATGCAAACTTGTACAAAAGATAAAATTTCTTAGAGTCGAAAACTAGAGAAATAAAAATTGAATGGAATAAAATTACCGAGCAATCCGGGAACGAAGCATACGCAGTTGGTCAGCATCGCTCCTTTGACGACGTCCAGTTCCGGGAGCACCGCCATGAACATCAAGGAGACGCCCATTATATGAAACGTTTCCATGATAAAGACTAGGAGAAAGTGCGACAGATGCGGTTTCTTAAACGACTTGAAGATGCACATGCGGATGCTGCGCATCAGCACGCCAAACTCTGGTATCGATTGCGCGATTATTATGCACCAGATCCAGGCGATCCTTTCAACCTCGGGCAACGTCGCGGTATATTGATTTTCTCGATCTGCGTACAAAGGAAGGAATCGCGAGTGAATAAATTTAAAACTCAGAAATAGTTGATATTAATCATACAAATTCGGAATAAAATATCAATTATAAAAATCATAATTTCAGACTCAAACATTTAAATCAAATCATATAATTAATAAAAAATTAATTAATTAATTAATTAATAAAAAATTACACATGATCTATTCTTAAAGATTTCATTTCTTTTCATTTCTCGATATTAATAAAATTATCATACTCATAATACAATAATGTTTAATTTTTCAAAAATACGTAGATAAAGAATTAAATTTTTTCAGAATAAAATTTATTATAATTTAAATGTTTATTTTTACTTTACCTAATTGTTTGTTGCAGTAAAATATTTTTCTGTCCCGTTGCAGCTGCGATGTCATGAAGAGGATCGTGCCCTTGGCGACCACGCCGCTTCCCAGCACGATGATGAAAACAAGTAGATAGACGAGGACCTTGATCACTTGCACCATTCTCTCCAGGCACTTCTGGTTCGCCATGGAGCCCGAGATGGAGTCGAGTTTCAGCGGTGGATTTCGGAATACGTCCCATCCTTTCGTTTCGACGATCGTGCGTTGGCTAAATCAATTTCATCAATTAAATCAAAATTGCGTTTTTTATTTTAATCAGCGGCTCAAATTAATTTGATCGATAGAGAATTTCTTAATCTAATTCTTCTTGTGTTATTTTGTCCCTTGTGCAACGTAAAATACAATGTAAAGTAAATTTTATTTCTTCTCAACTTTTAAAATACTCTTATAAATCGTAATAGAATTCTTGATCTATTTGTTTTAATTATTTAATATCTAATTTCTCTTAATTTTTTATTTTGTTTTCTTAGTATTTCTGATTTTTCTCTTAAAGATGAGAGACTTTAGAATTCGAGAAATAAATTCTTTACTTAGAATCTCTTTCATTTCTGCGAATCTCTTTTGATTTTTATAGAGATAAAATTGAAAACAAATTACATTAATAATGATGAAATTGCCATTACCTTCCGATGTAATCCTGAGTCAGAGGAGTGCTTTCACCATCCGAAAAATCATCCGGTCCAGACATCGCGCCACCGCCCGGTATTACACCATTTTGATGTTGATTCTTTGCCATTCTGTAAGTTCGTGATTTTTATTTGCAGCATTGTGAAAATATAAGAATGATAATAATTAAATTATTAATTGAAGAAGATCCTAAAAGAATTAAAAGTAAATGTCCTGCAATTATATTTGCTGTTAAATAGCTAACGTTGAAGGACGAATAATTAATCTAATCGATTCAATTGACACTTTAAAAGGTATAAGAATAATAATTTATTAAACGCATAACGCAATTGTCTTTTGCTTGAGATTTCCAAAGAAATACAAAAGACATAAATTTTCACAATCTCTAAAAATCCAGAATGTTAAATCTGTAAGAAACATTTAAAAATCTTCAAATATTAAAAGAATTAAAAGTGAAAAAATTATAAAAATTATTTTGGAATTAAAAAATTATATTTCTAAACTTACGATTATAAAATATATAAAACATATGAAATTTATAAAATATATAAAAAATATTGAAAGAGCGCGTGTGTTGAAAAATGTAAAAATTAAATGTATAAATGTAAAATTAATATATCAAAAAATTATATTTTCCTTTTTAATATTAAGTTTCTGCTGCATTCTTCCAAAGAATATTGACTTTGTTATAATTCTGTTTAAATCCCATAATGACAAGATTAGATTACGGGATAGATTGATAATCTATATAAATTGATAATGATTGATTAAATTAATATATTAGATTGATCTATAGAAACGCAAGGATTACATTCAGATCAAAAGATTTTATAGTATATAATTTTATACTAACATAATTTAATAAGTTTTTAGTCAGTTTTCATTTTTGTTATACATCTCTTTCTTATATCTCAATTATCATTAGTCTTCACTCTATTAACACTTAATTGTATTTCTCTTTCTCTCTCTTTCTCTCGTCATCTGCAGCGATGTTGTTTAGTTGATCGCCGATTAATTAGCGTCAATTAATTAAATGCGCAAAATTCTCGCGATTCAACGTCGAGAATCGCGGACACTCAATTTATCTCTCCTCGGCATCTGGCACACCAAGGGGTAGAGCAGGGGATAGGGGGGGTGCGTACGTATCTTTGTTCACGCCAGCTGCGAGAAAGATCCGGGGTTTCTGGTTCCTGAACTCCTCCGAGAGACTGAAAGTGAAAGGGAAACGAAACGTACGACGTGGCAGATAACGTAGCAAGGACGTCCACTGTAACTTCGCCGGCTGTTGCCGCCCTCGTCGAGTATTCGTATCCCTCAACCCTGTCCCCCCCTCTGTTCCCCTCTCTCTTTACATTTCCCTCCTTCAATCCAACTGTCGTTAAAAATCAGCGTCTCTCGACGCCGTTGTTAGTCCGCGCACCCTTCTTGACCTTCTCCTTTTCGCGTTCTTTCGTCTCCGCCTGTCTCCCTTTTCTTTGTCCACACTTTTTTGCGCTGTCCACGCCTTTCGATAACGAGACGATGAATGCATCTGTCGTGATGTGTTTCGTACAGAAAGAATTTGCGAAAGTAGTTGTTTGATTAAATTGATTTTTTTAACTGTATGTTTGATTAAATTAATTAATAAAAATCATTATTTTATATTATTTATTGTAAATCTAATTTCGATTGACTTGTTCTATAAAATTGTTCAATTATTCAATTAGTTAAATTATAAAATATTTTTTAACTACAAGTTATATAATTATTTTTTTCACACAAATTTTCTCTGTTTTTATGCGAGCGATGAAAGGAATCCCAAACGTATCTCGATATATTTTTAATTTCACATTTCCATAAAATTCAAAAGATTAAAAGAGAATCGTCGAAAGCTTACAATATAAATTCAAAAGAAGCTAAAAATAATATGTTTTAATTAGCATATGATTCATACAAAAAGATGATATCTAAAAAAACTTTTATATATTTAAATCGACATCGAGGATATTCTTTCCATCACAGCTTGTTTGAGCTATTCTCGATCGATTTTCTTTTCTCTTTTTAGAATTCTCGACGAGTCGAAATTGCGAGGAAGTCGCGTACCGTTAACCATCAATTCGGAATAATAAGTTTCTGAACGATGCGCGCGTTCAAGTGCGACGAACTGCTCGTGTTGCGAAAGGAAATGCGGTTGATCGAAGACAATTAAGATCTACGTTTCTAATAATCAGTTCATCATAATGGTATCTACTATTATGGTATACATCAATCGCACTTTCCTATTTCGTCGAGAAACAGTGAAAGACTTGCTTACTTGATTAAGAATCGGTTAATAAAAAAAAATTTATTTATTAAGTAAAAATCGAGAAAAATTAATTTGACAATTGCAAAATAGATTTACCTAATGAAAAATCAATTTATTGAGAAGAGTAAGGAACAATAAAATTGATTTATTAAAGATATTATACAGTAAATATTTAATTTGTTTAAATTAAAATTAAAGATTGGTTTTTGGCAGAAATATTTGTTTAAGAAAATTTATTAATTAAGGTTAATTTATTATTAATTTATATAATAAAAGATTTCTTTAATTCAAGTCGATTAAGAATGATAAACGAAAATCGATTTATCGTGGATAATAAAAGACGTATTTAACGAATTTTTTTATTTATCAAACAGAGTAGTAAAAGACTGATTCAGCAGAAGACTTCATCTCTTATCGATTTATTATCGATGAAGCAGGATGATGCAGAGAAATTCTGGTGCCAAGGAATCGTCAAAGAATTTCGTTGCGTTTCATATACGCATGTATGTGAATCATGCATGCAGAAGGGAGCCAGAGTTTCTCGAAGGAACGCGAGGTCACGTGGAAAGGAACGACCTTGCCACGCGGCGGATATATTTCGAGAATGGATTTTAACAAGATCCAGGGAAGGGAGAGGAGGAGGACGAAAAAAGATGGGAAAAACATGAGAGTGGCAGCCGGATTCAGTTCATCGTCCTCGATAGCTCGATCGTGAATCAACCATTTTTCCCGCCATCCTGAAGAAGCGTGCCTCTCGGCTACTTATTTCGTTCCTGAAGAGGGGAAAGAGAAGTCTACAGCGGTACCCACGATTTCTAACGATTACGTATATATATGTATATGCAGGATGCATCGTAAAAGAAAAAGAAAAAAGGAACACGTAAATTCATGCACTGAAATTGAATCGTCAGCTCTTCCGCGTTTTACGCTCATCTCTTTTTCCTATTTCTCTCTCTTAAAATGCTAAAATGTTCGATGGCAATTTATCAAGTTATCTATCTATACGTTGGATTAGATTGTCCTTTATTTATCTTTAAGATTTTTATTTGTTATGTATATTGTATAATATTTTATATATACAAATTACACACATGATAATCGTGATTTGTTGTGATCAGCTGATTTGGTTTAATTAATAATTCGATTAAATCAACTTAATCAAAAAGTTTATTTTTAATCTTAAATTTAAATTATACTTAAGAATAACTGATTTAATGATGCGAGCAATTTTTAAAAAGATTATATTTTGCACAAAGTTTTTGAAATCATCCTTTGCATGGCAAGATATTTATTTCCCATGACGAATTATTTTTCTTTTCGCATTATTTCCGAAAATTAAGTTTATTTAAACCGCGTTAAGAGAGAAGTTATCAATTCCTGACTTGTATTAAGCAATTGTTGCGTTATTGCGAGTGATCTACCTTACTATTTTCAAAGACACGCGACCGGACTTTCTAATAGAATTTTCACCGGGAGACATCGGTCGCGCCATTTTCTATATAATAATGATACAAGCTGAGACATTGCATACATATTGATTCATTATTTATTCATGTCACATTTATAGACTGCATTTCGAAATTAATATGTGGATCGATCAAGATAAGAATTCTTGCCTCGCTATTTTTAAAGACTCACGATGAGATGATTTTAATTGACCTTATTAAGAAGAACCCGTTTATCGAATTTTCTAAATTTCTTTTAATACGTAATCGCGCGCATGAGTCGCGTACAATAAATTCGCGCGAAACTCGATAGAATATCCTGCTTTGTACAACGCGCTTACTTTCTCTTCTCCCTTGCTTGCGCTACAATAACAGTTGCGAGATCTATTTCTAAGACCGAAGAGATTCATCGCGAGAGACTAGCTTTATTTCACGCGCGTTGATAATAAAAATTGCAAATAAAAAATAATCGATAAAAGTTTTACGAGAGAAAGAGAGAGATTTTCCACCCAATCATCCAGCAAGCGTTTCTCTTGATAACTGACTACAATATTGACGAAGAAACCTTCTATAATAATGTATTATTGTCCGACACGCGGTGAGAAAAAATCGAGGAATCTTTTATTATTTTCTTTTATTCTTTTATTATGTTTATTATTTTTTATTATTTTTATCATTTATTTATTATTCTTATTATTTATTATTATTATTCTTTATTATTTTCATCATTTACTTATTATTTTTATTATTCTCTTTTCGACGATATAACCTTAATAATATATCGAAATAAAATATTCTATTTCTGACTGATCGCCGACAATTACATTGGATTACAGGGGGATCATGTGATGTCATCTGTCAGATAAATGATGACTCTTCGCGAGAATAGAGAAAAAAGGATCCGGGAGTATGACGAGAGACCAGGCTTCCTGACCGCTCTAATCTCGGCTGTGTCGACTATCGTTCTCGAGATCAATCTGACGTCAAGGATCGTACCTCGGGATAATCGGCGATAGCGAAAGTAACGGGCGCAAGGTCAGGCCGTGCCGTAAATATGCAATTATCGCCTCCTCTCTCGCAACATGCGACTCGTCCCGTCACGGCATTTCGCACGCCGCCCCCTTAACTCATCTCCCAGGACGATCAATCGAGTTCCGCGACCGTCCGAACCGTTTCGACACGCGCAGGGTGATCCTTAATGGAGTTCCCGTTACGCTGTCGCCCACGAGTGCCTCTCGCTCGATTATTATTTCTTAATCTGCGTATTTGTTCGAATTCCGTATCTCCTTTTTCTCATTTCGAGAGGCTCGAAGATCTCTGGAAACTTTCATATATACCTTAGGATGTTTCGAAACCGGTTATCCTTTTAATAGTAGATGGCCAATTCGAGCCTCTTTAGCGAACAAGTCAAGAGAGGTCATGATTTTTTGCAATTTTCCAATCTTTCCTATTCCATACTACGAATAAAATTATATTCGAGTATATTTCATGTGAAATTGTGATTTACGAAAAAATTTTCCTTTCGTTTATAACTTGGAAACTGTTGGTACCTTGACATCGAAGAAAAATTGATTGTAAATTGACCGAAAATCTATTAAAAGAATATTTTATATATTAATAATATAATAATCATAATACGCACTATAAAAATATAATTATAAAATATATTAAATATTTTAAATAATTTATATCTTTACTAATATATAATATAATAATTCTCTTAGAAGCTTTTTTCTCGCTGATATCGTTTTATCGAGTCGTTTGACATCGTTAGATTTGTGGTCCTAACATGAGATTGTAAGACTTCGTATTCCTCTGTCTGATATGCGACAAATATGCTAATACATTCGAAGCATTTTTAGTTGTTGGATTTTTCGATTTTAGCGCGAAAGATTTAAAAATCTCAGAATTGCAACTCTTGTGCGGAAACTTTGCGCGCATAGTTTTCGCGTAACAGCGCAAATGGGGCACGCAACAAAACTACTTTCATTTCTGCTCGCGGCGATTAATAAGTAGGAAGTTAACCCAGTAAAACTGTAATCGTGGCGTGAAGCGCGTTTTAAGTAAATAAATTGCGATCGTCTTTTCATCCTTTAAAACTTTCCAATTAATTTATAATAATAATTAATAATTAATAATTTTGCAGATTTTTGCACTCAATCAGATTTTTAACTTATCTACTAAAAGTCATAATTATGATTATAATAAATGGATTTTATTCGATGGAAAAAATTACCACGATTGCTTTTATTTCCTAGTATTCTCTAGAATTATCAATATTATAAATAACTAATAGCTTGCGTTCCGAAATTGTGAAAGTGTAAGAGAACTTTCATAATCATTAAAAATAAGCTAAAGAATTTTAATTAAACCAATATTCTTGCTGGCTCTATTTTTAAAGATTCTAGAATCATTTTTAATCGTTTTATATAATTTCTTACAAATTTCAGATACTGAAAAGTTGAAAAATCATTTATTATCAAAATTGCATACGTTTTTGGTAAAATAAAAAAAATTATTACATTAGAATACAATAAAATACAATAATATTAATAATATTTTCTAAAAACTGGGACTAACTTTGTTAAACGTCACAATGCTCACACACTCAAGAGAATGCTTAATGAACGGAAAGTCTAAACATTAACGCTCATTAATCGCGGTAATCTTGTCAAGGAGAGAGAGATAGAGAAAAATTAATAAATAATGCAATTTCACACTCACTTGCAGATGATTCGGTCTCTGCTAGATCCTTATCCTCTGTATCCTCGCGACACAGGTAGTCATAGTCGACGGATGACGCGCGACGGAGATGTCGAGGGATCACTTCCTGGACCCGCTTCCTCGGGAAGATGTTCGGGGGAAAACTATTTCCTATTTTCGCACGCTCTTTCTTCTCTCACATGTGCGTGTGTATATCCTTTTTTCTTGCACAAAAGGAGGAACACGAAGTCGAGGATACTTTTGAGAAAATTGTCAAACGATGACGACGACGACGAGATCGCGCAAGATCGCTAGGATCGGTCAGGTGAAAGCGGAGTCGAGGTGAACGTCAGCCGAACGACGACTGCCGTGGCATCGTCTACCAAGGTAGGTAGTTCTTCGAGGAGGGCCTCCTCTCCCCGCCTGCCCTCTCGATCGGTCGTATACTTTCACGAGAGAGTAGGTAGACAGAAAGCGAAGCGAAGCAAAAACGAGAGACTTCAACGCCAGAGATGCAGGCGCAGAGGCAATGGATTATCGATTGCGTTTTCCGTTTTGAACATATTGTCAATTTTAATCCATAATCGTTCATTTTAATATCTCTGCCAAATTTTGCTTCCTCATGTAATCGAACCGTTCTCTTCTCGGGACAGGTCGAGGCGATTAAATGTCAAAGTTTCTTGCGCGAACGTAGAATGGAATGTGGCCTGCGAATAGGCAATCCGTTTTGCGATCGCGTCAAACCGTTTTCTTATGCCGGACATCATGAATCGCTGGATTATTTTCTTCAAAACTGATTTCTGTGGAATTACATTATTATTTAATAATACGATATTTTTACGAAAATATATTTGTCCAAACAAAATATATAAATCTACGTAATATAAAAAAATTAATAGTAATAAATAAAATCTAGTTACTTATTACATATGTATATATTAATTATTGTATACAAAAATCATGTAATTTTTGTTGGACTAGTTTTTCGATATTTTTCACATACAACATTGCAATCTTATTCTTTATACACTTTCTTAGTACAAATATTCTTCGATTACTAACGTTTCTTAGGATCTCGTCTCTCACAATTACATAATTATAAAAGTATCAAAATCTTTTTATACAGAAATGTTACTAAACTATATTTATATTGAACTTCTCATTATCTTATCATTTGCCTCACTTTTTTCTTGCTAGAATATATTGAATGAATTTGCTGAATTTTCGCGAGGCAATTTGGAAAAACATTGATAGCATATACATAATTTAAAAAAAAAAAAAAAAAATATATATATATATATATATATATATATATATGTTATATACATTTTAAAAAATTTTTCTAATTTTTATAAATATAAAAATTTATATATATAATGTCAATTATTCTAATATATATTTTAAAATATATAGGTAAATATACATATTTCATATTTAAATTTATATTTTTGTATACCAATCTTTAAATTTTTTGATATATTTATTCTTTTCCTTTTTCTTTTGATTAAATTTAATCTCGAATGTATCTCGTAATTCTTGGTGCAAATTCCTTCATGAAACAGTTGAAAAGTAGTTATGATTTGAATTGCTTGGATTAGTTGCTAATTCTTATGATTTGCTTGACCTTTATCTTTACTAGTCAAGATATGATATATATAATGCGATAATACATATTTGCCAAAAGTGATAAATAACAATTTCTGCATAAATGCGTACGTTTATATTAATCTCTATCATCAATCAGAAATTAAAAAAGATTAAAAGTAATGTAGAGATATATTATTTAATCATATATTATTTAATCTTTTCATTTTTGATCAATTTTACTTTTTATCATTTAATAACAATAATAACAATATATATATTATTATTAAAAGATAAAAAGTATAAATCAATCAAACATTAAAAGATGAAAAATAATATATATATATATTGTATTTTAATAACAATAATAACAATATATATATTATTATTAAAAGATAAAAAGTATAAATCAATCAAACATTAAAAGATGAAAAATAATATATATATATATTGTATTTTAATTTTACTTTTTATCTTTTAATAATAATAATATGTATAAATTATTTATGTACATATTATTATTTTAATAATAATACATATTATTATTTTAATAATAATAATATGTATAAATTATTATTATTAAAAGATAAGAAATAAAATCAATCAAAAATATAAATCAATATTACATAATATATTATGTCAATATTTATATATAATAAATATAGTTGTGTATAATACTTACTATAATAAATGTTATATGTTTCTCTAAAATATTATGTCGAAGAAGGTCTCGCTTTTAAAGCGTCATAAGTTTGTAATAAAAAATTCTTTATGTTGAAATTTTTCTTATCTATACAGGCGATAAAACTTTCACACTCTTATTATTATTTATCTTCGTAATTAAATCATAATTAACTCTGTTATACTAAAATCTCCTTAAAATTAATCGAAAAAGTATGATTTTACGTCATTATCTGTCGACCGAAATTTAGCTCGTCAAAAGTATATCACTTTCAATTTTTTCTTCATTTTCTTCATATCTCTAGTTTTATTATTTTGGCTTTAATATAGCAAATTTTAAGTTTCTCATTTCATATTAAATCTTGTTTTTCTAATTTTTGTTTTAATATCTTGAATGATAATTTCTATTTTTAATTTTATATATTTCAAAGGAAGAAAGAGAGGGAGAGAAGTATTTTTCTATCAATTCTAATTTATATTGATTTTATATATAATTATAGCATCTCACAAATATATTCATTATATTCAATCTTACGATTAGTTTCAAAATTAAAAAGCTTTATTCCAATTTCTCTCTCTTTCTCTATATTTTTATTCCAATTTATCTAGCTTCTATCGAAAAATGATGTATAAAAGCGAAATATATTTTTTAGTCTCTTGAGAAATTATTTATTTATTTCTTCTAGATCTAAATGATATTACGATGATACGAATCGAAGTAATCGATGCAATGCTTTCGAAAACAATTGAATTGCGCATACCTATATCATGGTGTGATTCGAGAGTTATCAGTCCAAGAGAGTGCGCATGACCTTAGACATTTCAGATCAGTGCGCACTGTACCGTCGAAATGATAAGCGCCATGGAATCATTTAGATATTTAAGTCCTCACGCACGGAGCAAAGAGTGCGCAGTGTACGCGCTACTGCGTGAAACGCAAGTTAACGAGGAACTGTGATCGTAATTGAAAATGAAGTAATCCAATGCGTGCACGTTGTTGACAACACGATCGCGAATCTTCAAATTTGTGCCTTAAAATTTAAAATCGATTAATAAAAAGTTGCACGTGAGAATAAAGTCGTTTCGAAAAAAATTCACTTAGTTTTTCTCTCGATTAGATAGGAGGTCGTTGATCTTCTAAGCAAGATCATAAATCGTCCGAAGAAAGATCCTCGTTCGTATCTTAACATCTTCATAAGAGAAAATCGAAGAATCTCTCGATGATTATGGGGTCCATTTCGGAAGACGCTAACGACGTTAGAAAAACTTCCTCTGAAGAAATTAATACTGATGTCGCGAATGGTTTTCGCAAAAAAGGTAAAGATCGAATCGATTAATCTTGAGATGTGTGAAACTTTCTCGATTCCTGAGATTCACTTTAATCACTTTAAAATACAGGAAATCAAATGTCACAGAATCTTTTGAAAATCTTGCAATATATTTATCTCTTTTTGAATTATTTCAACTGATTTCGATCAAGTCTTTCGCTTCTTACAATTTTCGCTACAGAAAAAATATTTTTTATGTCACATTTATTTTAAATAATTTTTAGAAAAATTTTAGAAATTTTATTATTTTTTATTATACATCTTAAAAGAAAGTTATTTTTTCGTTATATTTTAATTATATTCGTTATATTCAATATTTGTAAACTTTTGTCAGAAAATTTAAATATTCGAAATTAATTCCTCGCGTACAATATTTATTGAATTTCATCAGCTATTATTATTTTTAAGGATGTTTTGTACTTATTTTCAAAATATTGAAAATTTAATGAAAATTGTACAGAATGTTCTTACATATATTTAGAGTCTTCAGTACAATTTTTAAATCGAACTCCTTACTAAAACGTTCATAAGTTATAAGGATTTTAATTTCCATCGAATTAACATGTGTTTTTATGGGAAACATCGATTACCACGTCGATTCAAATGACAAAACCACATGGAAATAATATTCAGAATTTGTTTAAGATTTGCAAAAGTTTAGATACAGAGGAAATATTTGGTCAAATAATATTATACAAGTACTAACTGATTAAAAAGATATTAAATATAATTTAATAAAGTTAGCCATGTATCTATCACAAGACGAAATTATCTGCCAAAAATTAATCATTTCGATTCCACACAATTTCTCATACTCAAAATACACCAAAAGTGGATATTCGTCAATATTGATTTTCAGCTACTTTTTGCTCTGATTGTACATACAAAACATCCTTAAACACAAACACATCATTCGACGAGCGAATGTTTTGTTTATTCTATACCGCTTTGACCTCGATTAAATTTTTTTCTATAACTATGATAATACGCTTAATAATTGATAATCTCACATAAATATATGTAGCATTTCTATGATGAAACGCTATATATATATATATATATATATATATGTGTGTGTGTGTGTGTGTGTGTGTGTGTGTGTGTGTGTGTGTGTGTGTATGTATGTATGTATATGTGTATGTGTTTTTTTTTCTTCTTCCAGTAGTTAACGGAAACGCGGACATATTACGTGAGACGACCACCGATGGATTGCGAAAAAGTATGCAGGTGAATTGATGACCTCATCTCGATCGTGATTGAATTTAATGGAACGTGCGAATTAAAGTGATACACTGAAAAAAAAACTTGGTTGAAAAAGGCAAAATTTGTTTTGCCTAACTAAATATATTGTCCGATACGTTCAAATAAATATAACTGAAAGAACATTCCGAAATAATTTGTTGATGTAAACAAAGCTTATTCAAATCATCAAAACAGAGAGTTTAGTACAACGATGTACAGTTACTACAACAGAATATTTTTTTTGGTAATATTCAACCAAATTTTCTTTTCAGTGTAGAATTATTTTGAAAATATTTTTATTCGGAAGCACGATGGTGCTTGTGAGTCATTGTGTTTGCGACTAATTTAAGCGATAAGATTAAGCATTTGTCGATGTACCAATGTTTTTCTAGGGCATATTTACATTGTTTTTTTAAAGCATATATTTCTATAGGAAATAAGGAAGGACGTTTTGGAACAAGTTAACGATCGTATTAACGATAATATGATATCTAAGGCTTTGCAAGGATTAGAAACATCTCGAATGAAGAAATCATTATTTGACACGGACAAATATCGCGACAAAAGGTGAAAAATTAAATGTTTAAATTAATGTCATTTATTACAATATTAAATATTAAATTTGTTTTATGATATATTGTAACATCATAATATAAATATTATAATGTTATAATATTAAAAAAAAGAAAACATCTGAAGCAATCATCTTTTTACAAAATATTTTGTAAAAATATATATATATTTAGTTAAAATATAAAAATTTAAATTAACATCTCGATGATGTTATATAATATATTGTGCCCTATTGTGTTCCGATTTTCTAAAAGCATGTCATAAGATAGTCTGGACATTAAGAAGACATCTAATATTGTCTCTAATCTAATCTAATATCTTTATGTAATAGTTCAATATTCAAATCAAAGCTAGATAGTCATTAAATGGATAATGGCAAAAAAAATTTAAAATTTTCTTGAATACTTTTTATAATCGCGTCCTATTTCATAATTCATGAATAACAAGTGTTTTTTATAAAATTATTTGTGCGCCAACATATGATAATATACATAATAAATTGATTTTGCATTTACATCGCTAATCGTTTTGCAGACAATCCGACAAAGAAGGTGCGCTTCCGGACAAGGAATTTCTCGCGAGGAACTCGCTGCTCACCGATCTTTTCGAGATCACGCACATTCGCACGGTTTACAATCTGTTCATAGTGATTTTCTTACTGCTCTTCCTCAATACCATCGCGTACGATATCATGGAATCGGGAACGTAAGTGAAATCGGCAATTTCAATATATTTGAAGAAACAATATTCTTCAAAAATTTCAAAGCATTTCTAGTATTTTTAATATTATGACGTTCAGCAATTTTCCTGCAATTTTAATTTTAACGATCGATTATTACATCAAACTAGAGTCATTTTCTCTTTAACGAATATATCGAAGAAAGTTGCCGTCAATCACGAAATTTTTCAATTTTTTATATTACATATCCTTACAAAATCCTGCAGATCTCAATTTATATAAAATTATACAAAAATACTATTATTTATATTTGAATTTTTAATTAAAAAAAAGAATTAATCAAATATTATTAATTGAAATTAAAAAATTTAATATATGTAATTTAATAAATTTACTGGAGAAAAGTAAAACTTTAGATTTACCAGAAAAAATTTTAAAATTAGAATCGGAAATTGTGAAATGTTTCTCACATATATATTAGAATAAATAATAACTTTATATTATTTTAATAATTTAAATTGCAGCTTATCTAAAGCGCGATGAGAGTTATCAGGATCGAAGTAGATGTTATTATACAAAAAACGTACAATCGCATTATTATTCTGCTTTGGAAAGCTACCCGCGACATAAGACGATAATTTAGATATCTCCTATTTGTCAAAAGTTCATTGAACGTTTCGAATAATCAAAACATCAAATAATTTGTTAAAGGCTGACGTGTGGGATCGTAATAATATCGAAAGCTTTTGCAAAATTTCCGGCATCTCTCTACATTTGGTCGCTCATGCAGATCTCGACACTCGCAGTCTACGTGCCTTTCAACCTCTGGTCCCATCAACGACTTCAGTTTTCACCAAAATGTAATAACTTTTTCATTCTAAATTTTTTGCACATTAACGTAAAGAAATTCAATCAAATTGAAATAATTAATAAAAATTTAATCGAATAAAATTTAATCAATAAAATTGTAATAATAATTGATCAATTAATTTATGTGAAATTTAACGCGTTGTAATAACACAATATAAGAATAATTAATTCTCACATTTAAAAAAATAATTGGATATATTAATTAATTAAATAATTTGGGCAGAGCTTAAATACATAATTAAATTATACAAATTACTTTGATCCATTAATATTATTCAATTATTATTAAAATGTACTATTTTCTTTGCAGCACTTTATCGGAAACTATGGGATTATGGGTGGCTGACAATTTTTATATCATATCAAGTTCTCTTTTTAATTCTTCCTCCAAGAGTAACGTTGAATGAAGATTTAGGAATAGCTTGTAGACTAGCCATATTCTTGGAACAAGTATGCATGAAAAAGTTTAACATAAAATTCGCGATAATAATTAAATATAATATAATAATAATTAAATATAAGAATTCTAAATATTTGATAAATTAAAGCATTCCAATTGTAGAAATAATGATTTGTTCAATGTTTGCTTTTTCAGACGCGCATGATGATGAAGAGTCATGCTTTCGTTAGGAGCGTGGCGCCCAGGTTCATATCGTACAAACCTCACAGCGATGTTTCGAAACCGAACGGACCTGGATTCTCGCAATACTTGTACTTCCTGTTTGCACCGACTCTCGTATATCGCGATGAATACCCAAGGTATAAAGACATTCTTGGCATTCTATAAACTATGAAAAATTTTCTTGGCATCTTTGATGACTCAATCTTCGAGAATCTTTAAAATCTATAATATATATAACATTACATTATATTATTATATACATATTTTATATATCTTTAGAAGTAGAAAAAATTCCACTACGAGTCAAAATTGATCCAATGTCTGTTGGTATTTTTCGTTACCCAAAGATCAACGTTTGATAATCTTAAACTTTTGAATGAATTATAATAGGAATTTTTTAAATTTTCAATAATATTTAGTGTATATATAATATTTGTTTATTAAATTATTAAATTAATTAGAATACTTGCGATCGATTTCTCAGAACGGATGCGATCAGATGGATAGTGGTGGTTAAAAATTTCATGGAGGTCGTCCTGGTGATCTTCTATTTCGCTTTCATTATGGAGCGCCTTGTTTTGCCGGTCTTCCACATCTTTGGAACGCAATATCTGGAACCAAAATGGATCGTCAAGAGTATTATCGAAGCGAGCGTTCCCGGGATCCTCTTGTGCATCTCCGCAAACTATCTTCTGCTGCACTCGTGGATGAACGCCTGGGCGGAAATGCTACAATTCGCCGACCGGTTGTTTTATAAGGCGAGTTTCAGTCACATAGTCGTTAGATTGTCATTCAACGAAAATACATTTTTATAGAGCTAATAATTATATAGAGTTAATAATTTATTTATCTCGCGAGCAAAGATTCTTATTAAATTGTACTAAAGGGTCGATTCTTCGGAAATTTTTTTAGGCTATTGTAAAAATGACCGGTCTGTAAATTACACCAACTATTCGTCGTTTGCAGGATTGGTGGAATTCCACATCTTACCGTACGTATTATCGCACGTGGAACGTGGTGGTGCACGACTGGCTGTACACGTACATCTACAAGGACATATACGAGATCCTTATGCCGCGCAATAAAACATTGGCAACCCTCATCGTGTTCCTTGTGTCCGCCATCTTTCACGAGTACACCATCGCGCTCGGATTCGGTTTCTTCTACCCGATGATGTTCTTCATGTTTGCTGGCGTAGGCTTGTCTCTGTTCTTCGTCGGCAGAATCGTCGCCAGCAATGTCGTCGTATGGTTGTCGTTTTGCATCGGCAACGGTATCATGCTCAGTACGTACGCGATGGAGTACTACGCTCGGCTCAATTGTCCACCTTACTCCAATTACTATCTGGATCTATTCGCACCGCGAAGCTGGACCTGCCAGGCGCAATTTATCCATCATTAAAGAGAATATTAATCGCGAAGAGACTTCTTGAAAGGAGACGTCTTGAATTGTAAAATTCCTTGGTATAAAAATGCAATAATATCAAATAATAGAATCAATAAGAATCAAAATTAATAAAATTTCATAAAAGGCTTAAAGGACCAGCGCAATGGTGAAAAGATGCGAAAATAAAAACGGTTATATTAATATAATAAACCTAATAAAACGTTTATTTGATTTAAGTGACAAACGCTGGGTTTCGATCCAATTCGGATCCTTTTCAATGTCAAATCACGGAATAAAGTAATAAACATAAAAATAAAATAAATATATTATTTTTATGTTTATTACTTTATTCCGTGATTTGACATTGAAAAGGATCCGAATTGGATCGAAACGCAGCGTTTGTCACTTAAATCAAATAAACGTTTTATTAGGTTTATTATATTAATATAACCGTTTTTATTTTTGCATCTTTTCACCATTGCGCTGGTCCTTTAAGCCTTTTATGAAATTTTATTGGTTTTATCCTACGGACTTTTATTTTATTTTAATAATTTAGAATCAAAATTGTTAAAATAAAATACGTGATTTGTTAGAATTTACAAAGTTATTTGTATCTCCTTGAATAATCTTCTTGAAGACTCTTGATCTCTTTTCTTCTAATGAATCGAATTTGCATCGTTAATTGAAGTGGTTTGCCTTCTATATTTATTGTATAATTTTCCCATTACTTCAAAGTAATAAAAATATTTTTCTTCTCACGTCTTCTCGATAATAATTATTAATTCTATATAATTATTAGCTCTATAATCGAATAAGAAATATGATTCAATAATTTTAATTCTAGATAAAAAATCTAATAAGTTGTATATATGTGTATATATGTGTGTGTGTGTGTATAAGGTTGCGTTAATAAAGATTGATCAACAACTTATGTGATTTCTAATTTAACTAGATTGATCAATAACTTATTTGATTTCTAATTAAACTCGACTAATGGCAATTTGCCACGCAATTACCACCTATCAAAAATTCACAAAACAGGTTTTCCACTATCATTGTGCCCAATCACGGATCTCTTGATAATTCGTTATATAATGTCGCGCAATACATCCATGATATTTTGCGCACGTGAGACGTCGATTTTGGAACCTTCCTATCATTTGGAAATTTCCTATCAAGGATGATTGAACTTTTGCCAATAATCTGAAAGATAAATTTGTTAACGATAATGATCTCACTTGATGCGCTGTTCACTAATATTTCTAAAGATTTAATTTTAAAGTCTATTACTAAGCGCTGGAATTATATCACTCACAACACTAAATTCAACTTGTCTCAGTTTTTATACGCGGTAGAAACGGGTTTAGACTCCAGTTTTTCATTTAACGGACAGTTTTACAAACAGATTTTTGGTAGCCCTATGGGGTCATCCTTGTCACCTATTTTGGCAAATATAGTGATGGATGATCTAGAGAAACGCATTGCTTGGGGCAGTTGAGTTTCAATGTTCCGTATTACAGATACGTTGATGACATTTTTACCATTGTTCCGAGCTCAAAAATTGACGAGATCATATCGACTTTTAATAACTATCATCAACGGTTGACATTCACACATGAAACGGAGTCTAATTCCTGTATTAGTTTTTGGATACAAAGGTTATTCGTTTGGATGGTCGACTTATAACGGACTGACATAGAAAGCCTACTTGTTCTGATAGATATATTAATTTTTACTCGAAGCATCCGTTTAAATATAAAATGAACACCATTTTTAGTCTGGTTGACTGCGCTATTTTACTATCTGACGTTCGCTTTCACTGCATGATATTGTCAAACGGATTCTTTCTAATAATTGTTTTCCTACGGAAGTTATTAACCGGCACGTTCAAAAAAGACTTCATATTTTGAAACAGCGGGACAATGCAAATATTGAATCTGACAGTGCACCGCCTCTTCGTACATTTCTTTACCATTTGTGGAAGGCTTGAGTGATGAGATTAGCCGTTTTTTTAAAGATTCGGGTCTCACCTCAACGTGTTCTACAACGTACCTAAAAAATTGAACGCATTAATCAAACGTAGAAAAGATCGACTGCCTATCAACAACAGGACGGAAATGGTTTACAAATTAGACTGTAAGAAATGTAATTTGTCGTACATTGGCCAAACGAAAAGACATTTAGGCACTCGTTAAAAAACATTCTAACAACATAAAATTGCACGAAAGCAATCTTTCGGTAATTAGCAAATATAAATTAGAACCACGACTTTGATTGGTCTAAACCGGTTATTCTACATAACGAAAGACATGTGAGAAAGAGAGAAATTGCTGAAATGTTTTTTATTAAGAAATTTGACAACACGATTAACTTACAACAGGACACTGAAAATTTAAACAATATATTTACGACAGACTAATAAAAGCCAGACTAATAAATAATTTAGTTTTTCTCTGCATGTGTGATCGAGAGATGACATGACATGGGGAAAAAAATCTTTCTAACACAGTGATCTCATAATGCCAGTTTACTAAGATACTGTATGTATATAATTTCTCTCTTTTCGCCCACACTTATAGTAAGTTATTTACTGTTTATATTTGGAGTTTTAGTTCACTTGATAAGGACCAAAACCCATGGTCGAAACGTTGTAACACATTATTAACCAATAAATTGCCAGTGTGGTCGAATTATATTAAGTTTTTTTTTAATTTATTTACTGGCGACTTTCAAGAATTTATTATTATTATTATTTGATTTCATTAGAATTTTATTTTTTATTATATATAAATTATAAACCACATATAATTTTTATATATAATAAGAAATATATAATTTCTCTCCTAAAAATAATTCCCCTTCTTGTTTTTTTCCATCTTACATTTTCAGTTGTAGATATTTCAATAATTTATATTTTTATTTTGTTACGATAAATTATGATTTTCGAATTCGACTTTTTATCGTAACAACACAACTGAAAAAAGTAATCGTCTTGACGAAAAACAAATATTGATTTCTGTTCAAGAATCACTTCATGAATTTAATTTTAACATGCTGGCGGGATGATCGACAATATAAAGCCATTGAAGAGTGAAAGGTGCGTTCAGTTGCTTAGCTACTCTTATAAAATAGGTATCCAATCTAAATCAAAAGTGAAGTGATTTAAAAATATAACAGTTTGTATTGCAAATTGTTCGGATTATTCGTGTTTTCATAATTTCCAGATTAATCACAACGCAAACTATTTTGAGTTGCGATTAATCTGGAAATTATGAAAACTAATCGTTTGAGTGCCACGGATTTTTGTAGAAATTCGATCAAAAAATGCCAAGCAATAAGTACATTATTTAGTTTATTATATTGTTATAATAATGCTTGTTTATAATATTAAAAAATGTACATCTGCAGAGTGTTATATTATTTCAATTTTGGCTTAATTTGCCTACGATCAAACGGTAAAAACATTCATTGATAAAAACTGAGCGTGCAATTAGTGTGAATTTGCAGATTGATACACTGGCATTTTTAAGCACTGGACAGAAGAAGCGCGATCGCATCGCTAAGCACTCAAAGTTTGAGTCTTAAACTCAAATCAATTCGGAATTCGAATACAATAACAATCTGAAAATTGATCTGAAAATCCCAATTTAATTTTAGTTAGTATTCTTATAAATCTTTTGTTCGATTATAATGTTCCACGTAAAAATTGAAAACGATTTTCTCAGGTAGATTCTTCGAGAAAATTAACATCAGTTTTGTGAGTATTGTGAAAAATTCGTACCTTAAGATATATCTTAATGCAAATGGGATCTATTGCACTTGATCGAATGCGAATGTAAGAGACAAAGTTAAATTCGGAACACAAAATTGTTTTTGTTAAAAGCAGTAATCTTGAATCAGCGCGTTTGTAGAAAATTTCATCCCCATAACATACGATATATTCGCTCATGATGATAAACGCGATTTTCCAGTTAATTATTTTTAAAAATTGTCTATCCGAATTTTTCAAAAGTTAAAAATAGATGTTTATGATTGCGTTAGCGATCGCATCATGTCTGGTATCATATTCAATATCACAGACGACAGAAATGTCTTTGTCAAAACAAAGAAACTTCTCATATAATTTAGATAAATATCGCCATAAACGATGAGAACTTGATTTATTCGTCAATTTTAATTCAACCAGTATCTAATAATATCCAAAACTATAAATAAAAAATATTAGCATTGCTTTTCGCCCATAACATGCATATCCAAAAGATATCCGGAAGATATCACGAAAACATTGTTGGGCAATTGGATATGTTTAGGATGTCATGTAAATGTTTTTTAAACAGATTGCGTTGTGCAATCTAATATTATGTAACATTAAGCGCATGTTGTGATAAAAACACAATAAAAGCATAAAACTTACAAATACATTAATTATTTGTCTCATCTTTGTCTCATTGTCAGTCAACATGGAAGGTGTGTTACCGGAGAAGAAATGTTTAGAGAGAAATTCGCTGCTAACTGATCTCTATGAGATCACGCACATTCGCACGGTTTACAATATATTTATAGTGACTTTTATATTGCTCCTTCTCGACACCGCTGTGCATGACATCAAAGAGTCTGGAACGTAAGCAAAATTATTATGATGGAAGTTTGGCGCGAATTTAATTTAATGATTTGATTAATTCAAAACCGGTTCTTTTAACGAACATATTTTTAACAAAAATTTAAAAAATTAAAGGAAGGAATTTATTGTTTATCAAAAATTTTCAACACACACAGTACATATTATTTAACTAAATTCACAAATAAAATCTTATCAAATTTTAAAACATTTTTTAAATTTAATTTTTGAGAAAGAAAGAGAAAATAAAGAAATAATGTTGAATTTAATTATGATTAAAATACCTATAAAAAATTAAATTTAATAAAAAGAATTTTATTTTTTATTTTCCACTACAAAATTTAATTTTCTTTTTAATTGCTTGCAATTTAATTAAGACGAGATATTCATTCTAAGTTTATCTAAGAAAATGTAAATATTTGACTCGCGATAAGTTTTATAAATATATGATTACGTTAATATATAATTTTACACATTTTTAACAAAGAGATTATGGCTTATCTGAAAAACAAAGTTATCGCTTTAAATAAACAACACTAAAACAAAACCACCTAAATTCACCACCTAAAAGACTATTCGCGTACGTGTTAAGACGATAATTAAGATATTTCTAGTTTATTACAAAATTGCATAAAATTTCTTATTTATATTTATTTTATTACTAATTTATATTTCTTTAGGTTGGTCCTCGGAACCGTCACGATACGTAATGGTTTCGCGAAATTACCGACTTGCCTGCATATTTGGTCGCTCATGCTAATCTCGACATTCGGTGTCTACGTTGCTTTCAATTTCTGGTCTTCCCAACGACTACGGTATTCGCCAAAATGTAATGACTTCTTTAATCTGCTTTCCATTATTATGATCGAATAAAATTAGAAAATCTTGCTTCAAAGAACAAAATAATTTTGAAAGAATTAATCGAAAAAGAAATTAGATATACAAATTGCTTATTTATGTAAAAAGTAATACAATTATTGACCGGCTGTTTTATCCTGTAACGTAATATTAATAACAGTGTAGTATAAAAGTGTAATATAATTAATGCAATCCAATATAATCATGAGGATTATCGAATAATTTCGATTAAAATAATATTTATAATTCAACAAGTAATATGTTCTATTCTTATAGCTCTGGCACGTAAGCTATGGGATTACAGTTGGCTGACAATCTACATAATTTATCAAGTTCTTGTTATAATTATTCCAAATAGAGCGATGGTCAGAGAGAATTTAGGCATAGCTTGTAATATCATCATAACTGCGGAACAAGTATATACAAATTTTAGTTCTATTCAAAGTTTTTTCGATATAAAATATTTTTGACATTAAAAAGGTTCTATAATAATATTAGAAATATTATTATACAGCTTTTTTAGTGTCAAAAATTAATATTAATATATAATAACATTAAAAAATTGAATATCTTATGCATAATATTAAAAATTAAAATATGTAAATAAATAAGTAACAATGATTTTTTCACTTAAAAACGAACGTTTCTTTTTTCAGTTTCGTCTGATAATGAAGAATCACGCTTTCGTTAGAAGTATGACACCTAGATTTCTCTCATACAAATCCCATAACGACGTTTTGCCACCAAATGTACCCCGATTTTCCCATTATTTATATTTCCTGTTCGTGCCGACTATTATATACCGTGATGAATATCCGAGGTAAGAAATTTGTTGGCATTTCCGAAAAAAATAAAATGTATTGGAAGCTTTTTTAAGAATCCACTTAATAATCTAAATTATTAATTTTAAAACTATATTTTTCGTATACACTCAATAATATTGCTTTTAATAAGGTTATATATTAATATAAAATAAATAACTTTCGAAGCATTTTGAAATATATTTAGCAGTAGTATTTAAAAAAAAAATTCTTAATCTTTTCTAATAATTTTTGAACTTTTAAATCAATTAGGATAAACAATATCTCGATAATGTGTTGCCATTTCGGCATAATATTAATTGAAAAATTCAAGAAAGATTTGGGCGTTCCATTTTTCAGGACGAAAAAAATCAGATGGATGTTTGTGGTTCAACATTTCGGCGAAGTCGTCCTGATGATTTTCTATTACGCCTTCATTCTGGAGCGCTTAGTGGCGCCGGTCTTTCGAACCTTCGATACATGGCCTCTAGAATCGACGTGGTTCATCAAGATTATTATCAAAATGTGCTTTCCGGGGATCCTCCTCTTGCTCAACTTAAACTATCTTTTGTTGCACATGTGGATGAACGCCTGGGCCGAGATGCTGCGATTCGCCGACCGATTGTTTTATAAGGCAAGTTTCAATCATACGATCGTTAAATTGTCTCTAACGAAAATCGTCCTGCGAGGTAAAAAAATTGTATAAACTACTTTTTTATTATTATTTTATTCTATTTATTTATTATTTATCGGTTGCAGGACTGGTGGAATTCCACATCCTCTCGTATGTGGAATCGTACGTGGAACGTGGTAGTACACGATTGGATCTACACGTATCTTTACAAGGACATGTATGAGATCGTGGTACCACGCAACAAGCCGTTGGCAACCTTCACTGCGTTCTTCGTATCTGGAATTTGTCACGAATACGTCGTCGCATTTTCGTTTCGTTTCTTTTATCCGGTGATGTTTATAATATTCGGCGGTGTCAACTATGTTCTTGTGCAAAGCAACCTAAGTATGCACAACATTCTCGTGTGGATGATCTTGTGTTTCTGCAACAGCATCATAATAAGCACTTGCGCGATGGGATATTATACTAGTTATAACTGTTTGTCCTATTCCAATTACTATGCTGACTTGCTTCTACCGCAAAGTTGGAGCTGTCAGCAGCAACTTGCCGCATAGAACGTTCGTCTGCCAGTATTAATTTCTTTTCATCGGGTCTATTAATGTACTTCATTATCAGAAATATTATTAACAAGAGGAGACAATCTCAATGTGTAAAGCAACTCTTTAGTGTTACTATAAATATGATTGATTATTATGAATAATTTGGCAAATATAATCCACAATTTTAATAAATTTAGCAAAGTTCATGTATATCAATATAAAGGGTGTCATGAAAGTGATCATAATTTTAAAAAATTAAGGTAGATAGAAGCCTTCGTCGCGCGTTTACAAACTCATCGCTCTTTCTCTCCCCAATAATTGCTTTACACCGCCATTATGTTACAGTGAGACTGCCTTCGCCATCTCGCGCTTCTATTCACGCAGATTGGCCGATTTTCTTTAATTTTCGTTAATTATTGCAAATATTGCATAACTGTACAAGACGTTTCTTCTAACTTTGAGCCAATCTACCTTAATTTTTTAAAATTATGATCACTTTCATGACACTCTGTATACACACACACACACACACACACACACACATATATATATAATATATTAAAAAAATAATATTAAATAATATATATAAAAATTTTAAAATAATATAATATAAAAATAATATGACATTAATCACAACACAACCTTGCACAAAACATGTGAGTTGAATTTTGATGTCTATGATTAAAGTTCAATTATTAACCGATTATTATCGGGAATAATCAAATTCAAACAAAATTCATCTCCAGAGTCCTCTCTTATCACGAATATCAAAGCCTCCCTCGTCTTAAACGATAGCTAATACTCCGTTCATTTATTCAGATGATTCAACGGATTGCGCTGTTTGTTATTCATAAGCAGTAATTAGTTTAATTAATATTTTACATCTAAGTGCTAAGTTAAAATTAAAATTCGGGTTTTTCTTGCCACCTGCCTGTTCTTGCCACTTGCTAATATAAATTAATATCTGCATTTTTATTAATAATACATCTATTGTACATTATTTAATTTATTATATTGTTATAGCAATACTTGCTTATAATAAAAAGATATACACCTGCAGAGTGTTATATTACTTCAATTTCGTCTTAATTTGTTTACGATCAAACGGCAAAGATACGCATTGACAAAAACCGAGCGTGCACAGTTACTGTGAATTTACATTGATAATTTGGCATAAAACAGCAGTGATCAGAAGAAGCGCAATTCTTATAAGTTTTTTGTTCAATTATAATATTACGTAAAAATTGAAAACGATTTTTTCAGGTAGATTATTCGATGAAATAAACATCAGTCTTGTGAGTGAAAAAATTTGTCGCAAAAAATTTGCATCTTGAGATATATCTTAATGCAAATTGGATTTATTACACTTGATTGAATGCGAATAAAAGTGACAAAGTTAAATTCGAATCGCAATATTGTCTTTGTTAAAAGTAATAATCTTGAATCAACGCGTTTATAGAAAATTTGACCCTCATAACATACGATATATTCGCTCGTGTATGATAAGCGCGCTTTTCCAGTCAATTATTTTTCTAAAAATTGTCTATCCGAATTTTTCAAAAGTTAAAAATAGATGTTTATGATTGCGTTAGCGATCGCATCATGTCTGGTATTATATTCAATATCACAGACGACAAAAATGTCTTTGTCAAAACAAAGAAACTTCTCATATAATTTAGGTAAATATCGCCATAAACAATGAGAAATTGATTTATTCGTCAATTTTAATTCAACTAGTATCTATTAATATCCGAAACTATAAATAAAAAATATTAGCATTGCTTTTCGCCCATAACATGCATATCCAAAAGATATCTGGAAGATATCCCAGACATCGTTGCGCAATTAAATATCTTTAGGATGTTATGTAAATGTTTTTTGAACAGATTGCATTGTGCAATTTAATATTATGTAACATTAAGCGCATATTATAATAAAAACACAAAAAAAAGCATAAAATTTACAAACTCATTAATTGTTTGTCTCATCTTTGTCTCATTGTCAGACAACAAGTCAACATGGAAGGTGTGTTACCGGAGAAGAAATGTTTAGAGAGAAATTCGCTGCTAACTGATCTCTACGAGATCACGCATATTCGCACGGTTTACAATATATTTATGGTGACTTTTATACTGCTTCTTCTCGACACCGCTGTGCATGACATCAAAGAGTCTGGAACGTAAGCAAAATTATTAATTTCGATGTCTAGAACGAAAAAATAAATGCTTCGTAAAATCTATATTTGAAATAATAAATTTATGTTAAATGAAATTGTGTAGTCGACCAAACTAGCCAGAAATATAATTTATTCAATACGACGTTTCGACCATATGGTTGTGGTCCTTATCAAGTATACAAAATTAGCCGACGTATTGGTAATCAGAGTGTCGGCATAGATAATAATCTTGTACGAAGCACAAATCACATTAACAAACTTTATTTTTAAAATTCAATTTTTAAGAACAATGAATCCGTGTGGGACCTCGTCAAAGACGAGGTCCCACACGGATTCATTGTTCTTAAAAATTGAATTTTAAAAATAAAGTTTGTTAATGTGATTTGTGCTTCGTATAAGATTATTATCTATGCCGACACTCTGATTACCAATACGTCGGCTAATTTTGTATACTTGATAAGGACCACAACCATATGGTCGAAACGTCGTATTGAATAAATTATATTTCTGGCTAGTTTGGTCGACTACACAATTTCATTTAACCTTTTGAAAATTCGACTAGCGATATTAAGCTATTTACTAATTTATAAATTTATGTCTTATATTTTGCATTTTCTTATATTCACAATATTAAACTTTTTATATGTGTATTATGATGAAAGTTTGGCGCGAATTTAATTTAATGATTTGATTAATTCAAAACCGGTTCTTTTATTTTTAATGAAAATTTAGAAAATTAAAGAAAAGAATTATTGTTTATCAAAAATTTTCAACACACACAGTACATATTATTTAACTAAATTCATAAATAAAATCTTATCAAATTTTAAAACATTTTTTAAATTTAATTTTTGAGAAAGAAAGAGAAAATAAAGAAATAATATTGAATTTAATTATGATTAAAATACCTATAAAAAATTAAATTTAATAAAAAGAATTTTATTTTTTATTTTCCACTACAAAATTTAATTTTCTTTTTAATTGCTTGCAATTTAATTAAGACGAGATATTCATTCTAAGTTTATCTAAGAAAATGTAAATATTTGACTCGCGATAAGTTTTATAAATATATGATTACGTTAATATATAATTTTACACATTTTTAACAAAGAGATTATGGCTTATCTGAAAAACAAAGTTATCGCTTTAAATAAACAACACTAAAACAAAACCACCTAAATTCACCACCTAAAAGACTATTCGCGTACGTGTTAAGACGATAATTAAGATATTTCTAGTTTATTACAAAATTGCATAAAATTTCTTATTTATATTTATTTTATTACTAATTTATATTTCTTTAGGTTGGTCCTCGGAACCGTCACGATACGTAATGGTTTCGCGAAATTACCGACTTGTCTGCATATTTGGTCGCTCATGCTAATCTCGACATTCGGTGTCTACGTTGCTTTCAATTTCTGGTTTTCCCAACGACTACGGTATTCGCCAAAATGTAATGACTTCCTTAATCTGCATTCCGTTATTATGATCGAATAAAATTAGAAAAACTTGCTTCAAAGAACAAAATAATTTTGAAAGAATTAATCGAGAAAGAAATTAGATATACAAATTGCTCATTTATGTAAAAAGTAATACAATTATTGATCGGTTGTTTTATCCTACGTAACGTAATATTAATAACAGTGTAGTATAAAAGTGTAATATAATTAATGCAATCCAATATAATCATAAGGATTATCGAATAATTTCGATTAAAATAATATTTATAATTCAACAAGTAATATATTCCATTCTTATAGCTCTGGCACGGAAGCTATGGGATTACAGTTGGCTGACAATCTACATAATTTATCAAGTTCTTCTTATAATTATTCCAAATAGAGCGATGGTCAGAGAGAATTTAGGCATAGCTTGTAATATCATCATAACTGCGGAACAAGTATATACAAATTTTAGTTCTATTCAAAGTTTTTTCGATATAAAATATTTTTGACATTAAAAAGGCTCTATAATAATATTAGAAATATTATTATACAGCTTTTTTAGTGTCAAAAATTAATATTAATATATAATAACATTAAAAAATTGAATATCTTATGCATAATATTAAAAATTAAAGTATGTAAATAAATGTAACAATGATTTTTTTTCACTTAAAAACGAACGTTTCTTTTTTCAGTTTCGTCTGATAATGAAGAATCACGCTTTCGTTAGAAGTCTGACACCTAGATTTCTCTCATACAAACCCCATAACGACGTTTTGCCACCAAATGTACCCCGATTTTCTCATTATTTATATTTCCTGTTCGTGCCGACTATTATATACCGCGATGAATATCCGAGGTAAGAAATTTGTTGGCATTTCCGAAAAAAATGAAATGTATTGGAAGCTTTTTTAAGAATCCACTTAATAATCTAAATTATTAATTTTAAAACTATATTTTTCGTATACACTCAATAATATTGCTTTTAATAAGGTTATATATTAATATAAAATAAATAACTTTCGAAGCATTTTGAAATATATTTAGTAGTAGTATTTAAAAAAAAATTCTTAATCTTTTCTAATAATTTTTGAACTTTTAAATCAATTAGGATAAACGATATTTCGATAATGTGTTGCCATTTCGGCATAATATTAATTGAAAAATTCAAGAAAGATTTGCGCGTTCCATTTTTCAGGACGAAAAAAATCAGATGGATGTTTGTGGTTCAACATTTCGGCGAAGTCGTCCTGATGATTTTCTATTACGCCTTCATTCTGGAGCGCTTAGTGGCGCCGGTCTTTCGAACCTTCGATACATGGCCTCTAGAATCGACGTGGTTCATCAAGATTATTATCAAAATGTGCTTTCCGGGGATCCTCCTCTTGCTCAACTTAAACTATCTTTTGTTGCACACGTGGATGAACGCCTGGGCCGAGATGCTGCGATTCGCCGACCGATTGTTTTATAAGGCAAGTTTCAATTATACGATCGTTAAATTGTCTCTAACGAAAATCGTCCTGCGAGGTAAAAAAATTGTATAAACTATTTTTTTATTATTATTTTATTCTATTTATTTATTATTTATCGCTTGCAGGACTGGTGGAATTCCACGTCCTTTCGTATGTGGAATCGTACGTGGAACGTGGTAGTACACGACTGGATCTACACGTATCTTTACAAGGACATGTATGAGATCGTGGTACCACGCAACAAGCCGTTGGCAACCTTCACTGCGTTCTTCGTATCTGGAATTTGTCACGAATACGTCGTCGCATTTTCGTTTCGTTTCTTTTATCCGGTGATGTTTATAATATTCGGCGGTGTCAACTATGTTCTTGTGCAAAGCAACCTAAGTATGCACAACATTCTCGTGTGGATGATCTTGTGTTTCTGCAACAGCATCATAATAAGCACTTGCGCGATGGGATATTATACTAGTTATAACTGTTTGTCCTATTCCAATTACTATGCTGACTTGCTTCTACCGCAAAGTTGGAGCTGTCAGCAGCATCTTGCCGCGTAGAACGTTCGTCTGCCAGCATTAATTTCTTTTCATCGGGTCTATTTACTGTACTTCATTATCAGAAATATTATTAACAAGAGGAGACAATCTCAATGTGTAAAGCAACTCTTTAGTGTTACTATAAATATGATTGATTATTATGAATAATTTGGCAAAAATAATCAACAATTTTGATAAATTTAACAAAGTTCATATATATCACAATATATATACAAATATATTTGCAGTATAATAATTATATTATATTTGCATATATGTAAAATTTATTTAATATATCATTATATATATATGATTGCCTCCAATTATGAATAATTGTCAAATTAATCAAACTTAGTCTATAAGATCGTCACAAAAGATTAAGAAGCAATTGGAGCAATTCGAGAAATTATTAATAAAAGTAATTTTTAATAAATTATTAATAATAGTAAATTATTAATAAAAGTAATAATTAAAAATTTGTTTAATTTTAAATTGTATAATTTGTTAAAATTTATAGAGTTATGTGCGATATTATTTTACAGTGTATGAACGATAACTATAATTGCATATCCCTGTACAAAAAATATCTTGGAAATATAATTATAAAATGAAGACAATGATTTATCGATATTGTTAACACTTCAAAATGATTTATCGATATTGTTAGCACTTCGAAAAATCTATCAAAATATATTAATTTATACATTTGTGTTTTCACACTTTTAATGCAGGATAAAAGAAATTTTTCTGTTAAAATAAATTAAAATATGTTAAATACTTAAACTGTATATAATATAAAGTAAAATATATTATTTTAATTCATTTTGAATTTATTTTAATTTATTTATTTTAATTTATTTTGATTATTTTAATGTATTTTAAATTATTTTATTATGATAATCCGTTGAAAAATTGCTGATATAATTAAAGAAAACAGAATATGGAAAAAATATATAAATGAAAATGCTCTCGTACGATAATGCTCGAGACGTTGAATTTTATATTAAACGATCGCATACAAATTATAATCATTAAAAGTGCAACACACGAGTATAAAAAGAGTTAATTTTTATTATCGAGCTCTACAACATACGCTTTTCGACTGCGTGCGTGGCCATAGAGAAGACGTATGTATATCATATCTATCTTATACAAATTAATTTGTCATACAATCGATATATATATATAATACATGTACAATTTTCTTCGCGATTTTTTACAATTTTTTTCACGTATTATATATATACATATAATATTTACATATTTCATATATGCATATATGACCTGAAAATTAGGACTACTAAGGAAATTAAGGATATCCATCTAGAATGTGCAAAGGAAGAAAATTTCTTTCGCACATTTCAAATGAGAAATAAAATGTGAAACGAGAATCGTGTGCGAAAATCAAACACTCACTTCGACACGCTCTCTTTCTCTCTTTTTTCTTAGATCAAAAAATAGGAATTGATCTGTATATTTTATTTAGATAGACGTGCATCTATAAATTTTTGCGCTCGTTTAAGCAGTCGCAATATACAGTTAACAATGTGTAATTCTTCTTTAATAATACAGTCAATTCTTTTATCTTAAGATTTTTTATTCTTGATTTTTTTATGTTTGTTTCAACTTTCCTCCTGAATTAAGATAATCTAACTATGAGATCCTGCTTATGCACTACTGGCACGTTGAAGGGGAAAAAATTAAATGAAAGAAAGTGTAACCAGAGATTTTAGAATAAAAAGAACATTTTTGAGTCTAGGAAAAAATCGTACGTATATATGAAAGTTTAAAATGTAATTCTTAAAAATAATATATATATTTTACTACTTTTAATATATATCATTGAGACTTCACACGTGCTGTTACCGGAAAAGAGGAAGACGGAAACACAATTAACATACAGGACCACCCTTTATGTTTTAGATATATTTTCATGTCTTGATTTTATTGAAAATCCTGTTTTAATTTTCCGGCAAATTTATTCCATTTTCTATCATTTATATTTTATGGATTCGATGTGGAATAGAGTTTTTGGAAAGTTTTCTTTTCTTTTCGACATGATACTCTTCTTCTCTCTATTTTTACACAGCCTTTTAAACACTTTCGCATACACATTCTTTTTTTCCATACTAATATAGGAAATGCATGTAACAGATGGATATTTTTGCTCAAATTAAGGCGGTTACAGACCTGTTACATTTATGTGTAAATTAATATTAATATTAATATATTATATTGTATATTATATTAAAAAATAAAATATATATTTATTTTATAAAATATAATATCACATTTAATAGTTAATTAATATTTTACACAATGATGATGCGAAGATACGCTACAAGTCTGTAAATGCCTTCATACAAAAATACCGATCATAAACAGAGTGTCTTTCGCATGATTCGCGTCATTTCGACAAATCGAGACTTAAGAATACATAAACGCAGCTTATCAATATTAATAATGAGGGAGTGCGAAGAGAAGGATTCTTGATTTCTAAGAGGAATGAGTGGACAAGCCTCTGCTTCAGGATCCATTTTAAACTCTACAACATTTGATTAACATATATACAGCTATTAACAATTTTAATCAGCTTCCTCTCAACCTACATAAATCTCATACATCTAATTGTAAGATTCACATAAAGATTAAAGAGATCAACCTGGCGAATCTCCGTTTCTTTCGGTGAATCGAGGCGATCTATCAACCTGGCAGTGTTGGAGAACCTATCAAATTGAGACGAGGAAAAAAACTAAGCGGAAGCGAACTTTCTTCGATAATGTATTCGAGTATTTCGGAAGAGTAACATCTTCTCGAAACAGAATACGATAAAAGACAATGGAAGAATCGTGGGGATCGGAAGAAAAAGAGATCCCGAATTCGTATGCATCTCGAAACAATCCGATCACCGTGATCTCGAGATCCGGTTGCATCAGCGGAAAACCATTTTTTTCGAGGGAGACATCAATTTACAAATTCCAGATTTAACCAGAAATATACACAATATATATACCAGCTCATCGAAAACAAAAAAGCCAATTAAATCTTCTAAATTTCAAGATACAAAAGAATGTCATGGATTTATACATAATTTATATCATATAATTTTAAACGAGAGATCTTTCAATGTCTTATCGAAATCAAATTATTGAGAGTATAATCGAAACAATTTCGTAGTCAACAAGATAATAATATTAATAATATGAGATCGATGATCAAGAATATTTAATTGAAGAATGTTACATGCAAGCTAAGGGCAGTTATAAATAAATCCTAGAAAAAACACATTAAAATCGCGACATTTTGCATATTATTAACTTTTTGATCTTTGAAATAAAATTCTATCTCAAAAATGAATCGAAACAAAATTGAAAAAAAAAAAAAAAAAGAAAAATTCAATTTAGAGAAGCTATATATTTTTATAGCTATATATTTTCTTGCTTTCTTTATATTATTTTATAAAATTATATACATGTGTATATATATTTTTGTTGTCACTGTATTTATATTAAAATTTAATTGTTTATTATTCAGGCGAGGAATGGAGGCTTCTTTAGATACTCCATAATTCACGACAGAATTAAAGACAGAGTTCTATTTACAATTTTATTCACATGTTTAACGTGTACATATACGTATGCATACACATATATGTGTATGTGTGTATGTATTTTGATACATATTTTGATTTCCATGTATTTTACATGTGTGCGAGTATTTCCTACATAATTCTATAAATAGAATTCTGTCTTGAATTTCGACACGAATTACGAATCGTCTGAGAACATCTTGAGGGAGAAAGGGAGAAAGGGAGAAAGGGAGAAAGGGAGAAAGAGAGAAAGAGAGCAAGAATGCACGCTCCCCATTACAACTTAAGTAAACTTCATTTACCCATACCGACCAGCGCCTCGTCCATGAGCTCGTCGTCGGTGATGCAGGGCGACGCGGAGGAATGAGGAGAGGGCGGAATGACGCGAGGACTCGGGGCCGGGCTCTTGACGATGTGCACGCTGACGGACGGACTGGCAGCGGGTGGAAAGGGGGCCGGCAACGGCGGCGGCGGCGGCGGGGGCGGGGGCGGCGGGGGTGGCGGCGTGTTGCGGCGCACCACCGGGGCCGCCTGCGACATCGCCCGCTCCGGTATCGTCGTCAGGTGGGTCAAGCTCGACGGGATCCCGTGGCCGCCTTTGGTCATCGGGTCCTTGTTCGCCGCGGAAAAGTCCAGCAGCATCTCCGCCGCCGCTGTCGCCTCCTGTTCGCCGCTACCGTCGGATCCCGACGTCATCACGACGTTGGGATTATCGTCGGATGACGTCGCGACGCCGCTCAACGATGAGAAGATCGACGACGACGAGGAGGAGGACGAGGACGACGCACCGCACGTCGTCTGCTGCGGCTTCTTCTCCTCGGCGATCTTGTTGTACTTGACCTGAGTCATCTGCTCGAACGACTTGGTACTCAGATTTAAACTCTCGGCGACGATGGAACTGCCGCTCGACGAGGCGGCCGAGACGCTGGAACTCGGCGTGTAAGACTTTGCGGACGAGGCCAGTTGATCGGGGATGTTACTCTTGGATAGAATTCCACCTCCATTGCCGCTCGCGTCGTCGATCTTGCCAAGGAGATACTGCTGGCCGGTCGAGGTCTGCCTGATTCCGAGTTCCTTGCAGGACTCGTTGCGGGACGAATCGTTGTCCATCATGGGTTGAATGCATAGATTCGTAGGCACATCCGAGTCAACGGCTGTTTGTGGGGGTAGCATAAGACCGCTGGCATTTTCTCCGATGAGATTCAGGGACATCGCGCCTGCAGCGGTGGTGCCGATCGACAAATTATCCGGCTTCGTCTGCGGATGGTCCCGTCTCGATTGATCGTCTGGCAGCGACGACTTCGACGTGGGAACATTGGACAGTCCGGCTAGCTTGCCCGATTCCTGCTTTAGACCATCGAGAGTTTGTTTGGCGGAATCGGGAAGCATCGCCAGCTTGTCCGATGACTTCTTGTCGGCGCCATCCGCGACGTTCGCGCGAGCCGACAGCTTTGGTATTTGAAACTTGGTGTCCAGCTGCTTCATCAGACCTTCCATCACCAGCTGAGGCGGCAGACTCGGCGGCAGATTAGACGCATGCGCGGCCAGTAACTTGAACGCGCGCTCGCTGTCGCTCTCCTCGCGCAGGGCGGACGGACTCGACTTCCTCGCATCGCCGAGGCTCTTCGACGCAAATACTCCCTTGTCGGACTTGGGGATTCTCGGTTTATCGCGACCGCGGCTCAAATCAGTCGCCATGGAACCACCCGTCTTCGGCGAACCGGTCTTGGAAGACGAACCGCTTTTCGACAGAGGATTTCCCCCAGACGTGGTCACTCCCGACATACTAGTGCCACTGCCCGTATTCATGACGCTCGAAGTGGACGACTTCAAACCGCCGGTGGCCAGCATCATCTTTGTGGGCAGCAGCTTCTGCGGAGTCTGCAGCGTTTGCGGCTTCTTCGACGCCGGTCCGGAGTTTACGCCGGGCTTGAGTCCCGTATGCGTCTTCGGCGAACCATTACTGCCACTAATGACGTTACCAGACGACGAGAGCGATAACGAGGAAGCCATGGAAGACGACGAAGTGCCCGAAGATGAAGTCGCGGCCGCCATCGTAGCCGATGACGAGGATGACGACGATGATAATTTCTGATTAGCAGCCGACTGCTTGGAGTCTTTGGTGCGGGTTTTGTTGATGGTAATTTTGATGCCGTCCGAGCTGTGCTTCACCATGTATTCGGGATTCTTCGTATCCGCGGAATTCTTCGTAACACAAGAGGATTTTCCTCCCTCGACATTCTTGGTACCGCTCGACGAGCCGCCACTGATGCTCTTCTCTTTCTGCCCGCTTATTCCCCCATTACCGCCAAGACTGGTGGACGCGCTGCTCTTCGCGTTGCTGCCACTGCCGTTACCACAGCCATCGGGTTCGGTGCAGTGCTGCGCGTTCTTCAGCTTATCGATCACGGCATTGAGGGAGCTCTTGCGATTCCGCGCCTGCTGGGCAGCGATCGCTGACTTACTCGCTGCGTCGCCTTGCCCGGAAGGCGGGGTATTACCGCCGCTATTGCCAGCGGACAAAGAAGACACCTGAGCGGCTTCGCCGGGTGGAATCATCTCCAATTGCTTCAGTTTCACGCTGGATGACGACGACTTAGTCTTGGGACTCTGATGACCGCTGGCCGAGCCGCCAGACGAGCCGACAGACGATGCTCGTCTCTCTTTATCTCCGCGACCGGAAGAATCCTTGCCGGAGGACGAAGAGGAGGAGGACTTGATTTTGGAAGGAGTCGCCGTCGCATCGGAGGAACTGCTGCTCTTGCTGGATGGGGAATTTGCCGCCGACTTCAAGGCGGACATACTGGGTTTGCCACTGCTAGCAGCTGAACTTCCATGTTTCGGAGACGAGATACTGCCGTGTTTCGGACTTGCATTTGCCGGTACCGGCACGGACACCGCGACAGACGGTATTGTATTGGGTATCGTGGAGACAGACAGCGACATTGGAACCGACATAGGTACCACTGGTACCACGTTCGGTGTATTGTGCTTCGGACTACTGCTATAGACGGGTGAGTGCTTCGGACTTTGCACCGATTTGCCACCGCAGGCTACACCTGCCGCCGACTGACTTGCCTTCAAGGTAGGGCTGGATTTACCTACAAGTGTGGCTAGTGAACTCGGATGCGTCGGCGATGGGCTGAACTTTCTCACCGCCGCGGGTGAAGTGGGTCGCGATGACGGGCAGCTCAGGCCGCCACTACTAGGCGGTGATTGCTCGGTACTAGGTTTGATGGTCACTGACACCGGTTTCGAGAGCGGATCCTGCTGCTGTTTGCCACCCGATGGGACTTTATCCGGCGGGCCCATTGGACTGTCTTCCCGTTTGCGCTTCCGCCGCTTCTCCAGCTTGTTTGCACCGCTCTTGTTATTATCCTCAGAGCTGCTTTTGCCGCTGCTACTGCTGCCGCTACTTTTTCCGCCGCTCTTTCGTTCGCTTCGCTGACGTTCTTCCGTCGCACTTGTCGTTAGGCCGCCAGTCTTCGGCGAGGGAGCTGGTCCGGTGATCGGTGTGATAGTGATCGAACTTGGTAGACTGGTCTGCGATGGCGAAGAGGTGATGGGTATGATTTCAATGCCAGGCCTCCTTTCCAAACCCATACCCGTCAATACAGAATTATAGTTGGTAGCGCTCGCTTGATCCAGATTACCGCATGAGATAGGGGTGATACTTACTGATGGTGGCACCGGGAGACTTTTATTGCTATTATTTGTATTCGTCGACGTTTCGTCGACGAATATGTTCGTCGGACTCGACTTTTTTTCCTCGCTACCGCCGCTACTTCGGCTCTTTTTTGACTTGCGCGTCGATGAGGACTCGCGTGTCTTTGTTAATTCTTCTATCTCCTGCTGCTGCTGTTCCGCGTTATTCTGTTGCACCTCCACGACTTCACTATCTCTCTCCGAGTTGTCGAGATCATAATCTGAGGCGCTTTTATCGGTACCGATTATATCGGTAGTATCCAGATTTGAGAAATCCATGCCACTCGCCAAACTGATGGCTGAGGTCGGCGTAGACGTCCTAGTTTCCGATGTGAGATTCTCCCTGCCACCGGTGGGAGTTCCCAGTGGCGTTGAATTCTCCGAACTCGAACTCTCTAATAAAATTTCTGCACCGGCGCCACTATCTACGCTTCCACCGTCACCCTTTCGTTTCGGACTACGCCACATACCATCGGTACCAGTCTTCCTCTTTCGCGTTTTCTTGCCGCGTTCGTTCGAGTTCGAATTACCCGTAAGGGAGTTCTTCGCTTGTCCCAGCAGCGCACCCAGTTGCAATGGATTTAACATGGAAGCGGTGGTATTGTTTGCTCCAGCGGCGCCCAATGTCATCGTCATCGTCGTCGTATCGGATTGGCCGGAATACGACGGAAAACCGATACTATTTTCCGTTCCGGCATCTAAAAAAGACTGCTGTTGCTGTTGTTGTTGTAATTGATGCGATTGTTGCTGTTGCTGTTGAGTTTGTCTGCCACCCATGCAACCATTACTGCCATTGTTCAAACCGGGTTCTTGCTTTATCTTGGTCTCGCCGTTCGTAAAGTCTGGCATGCTAGATGCGGTGCCATTCTGTCCGGTTTGATCTTTACCGCCGGATCCTAGATTGAGATTGTAGCTTCCGTTGCCGCTACTGCTGCCACCAGTTAAATTGTTCATTACCGCGGGCAAAGAACGACCCTCCCAGATCTTTAGTAACATTCGCATAGTCAATGGTATGCTGAGACAGCGTTGTAATACCCTGCCACTGAGATCCGACGTTTGTTCCGCGTTCGTCGTCATGCTTACACCATATAACCGACACTTGAGCGCCGATATATCTGTCAAGTCCAGCTCTGCAGTAGCCATCGTCTCCTCATATGGATGCTCCACGCTTACGCTGATGTGCTGCCACGAAAGAGCGCTTACTTCGAGTATGGTTGTATGTTCGGGATCCTGACGTGCCATAGGTCGTACGCAGCTCGCGATCAGACAGTTAAATAGCGCCTGCTGTCGCAAGTACACCAGGATCTGCGGCACATGCGCAGGATGCGTGAATGGAACGCTGCATACTAGCACACCTTCCATGTTTTTGTTCTCTGTCATAAAATAGCAATGCTGCTGATCCGGTAAGGTCTAAAGTCAAAGAACGAAATTGTATATATATACTCTTAAAAATATAAATTATATTGAGATGTATAAAAAAAGATACCCTAAATGTTTTAAATTTATTTTTTAAATTTTAAATAATTTTATTTTCTTAAAATTATAGATTTAAGATGGTTAGAAATAGGCTGTTTGATTAATTGACTCATTATCTGTTATAGTAAAAATTATTAATTGGTATTTTTTAAATCGGTAATAATTTTATAATAGAATAAAATATAAAATATAAAAAATTATATAAGTATAAATAGTTTTATGAAATAAAATAATATGCATAAAATGTTAATAATTTTATAAAATCACAAGAGCTTTATTTTTATAAAATTGTAGAAACAAATAAATAATTTTATAAAATTACCAAATTCAATCACTTTCATTTATTGCATCTATTTTATATTATAAAAATGATATTTTTACCAAACTTGCTACTTACCACATATAGACCCCTGTTATTGCGACAGTCTAATTGACCATCACTTGCGTGTTGTATTATCAGACTGAGCATCGGATGTGGCGCGGAGATATCACCGCATTCGAGTTCCGTAACTTTCTGTATTCTTCTCACCAACTCCATGCAGATTGGCATTTTTTTGCCGAGTTTCAGCACGAAACATGCAGGTAACATGGAGGAATTTGTGCTGGTCAACGGAGCGTATGAAGGCGTACTGGGAGAGATAGTAATATTAACAACATGAATTTATAATCTACTAAATCATCAACTGAATAAAAGAAGAAAATAATATAAAGATATAGGAAATAAATGAAATAAAAAAATATGTAAATATTGCTACATGTTATTATAATACAAGACAAAATAAATAAATGAGTAAATAATAGAAATGCGATTTCATCTAACATACCTTTTGCCCGTGGAGCTTCTATTTACAGTTATAATACTGGATGTAGGTAGTTTGTGACCTACCGAACCTTCCATACAAACGGTCACTGAATGACCGATTTTTCGTTTAATGATGACATCGGGATTTAAAGCGTCGTATGTTCGATTCTCTTCATCGATCAAATCATATGGTGAAACGAAATATGTCAATTTCATCGGATGGCCGCCTCTTCTTCTTTCCAGAATTCCTATTTTAATGATTTAGTCATATCAATGCATCACAGAAAGCGCAGACATAAATGCACTTGTGCATAAATAATAAATAAATAATAACTTTCTTGATTTTGTCTGTGGAATATAAATTATACAAAAATTGATAGATTGCTAACCGACGGGACTCTTGTGAACCAGGTTGAACGGTTCTTTCATAAACGTTTGCAGTTGTGCCAAAACACCTAAATCAGCCTCAAGAGATTGTAGAGCGCTGAATGCCTTGCACTTTACTTTCTTATCAGCGTTCAGCTGATATATCGACGCCAATCCTTCCAATTGCGTAGTGAAGTCGACAAAGTCACCTCGCGACAAAGCCGATGCGAGTGCTTCGCAGCTCTGTAAAAATAATTTTCAATTTATCAAATAAAAATATGTAACAAAAAAAAGAATCATAATATGTCCATTATATTCACCTGTTGTTCACTTTTTCCCTCATGATGAATTTTTACATCTCTAACAAGTCCTGATGGCTCCAACAAAACTTCCAAGAAGAACATGTCGGAAGATATGAATATTTCTGTGCCTGGAGGACCAGACATCATGAACTTTAATCTGTGTAATAAGATAATAGTATAAGCTTATTTATTTATACAATTGCTATTAAAAAATATAAATAATAAATAAATAAAAATATTACATATATCTTTAAAAAAAATGTAGTCGACATTACATACATCTATTAAGCTGATTTAATTGATTGAGATATTAAAAAATCTGATTTAACTGATGTGACTTAAATAACATCTATATTATTATTAAAATAACTATCTATTATTTATTGAAATATATCATTAAAGTACATTATTTATATCCATTTTTTCTAAAACATTATTATATTTTATATAAGTGAAACATCTCTAGATATATTTTATATAGCATTACTCTAACATTACGTAAAATTTGCAACATTAATAAAATGCATAGTAAATGTAAAACTGAATATTAAGTCAATATATTATATAATATTATAGTAAATAATATATTAGGGTAATTTAAGAAATATTAATATTATAAAAAAAATAGGATCAATAATTAAGAAAATATTTGTGTATATTGTTGTATAAATAAATATATTACCCTAATTGTCTCGCTAAGCTTTCTAAACGCTCTACCATGGACTGAAAGGAAGTGACTTTGATAGAATGTTGTAGAGTGTCCAAGCACTTCTGTAACTGATTCCTCTCTATACTGTCAATCGCGAATCGCTTATCCTGTTTAAAAAAAATTTAATTTACATTTGCATCTCTAGAAATATTGAAATAACAAGTTACTCACCATGGCCATACGCATGTTCTTGGCCGTCTCCACCAAAGGCTTAAATGTGGAAGCCTTGGAACGCAATTTCTCCATCAGCAGCTCCATTTGCCACTCCTTACCCTTGTCGGAAGAAGTGGGTGCTGCTCCAGTGGAGGATTGTCCCGCTGTGTGAACAAATTAATTTATCAAACAACATATATATTTCTTTTGCATAAAAGATACATCATAATGAGAAATTTACAAATTTTCTTCTGATAATAATTGTGAACGTAATTCGAAAGACGAACGATTATTCAGAAACGAGTGGAAAAACATGTTGTATCGAACATAAATACATTGTTAGGTCGCAGATATAACTTCTCTCGAAATTCCGTTTCTTTAACAGGACCAATAATCGATCGATGATCGCTCGACAATTTTACATTAGCGTTATTTCTCGAGATGGACTTCTCGATAAGATAAGAGGGAAAAAAGGAGAAACCTTCCTCACCGTGGGACTTCTGTCCGTTGGTCGCATCCATGTGTCCCTCGACGGTTGACACGAATGTTGCTAGCGACGTTCACGCTCCTCTCAGACAGCGCTCGCTATCGCGGCGTCGCGACGACGCTGCGCAACGCTCTCCCGGTCATCGCGAACGAATCCGCGAAATTGGAGCGGTCGCGCGAACGCGACTAGCTCGAGTTCACTCTTCGTATTCGTTTATGAGACAATTACGTCTTCAGCCTCGTCGAGGTTTTCGCCGCGACTGTTCCGAACGGATGCGCAGACTCCGCGACTCCGCTTCGTTCGCGGAATTTCCTTACCTAACCTGACGTAACTTAAACTTAATGTCGCGCGCGCCGTCAGATGGCGCAATAATCATCATTCTATCGGCCTTGTAGTTTCCTGTATTATCTATAGTTTCTTTTTTTTGCATACTGTGCATAATTTAATCTATATCAAGTTACAAATATAATCATTTGTATGTAAAGTTTTTTTATGTCGACTTTTATAAATTATAATTGTCTTAAATTTCTTGAAAAGATACTTCTTCGATAATTTGATGAATATTTCGCATCTTTCATGCTGATTCGTTTTACACAGAGTCTTTATTATACATACATAGTAAAAAAATTGCGTACAAAAATAATCTCGATGTACGATACGTTATTTTTTTATATACACTTAAGTAAAATCGCAAAAGCGCAATACTTATATTTCTATAGCTATATTTCATAACAGGACGGCGCGTATCACACGCTAGCATCGCGTTCACTCTGTCATCTATAAAAATAAAACGCGGTGCAGCTTAAAAGTGGATAAAAGTTACATGTGTGGCTAATTAACGAGTGACGTAATATACTGCAGTATATTTGTACTATGGGGTGTATTGTTCTTAATTCTTTCCGCTGCATTTAATCATCTTTCAGATTTACTTCAGGATACGCATGGAACAAATCTATATAACATTTTTATAAAAAAAAAATCTAATAGTTTGATCTGAATTTCTGATGGATTTAACATTAATTTTATCGCGTGTCTCATGAGCTTATTTTATAAAAGTTTCTAAAACTTGTAAAAAATTCTTAAAATATAAATGAATAATACTTGAGCAAGATAAAACTGAGCTGCCATTCAAAATGATTAAATATACTATATAAAAGATTAAAAAATCATTCGTTATTAAATTTTTCATACTCGACAAAAATGAGTAACTAATCAATTTTATAAAATACGAATAAAAAATTATTCACTAATAAACGATAAAAATATTCGATAAAAATAACTTCCAGTTAATTTTTGATTATGAAAGTTCAACAAGTTTCGCTCGAGTCGAAAAGCCATTAACTATAATTTTTTGGTGCTCGGGTGAAAAGAGATACGCTTGTTCCAGAGTTTTGGAACCGGCGAGAGAACCTGCTCAAGAAATAAGTGTCTTTTTTCCTTGAGATTGAAATGCACGCTGCAAAACGATTTGTCATTCTTATCGTCTCTTTCTATGGTCCAAGCACGTCTGTCACAACTATCACTGTTATCGTACATCATATTGTTGATCCGCCTGATATTATTGTTCGACGCGATCGGAGCCAGATTCTCCTTGTCTGGTGATTTCTCTGATATCGTAGAGTTGTTTCTCTTGGTGGATATTTCCGTCTCTATAGTATTCTCGGCGAGCCGAGTCTGGCATGGATTCTCGCCGTTCTCGACGGACACCAGGGGACTCATCTCGACGTACAAATCGCTCTCGTTAGCGTCGAAATCATTCTTACGATCCGCAAACGTAACCTGTCGCACCAGCTTGTTCGCTCTGCTGCCAAGGACCGGCGAATCCGAAAGAATGGCGTCTATCAGAGGCGTCTTCTTGATGGATTCTATCGCACAACACCGGACAAATTCTCTGATCGCATCTATTTCGCGTTTCTCGACGTCTCGCGCAGTAAGATCGACCGGATCGACCGTCGTCGATGTGTTCTTGAGATCACTGTCGAATAGTACTTGGGCGAAGCGCGCTCGCGCCATCAAGTTTTTGGGATTCAAATCCTCCCACTGAGTCTCCGTGATGTGATAGATGTGTCGCGGCGAGTTCTCTGCCGTGTACCGTCTGATCTGATCTATCGTACTTACAAGAGTGCTCGCAGAATCGCGTGATGGTTCTATTGTGTGCGGAAACTTTTCATCCGACGAATCGTCGCGCTCTTCCAGTATCGTATCCAGCGCGAGCATGCCACCTCTATCATCGATTACTACCGGTTTGGCGACATACAGACTAGCGCTCTGATTGCCCACGGCGGATGTGGAAAACGCGTTGTCGCCATAAGCTGATTTAGATTCCTCCTTAGATTCTACCAAATCATAAGTCAAGGCATCCGCATAATCATCCTGCTTTAATATCCCTCGCGAAATCATTCCATCGGAATATTCCGAGCTGTACGTCGTGCCGGTCGTACTCGTCAATGTGTCCCGTCGTCGATCACGTACTACACTGTCATCGTGAATGTACGTCTCGATGTCCGTGTAGCCTTTCCAGCTACGTATACACCATGGTGGTCGAGCGATCCCCAATGGACATACATTCTCGTAGTCATGGATTGATGTCACACAGCTCATTGTTTCGTCGCGCTGTTGCTGTTGGAAAAACAATGTGTATGAAAAAATTAGTATAATTTACATCATAATACAGTAATATATAATTAATAAATACAATAAATATATTAATAAACATTTAAATATAATAAATAAAAATAACATGTAATGTAAGTGAAAAAGAATTGTTGTTGATGCAAATTCTTTAAAATTACCTTTTCTATATCAAATATTCTGCTACTCTCCAACGGCGTCGGAGTTGTCAATTTTCCTCTGTTCTTGATAACGTCCAATGCGCCGATCACTTTGCTGGAGCAGGAATTGAACGAGAGAGAATTATTCCGCTCGGAGTTGTCGAGCTTACTAAGCTGATCAAGGAGGTCAATGTTTAATATATCCGGCGCGTGCCAATCCAATTGCGGCGTGATATCATGTTCGTAAATGCCGTGACGTTTACGGGATGAGTCGATATCCAGCAAGCCCGGGTATAGGGGTGCCGAGCTACCGGTGAGTGCATTGTCCGGATTATCGTTCGACGCAATCTCCTCCTTGTGTTTGCCGCCAATGCGACTGTGCGACCTCTCGCACTCGGTGGAAACGCGTACGACGCTCGCATTGGATTCGTTCTCCGAATTGTAGTTGCGATTCACGATGCCCTCCTCTGCGCAATCGGAAATTTGCGCGATATTCGTCAATAGGGACTGCTTGTCAGTGGCCACCTCTCCTTCCTCTGTCCTCGGCGAAATGTCGATAGAGTGGTGTAATGACACTAGAGAGCCGCGATGGAATAGCTTGAAGGATTTGCTGGGAGTCTCGGTTTTGACAGTATTCGTAGCATGCGAATGCTCGTTGATATTTCGAGAAATGCCGTTCGTCATCATCATCTTGGATGGATGAAATTTGCCATAGTATAATGACATGCTCGTCAAGCCGACGAGCATACCGCCGATTATCACAGATGCTATCGCGATCATCGTATCGTTTGCAATCGTATCCTTAAAATGTAACGTATACATAGTCAGGAGGATCAAGTTCTGTGCCACGATCACTGTATAAAAGACAAGTACACGGTAACGCGATCGACCTTCGCGCAAGTTGAAAAAATCGAAGCAATAGATCAGCCCGATGATGCAATTGTAGATGCGCTCTTCCCACATGGTTGGACAAAACTCTGTCTTTTGTAGGATCACCCAGATGGTCATAAATAACCAATGCAGGCCTGTAAGATGTAATAAATTTTTTTCACAATAAAACATTTATCAGCTCAATGTATGTTTCAATTTATAACAAACTCTATAAATATAAAATCTCTATAAATATCTCTATAATTATTTTAAATTTACCATTTTCTATCTATATTTTTCTATTATATTTATATATTGCGATTATATGGAAATTTTTATCTCGTTATTCCTCCTCGAAAAAACTTACCCAGAAATAAAAAAAACCACGTTCTGAGGAAAACGGCAGCCAACACGAGAACTCCGATTCTAGATAGCAGCATACCACCGCGCCACAAAGCCTGAAGAACGAGAGCGATCCAGGTCGCGTTGCTGCGCTCGCGATTGATATTGTGCATGGCCCTAATGTATGTGTTCACGGCCCACGTCAAGGAACAGAAGGAAGCTATAGCTGAAGCGCCTGTGCAATAGAAAACATCACACTTATATTAATATTAATACTGCATTATATGTAAAATTCATAAGTATAGAATTAAAAATTATAGAACTTAAAAATATTAAACTCGTCGTAGAACGAAATCTGAAATTGAATCCTAATCTAATACCTAATGAAACATCTTTAATATTGTCAAAAGAATATGATAAGAAAGAAAGAATATATAAAAATTATTATATTACAGTCAGTTTATATTTATCAAGATTATAACATTAATATTACACATATATATATATATATACTGTAACATATTAGATTAAGAAGCACAAGTAAATAAGAAAAGTACAAAAGAAAATGTAAGAAATTATATTTTTTTTGATTGCGACAGACTGTTGCCTTTCTTTCGGCTTCTATTTTTGAATACGCTTTGCTTCGTGCTTCGTCGCTTTATATTTAAAACCGAAGAGGACTCGAGAGTCCCTCGCCTCTCATGGCACTCATGTCGTCGCGTATTGTTCTCCAGAGAAACAGATAACAGCTGTCAGCGATAAACAGTCAGGAGTCTTTCCGCCTTTCTGCTATCTATCCTGGGGGCGGGGGACATGCGAGGGAAGAGGCGGGATAATAGGTCGTCCTTCCGTGGCGGATTCGCAGATATTCTTCACTTTCCCGGCAAGCTCAGCATCAGTGGTTCAGTAATACAACATACTCTGGGCAACGCTGTTTCTCGATAGTTGTGTTCGATTAAATTTGCGTTCAACTATCTACACATGTAACGAAACAGATGATACATAAAATCGCCAAAATGATACATAAATCAACGATCGAAGTGTCAACGCTGAATGAAAATTTAACGATTTATCCGCGATTACTGAAGACCGGCTCTTATCATCTCACGAAAAGACTCTTTTCGTTGGTGCAGGTACGTGCAGAATGTCCCGAGTGTCAACTTTTCTACAATAAAGTAAAAAGATAAAAAAAAGTAATAAAATAAATCAAGAGTGTTAGAAAAATAATTCCATCAATTACAGAGACAAATCAAGGTGATAAAATTGATCATACTATTAGCAACGATCTGCATTATTATATTGTTAATATTGACGAACCTAACGCGAACTTCGTATACGAAGACAAACATAGAATCGGCCACATCGCTGAAGTATGCCACACCGAAATATCTATCTGATACAATAATACCGCGAATAATGTCAGAAAGTCATATGGAGAATGTTAAAAGAGAGTTTGATAACAGAAGGCACCAAATGTCACGTGTATGCAAGACAATTGAAGTGAAAGAATCGCGCTTAGATACTGTGTTGACCAACATGATTATCGATACGTAAGTGAAAGAATGAAATTCTGAAAAAATAAAATTCTTTTTAAATAAAATCCACTTTAATAAACTTTAATATAACTTTAATAATTTAACTTTCTAATTTTGCCTCTATATAAGAGAAAATTTAAATTCATGTATATTAAATTATACACACAAATCTCTATTTTTACTTCCCAAAATAAATTATATATATAATATTAATATAAAAAATAAACATACATGTAATTCATGACGAGATTGGACAGGAATAATTAAATTTTTGTATAATAATATGAAGAAATTGAACGATAATCGAGAATTCGATTCAAAGGGAGCACAATATATCATGGTGTCCTATCTACAAGGCGGCGAGTTCTGCATGGATGATTTACTTCGCCGCATTGAAAAATGTTTTGACAGACTTTACTATGGATTTAATTCAACGCAATCGTATGCAAGTTAGCGATATTGTGAGGCAAAAATTTCGACACGATGCGAATCTTAATAAAACCTATGAGGTAAGAAATATACTTTGTTAATTCTTTATATAGGACTGTAATTATCATCACAATCATATACAAAATAATAATACATAAAAAATACAAGGAAAAAATATGTAATATAATAAAAATTATTAGTACAATATATATGAGTAAAATAATATAAATAAATTAAATATAATAATATAAAATAATATAAAATAAATGTGTAAGTAAAAACATAAATTATTAATAAAATGCAATAAAAAATATTAAAAATGTAAATATATATTCATTAAATTAATTATTGAGTATAAAATAAGTTTATGAAAATAGCGAGAAATTATATAAATACAAAATAATTTTATATGATAAGAGAAAATTCCAAATAATCAAGCAAACAAAATATAATCGACAAATTTAAAATTCGTGAATTCACGTTCAATTTTCAGAAGTTGAGCAAAACTAAGAGATTCCTGATCGTACGACATCCATTGGAACGTCTGTTATCCGCGTATAGGGACAAATTGGAGCATATGCAGGGCCGCGAATATTATTACAAACGTTTCGGACGACGCATCGCGCTCAAATATCGTCAGTCCGGCGACAACGCAACGAGATTAGAACCAACGTTCGCGGAATTTTTGCGATTTATAGCCCACGAGAAGTACTTTGACGAGCACTGGGCGCCGTATTATCGCACCTGCGAACCATGCGAGCTTCACTACGACTACATACTGAAAGTCGAGACTCTGGATCGCGATCAGAACTTTCTCATCCAGGATACCAAACTGAGCAATTATCTCTACGAAGTGAAGCATCCAGGAAACATCAACCCTCATGGCACAACCACTAGGAAAACACTCGACCAATACATCACGGGAATACCGCGGTCGCTTCTCGATCAGATTTATAAAATCTACGAGAACGATTATAAATTATTCAACTATTCGTTTATATAACTTGTTTCATTTTGTATAGGCAGCTGTTATAATTATTATGTGATGTGTCAAATAAATATATTAAAATTTGCAGAAATTTTATCTCTCAAATATGACATGTGATCTTTGTAAATTATATTCCTTAAATATTCTTAGAAGATTATTTGTGTATATATTTAAATATATGTATTAAATATAAATAAAAATGTACATATATACAATTTTCTTAGATTTTAAATTTTTCAAAATAAATAAACATATGTTCAGGCAAAGTAGAATAAAAGAAGAAAGAAATATTGTCAACAATTATAGAAGATGCAGCCAAAAAGTAAGATAGATATATGTATGTTTGCCATATATACATTATATACAAAAGTATAAGAATAAAATAATATTTAAAAACATCAAAGAATGTGAATACTTACTCGTCCAAAATGGAGCATGATGTAATGTTGCAATAATGTACAACTGTAGTATCAACTGTGGCGTAGCTCCCATAAATGATTCAAACAAATGTAACATACAAATATCGCTTTCTTGTCGATACACCCAATTCTTGTCTTTGCTGAAGCTCGACTTATTCCTCAAAGAGTGCATTGCGGTGTAAAGCAACGTCAAGTACCTGAAAACAAGTATATAAATGGATGAAATAGTTGACTTATTGATATATAATTATATTTACAAAACTCGTTGACAATCTGGCTGAAGAGATTGTGCAAGAACATAAATATCAAATACCTGTGCAAAAAGCCGAGTAGTAAGAAGTGCAATAACCAGTGAACAGTCCGCAGGGAACCGTCGCTGTGATGCCATCTCAAACTAAATAGTTGAGTAACACAAGCGGGTAAGATGGTGAAACCCATTGCAAAGCATCCCCACGCTGAGTGGCCTTGCAAAAGGTATTCCACACATACAATGATGTCTGTGTGTGCGAAAAATATCTTACAAAGTGTTCACTGTACAAAGACAAAAGCTTTTCCCACTAATGCAAATTTCAACAATCGCATGCTTTGAGTATACAAGACTTATTGTAAACATATTGTCATCATATGACAAATGTCAAATGATGTTAGTATAAAAAACATTGCAACAATGCTAACAAAAGTTATCATAAATGCACATAGCATTTTTATAATCATTTTTTGTTATTTTATTGTTTTTATTAGTACATTTTAAGATAAACATTGAAATATAAATCCATATTTTTATCATATCTATATTCAATATTTTCTTTTTATTTTACAAATATAATATAAATATAGAACTTAAAAAAAAAGATTACTATAAATTTTTTTAAAAAAGAAAAAAATTGTAATTGCGATGATACTTTTAATTAGCATCGTTAAAGTAAACAAACAATTTAAAGCTGACACATATAAGCACATACAGGGTGTCCCGTAATTCGCGAATTTTTAACTCTAACGCGAAAATCTATGATCAAGCAGGAAGATCGAGATGATTAATACTTATCGCGAAAACATTTACAATTGTCAATGTTACACACCTCTCTTGTAACTAAGATTCAACTTAAAAATTTTCGGAAATTAACTTAATAATTAATAAAATTCACGCCGAGTCAATCAAGGAGATTGACTTTGTCGTCCGACTCGAGAGATCCTCTGTCAGCCCGAAAGCCTGACACTTGTCATCGAGTTCGCGAAATCGCGGGACACCCGGTGCATGCGTATTACACGCGTGAGTTGGGGGAGAGCACTCTTTGTTCACCTGTTGCTACGTCCGCGAAAAAGAAACTGACCGAAAGCGCGTAGTACAGCAAATCGACGATGTGGAATCGGTAACGCTCGAGGCGACGTCGCGGCGCGGCCGCATCCGCCTTCTCTGTCGCCGTCGTCGGCGTCGTCGTCGTCGTCATCGCGTCTTCGCCGCACGTAACGTCGGCGGATCTCGTCCTGTTCGACTCCACCGCCGCCATCTTCCCGCCTTTCCGCATCCTCGTCGCCCGGCGCGAGACGCACTCGAATTCGCGCCCGATTCGAGCCACCGCCGCCGCTTCCTCCCGCGCATGCGCGCCAGCGACGTAACGCGCGAAACGCGAGAGTCTCGACGGGAAGGACGCGTCGGATCGATCGGGACAAGTCAGGACGAAGAGAGCGTTGGATACTAATTCTTCAGCTACTGCTTCAATTTTCAGTGCGATATGCCAAGAAAAATCCGAGTAACTCTTTAGAAACTGCGCCAAGTGATAAGCGCAAGCCGATGCTTCGCTGACGCGGCGCATGCGCGAGACACGGTGCATGCGTGATGCACCGCGCATGCGGGAGGCGCCGCGCACGCGCGAGACGCCGGACGCTGATTGGCTCGCGCCGCCGAGCTTGTTTCGAGATTGGCCAACCTGGAACGTGACAGGGACGTAACGCGACGTCGGGTGTCCCTGGGTTTTCCACGGGGAGCCCGGTACCTCAAACACAACGCGTTACACCTGTCAAAAGTGCGCTTCAATCAGAGGATACGAGAGTGTTCCTGTCGGAGGGCCTGCAGGGCCGCGAGGCCTCGAGTCCTCGGGGAAGCCGCGGTAGACGAGTTCAAGAGCCGGACGTGGTCCACGTTACGAGGAGGCGTCAGCGAGACGGCATTGCTTTTCGGCGAGGTACCGAAAAACATGGCGAGCCTCGATGACTAGACGTTGTACGCGTGTAAAAACTGTACGCGCGACCCATGAGAGTCATTATTATCTCTGATTCATCGTCCTTGCGATGAATCCAAGTCTAAAAGGATTTCGTCGATGAAGTGTCCGTTAATCGATGTTTGATCAAGAAGGTTCGATCAAGTTTAACCTTTGATAAGGAGCCCAGGTTTGAATAAAGAGGACATACCTTTGTCCTTACAAGTGTGTTTTTCAAAGAGATAGCCTCTAAGAGGAAAAATATAATAACGTTAATTATACGAGAGACGTTCCATTAATTCGCTCCGAGGGAAAGTTTACTTACTTCTATAGTTATTACACGAGTGTTTTACGTGTTCATCTCTATCAAAAGTAAGTTTTAAATGTAAGAAATATAATTTTTTGTGCATGTAATGAACCACTTGTAAATTTGCAACAAGCGAATAGAATAACGTTGAGATATATAATACTATCTTTCCATGTAATACAGGATTAATATTTATTGCAATATATGAAAAAAAATTATTTATATATATCTGAAATAAAAATTATTACTTTTAAAAAATATATAACATTATTACATGCATAATGTTTACTTTTAAGTTATCCAAAATATACGTTATATTAAAAATATAATAATGTATTAAACATGTATGAAATATAATAAAATGTCAAACATATTTCAGAGAATTAGAATACAAGTGTTGGGTACCTGATCATGTATCAGCATGTATAGTTTCGAGGGAGATTACAGGCGCAAGCCGCAACAGAATCTGGCAGGTGCTAGCAGACGAGATGAAAGAACCGTCCTCTTGCAACATGCACAGTTGGAGAGATTGAAGAGAGAGCAGCAGCGCAAGAAGCATGATGCGGCATTAAAAATACAGGCGCACGCGCGTAGCTTTGTCATCAGGAGATTGACATGTGCGCAAAAGAGGAAGGAGTTTGATGAGGCACAACAGATGGCAGGACGTAGGAATTTGAGTCTGGACGAGTTAGTGCCCTATTTGAGAAAACTATTGTTCTTTTATAATCATATTTTGGATGCCAATAGACTGATATGGGTTCTTCAGCATTTTCTTAAACATCAGAGAGATATAAAATTGAAATCTATAAGTTCAGCGCAATGGTTGTGGAGATTGCGGTAAGATATCAATATAAAGAATCATAAAACAGTTATTAAATAGAAAGATTAGCTTTATAGTTATTAAAAATTGAAAACTTATTGCATTAAAATAATTAAAAAATAATTTAATAAATAACAGTGTCTATATATGTATTATTATACATATATACATATTGTATGATTTATAAATAAGCAAATTTAAATACATTAATATAAAGTAAAAAAATATTAGATAAGAGTAGATAATAAATAATACATACATTCAATATAGATGGATTCTTCGCATGTGTATGCGATACAACACAGAAACGTTACCAGATGGAGCATATTCCTTGGCAATACCGTTACGTGTCCTGGAGGTATTTACCACACGAGAGGACACGGAGAAAGTCTTACGAGAGAATAGTTACTGGCATCTGGAGAGTATATTTGTTTACCTGATCCAACATAACTACTTTGAACAATTGAGAAAGCTATTGGATGCAAAAGTACCATTAATGGTAGAAGCAACATCGGTCGCGCCCACACCAATTTCCAAATGTCTACTTGATATGATTAAACGCCCGTTGGATTTAATCCCTTATGTGGATCGCAAAGAGGACTTTTCCACGCTTGTACTTCGGGAGCTATGCAAGAGTATATTTTCTCCCAGATTGTCTGATCCAATTCGCATGTTCATTGTGCCAGCATTGGCGGAATTCAAGGACTTTCCATATGTCCAATTGATCGCTTGTGTCAATCGATTCCAACTGGAACCTACAATAAATTTACTCTACTGCATTCTATCATTAGATTCTTTTAATCAATTTGGTAAGTAAAACGGAAACAATTTATTAATCTTGTTATTATTGCCTAGATTCAATCATAAAAATGTAAACGAAACATGTTGCTCAAAACTTTTCTTTTCTCTACAAGATTAAGTTATTAAGAGATTATATTATATTTTTCATTCTTTCAATTTTTCTTACACATATGTAATATAATAATTTTCTAATCAAATAATTTTGCAAATTAATGCAAAAATTAATCAAACTGCTGTTCATGTCATATCATATTTTTTTTGTAGCATGGTGCAAATCTGAAGATGCGCTGACGAACTATCTGCAAGTACTCGCATCTCTGAGCTCGACCATTGTCATGGTAGAGCAAAATGTCTCGGAACAGCAAGCCGACAATGATTCGGACAACGAATCCGATGGGAACGTGACCGATCAAGAGCAGGCCGATATTTTGCGAAAGTGCGTCGAGATGTTAAACGAGCAACAACGCGTGAATTGTATATTGTCGACGATCGAACATAGCCAATCGGATCCTGCCGCGCTGTTGCAACCGCTTTGTCGATTATGCCACCACCTACTCATCACTAACAAGTTGGCTGTTCACAAGTACAAGCTTCTTTACATGCTCGCCTTCAAGCCGATGTTCCTCAAACACTTGTGGACAAACCTAACGTCGATCCGTCAAACATCATTGTTTGGCGGTAGTGGTGCTGCCGCTACGCCCTTGTTGCAGATTATATCGCGTGGAATCGCTCTCTCCGCGGAAGATACCGAGAGAATAGTCCCTCTATTGGCAGTCTTTTGCTCGCTGTTCAGTCTGCTAATCGCAACATTGCACGACACCGAATTCTTCCTCGAACAGAACAACTCCGCGGAACAAATACCCAACAATCGGCAACAGCATGCCATGCCATTCACTATTGCGGAGCTAGCAATATTGTCTGGTCATCTAAAGGGCGTTTGCCTAGGTCTGGTAGAGCTTGCGTTTCCCGATACTCGGCCCACAGTGCGAGACGATTACAAAAATGCCGTTTTAGGACCCACTTCCACCGTTCAGGGTCGACACGACACGCAAATCTGGACTCATCTCTTCAAGGTTTCTCATAATATTTTTGATTAATTTGAAACTTTTAAGATTTTAACTTATTTAAAGTTTTATAGTATTTTTTAATCTTTCTCTATCACATTTTTAACGACAGATTCTTCTGCTAATTTGCATTTAATTTTTTTATCAATAAAAAATGTCTGTCCAGGCTCTTATAATATTTGAATAATTAATGATTAAAAATAAGATATTTTTGTAAATCTTATTAAAGGTCATGGTGGGTCTTCTACGTCAATTACACACACGCGATCTCAGGCGGCAGTTCTGTCCGGCAAATCATTGGATCGCATCCAACGTCGTCATTCCTATTGACAAGCCACAAGATTTCGCGTTCCGTAGACGCCGACTTCGCGGATATGTACCCTTTCAGAGCTTAAGGGCATTTACGAGAGAGGAATTTGAGGAGGGGCCGCCTCTATCAGCGACAGAAGTGCGAACGCTGACATTGTTGCGGGAGATACCGTTCGTAGTGCCATTCAACAATCGCGTGGTTGTATTCCAATCATTGATCTACAAGGACAAAGCGGAACAGCAGGGCGAACTTACACACTTCATGCAAGGTCCATCGATACAAATCTCCGTGAGGCGAAATTATCTTTACGAGGACGCCTTCGAGAAATTGTCGCGCGAGAATGAACCGGAATTACGGCTAAAAATGCGAGTGCAGTTGGTTAACACCGCGGGATTAGAAGAAGCCGGCGTTGACGGTGGCGGTCTGTTTAGAGAGTTCCTGTCTGAGCTATTAAAGACTAGCTTCGATCCCAATCGCGGTTTTTTCAAGCTCACCAAGGATAACATGCTGTATCCGAATCCCACGGTACATTTACTGGTGGATGACTTTCCGAAACATTACTACTTCATCGGCAGAATTTTAGGGAAAGCGTTATACGAGAATCTATTGGTCGAATTGCCATTCGCCGAATTTTTTCTGTCCAAGATTGTCGGCCGCCAGTCCGACGTGGACGTGCATCATCTCGCCTCCCTCGATCCTATTATGTATCGCAATCTACTTTATTTAAAGAGCTACATGGGCGATGTGGCGGATCTCAATTTGGACTTCACCGTGCTCAGCGATGAACTAGGCGAGAGACGAGTTGACGAATTGAAACCAAGTGGCGCAAATATCCCAGTAACGAATCACAATCGCATCGAATACATCCATTTGATGGCCGATTACAAGCTGAACAAACAGATTCGTGCACAATGCTACGCGTTCAAGCAGGGAATAGGCAGCGTAGTCCCTCTCGATTGGCTGCAGATGTTCAACAATAAGGAACTGCAAGTATTGATATCAGGCGCGCAAATTCCCGTAGACGTCAATGATTTAAAGCTGCACACAAACTACACTGGTGGATACGCAGCAGATCACCCGACTATTACTGCCTTTTGGAAAGTCGTCAGCGAATTTAATGATCAGCAGAAAGGCCAGTTACTGAAATTCGTCACTAGTTGCAGCCGTCCTCCTCTCCTAGGATTTAAAGTATATATTTCATAAGCATAGATTACATTATTATGTTACTGAAATACAATAATAATTTATAATTATTAAAATTTTCAAATGTATTTTCAACGCGCTAAACATCTTTAATATTATTACAATTTAAAATTATACAAATCTTTTTTTTATTTATTTCATTTTTTTATTTTTATTTATAAATATTTTTATAATATTTATAAATTATTATACAATTATAGATTAATATTTTATAAATTATTATACAATTATATACAAATATATTAATATTCGTATATACTAAAAGAAATAGAGTATTATTATGATTTTTGACCGACTTCTCATTGAAACTTGTCATTTCCATTACAGGAACTCGATCCGCCGTTTTGCATTCAGCACGCCGGTAGTATGGACCGTTTACCGACCTCGAGTACCTGTATGAATCTGTTGAAACTTCCCGAATTTCCGGATGAGAAGATTCTGCGCGAGAAACTTCTATATGCGATACAAGCAGGTGCAGGTTTCGAACTCAGTTAGAAACCTCTAAACCTTGACTTCCAACAACTCTCTGACCCAGTAATACAATGTTACCCAATGTAAATATAATGTGTAATTAAACAAATATACTGCGTATAAAAAGGAGTAGAGATATCATTTTGCATATCTCCGTGGAATAGCGTCAAGACTCTGTGCGCAGATTCTTTGGAGAGAAACGCGCCGAAGATATTAATATTAACAGGAGGGGCCAATTACTAAGCTATAGTATCTACCTACCGGAGATTATTACCTTCATCACTTTGATGCAACTGCAATGTTTATAAAGACGAAAAGAGAAAAAAAGCAAAATATATGTTCGGGCGCGTATATAAGAATATTTTGTTCGGTTTTAACTTTTCCTACCACCTTTGGCCTATAATTGTAAATTATGTATATTTTTATTGTTTTATATATAATATTTCTCATGTGTGTGATGTGTCCAAAACAACGACTGTGCTACTTCATTTCAAATGTACGCGAGAGAATAGATGTACGTATTTATGAGATATATATTGTTAAGTCTGTGTAAATAAAATATTTCAAAGCGTTGGACAAAAGCGTATATATTATTGAAAAAAATATGTTGGATATATACATGATTATATTAATTTTTTATTTTACTCTCTTATGATGTATCAATTTAAAATTTGTGAAACTAATTTTAACTGATATTTATTTTTCTTAAGATGTTATTCACATTCGCTTTTGCAAATTTTTAAAAAAATTATTTAAATAAGAATTGTTAAATAGCGACTAATGACTATTAGAAAATTAATCTGCAATTAAATAATTGCACTAAGAAGAGAATGTCTCGGAGAAATGTTAAAATTTAATTTTCAATTATCTCGTTATTGCAATCACGAATATTACCGAACAAGGACTGTTTCATTACCTTTCAGAAACAGATAAACTCTTAACTTTGCCAGGATAAACGAAGAATTACTATTCCAACAAACTCTAATAAACTATAATAAACTTTCATTCTGTACGTGTTTATTCATAAGGATTTAAATACATTTTATTTAAATATATATTATGAATCATCATATCTTTTTTTGGGATTTCGAATTTGTGAATAGATATCATATTTAATGTATCATATAAATTTTCAAGAGTAATATTTTACAACTTTAAAATACTTTTACGAATTTACGAATTTAAAATACTTTTTTGAATTTGTGCTTCAAAAATTGATAAATTTTTATGTAATAATATTTCTTGACACACTTTATTACTTTTAAAACGAGATAAATTAAAAACTACTGACTGGAACTGTCTTTAAAACTGTGTTTCGAAAAAGATAAAATTATTGAGCATGCAATATCTTTTCCAAACAACGATTACATAATTTATGCCGATTTGTTTCTAACAATATAAATTTGTGTTTTATGTGAAAAATAATTTAAACCTATAATCTAAAAAGTTTATAAACATAAATCTAAAGAAAATGCATTTAAAATAATTTAAGCTTTTATTTCCTCAATATTATCATAATCATTAAAAAATAAGAAACCACGCAAAGTTTGCATGCTTATGTTATCTGTGCTTTTCTTTGAAACTTTTTCAAGAGCGTCATATTTTATAATACTAATCTCATTTTAAAATAATACAGAAATATTATATTATGTATCGTTTTTAATTCTTAATTTCATCAATTTATTTTATGATCTCTTAGTTTAATTGTAAATTTTAAGACAAAGAGAAAAAATATGATCTCGGAAATATGTAAAACTCTGGTTTGTTATAAAAACTATTACTTAAACTATTGTTTAAAAATTCATTCGATTACTGTGTAAACTAAGTGTTTTAATTGATATCAAAATTTAACTTATTTTAATTAAAGTTAAGTACTTTATTTAAAAAACTTCATTATTATTTTAAGAGATGTACAATTAAAATCTTGCCAAAATCGTAATCATTAAACAAAATCAGAAAAATTAATGAGAAAATAAAAGAAATAAATAAATTAAGTAAAATGATGAGTAAATAAAAATGAAGAGCACTGAATACTCAAGTTTCGAAGATCAATCCTTGTATTGTTTCATGTAAGTGTATTTAATGATTCAAATATTATTTCGAAACTCTTAAAAAATAGAAATAGTTACGATGTCATGCTTTAATTAAATCTTTTGACATCGTAATTGTAACGTTTAATAAATGAATTACATGAATTTTGATTTGAAACAACAGCTTGAAAAATTAATCGATAATAATAAATTTCTAAGTGCAACCAATTAAAAATACATGCAGCATTTTTGCGATGCATGTTTTCTTGTTTTGCCGAATCAAAATTTCATCATATATCTTACTTATTCGACCTCAATTTTACACGTGTGTAATAATAATATATGAATATATATCGCATCATGAAAAAGAGAGATGTTTTATATATGTTTCATATAATAAAAATTTATGAACAATTAACTCTCTTTTGCGAGGTTCCGCATGCTATCGAGAGAAGAAGAGGGAGAAACAATGGAAATACTTTCTTATGGTAAAAAAATTTACTTTTTCTCGGATAGAGAAAATAAATCAAAGAGAGAATTACTAAATTTATACGCGCATCTCTTTCATACTTCATTTCACATTCATCTCTCACTTGTATTATATTTTTATTTTCTTTTAATTCATTTCTTGTGCAAATTTTCTTTTCAGTGCGCTTCTGTCTTAAGTTATGAGTTAATTATATAGTTCCGTTTTATACATATTGCATTTATTATATTTTTTCTTCTTTAAAGTTGCATTCTTTGTCCGCACATACCCTATTTCTCCGCTATTCGTTTTTTAAATTAAATTAAATGATATATTTTTTAAATTATATTTCAAATAATATTTAAGTAATATTTAAAATTTAATAATATTGAAAAATATGCTGGATAATGTATAATATATAATGCAATTATTTTTTTATAATTTTAAACAAAAATAAAAATATTATATATATATTAAAGTTTAGTATCGCAAGGATTAAATTATGATATGATATAATGATATTTTTAAATATTGTCAGTAGAAATTAACAAAAATTTAATTTTTTAAAGTTAAAAAGAAAGAAAAATAAATTATCATTTATCATTTACTTTCGCAAATTTTGCAAGAGAATAAATACGCGTAATTTTTAAGCAAAATAAATTGTTTATTGTAGAATGATAATGAATTAGAAAGGAGAAGGTGATCCGTGACATTTTTCTCGCCAAAGAAAAATCGACATCAAACGAGTCGAAGAAACTACGATCAAAGGACACGCAATGGTCCCCGAACACCTTGTATGGATCGAAACACGTATTATATATGAGTAACCGAGTTTTTCAAGCGAAGAGAAAAAGGAAAAAAAAGAAAGAGAGAAAGAAAAAGCGAAAGGAAAATAATATTACATCTCGGCGATTCCCAAGTGAACAACAATTATTAACACACACAATTTTTCAGTAGGGACCGCATATGTTCTCGAGGAGAAAGAGAAAGAGAGAGAATATTAATTAGACTTGTATCGGTATTTGTAATTAACTCGCCTACATTCCTCTTATTCTCGGAATTCCGCTTACTATCAAGTTCCTTGTTCCGTCATTTTCTCACATAATTTCATTTGCATGTCCGCCGACTTGATTTCTCCTCAGCTCGGTCGCTTTTTCTCTCTCCGTCTTGCGAGCTTACTCGATGTTAAGGATAATCGTTGACGACATTGTCTGGAAAAATCGTGGCTTTTATATCGAAAACGTAAGCATAAACGGGAGGTCTCTATGTATTTTTCCAAACGATCATTTACGAGATACGCATTCTGAAATGATTCAGTCGCATTCTGAAATGATAAGGAATGAACCTTTAGGAAATGTAATTCTACTGTGATAAGAGCAACTTATAAAGAAGATGGTAAAAACCATCGCCTCCATCGATTTTCCCGATACCCTTAAACAAAAATCTAACCAAAGAAACTCTCATTTTGTTCACGAGCAAATTGTTTTTCTTCTTTTACGTAAAATATACGCAAATTCGTAAAATAAAATCGCGAACATTCGCGAATCCTTCTCTCTCAAGACAATTATCTTTATTACGAATTTCTAATTTATCATTTTGTATTTGTAATAATTATAATTGTATCGATTATAATTATTTATATTAAATAAATCTCGTGAAACGGAAACTAAAATATCACCTTTAGATCTCTTTTTTAATGCGATTATTAAAATACACAAATATTTCGTATATAAAATTCCAAAAGCTACTGCTCGAAATGCTCGAAATTCCAGAGGAAGTAAAGTATCCTTGCGTTGCAGCCGGCGAGACGCGGGCTGCCATTGTCGGGGAGGGAGAGGGTGAGGGTGAGAGTCAGGAGGTGGCGGTTGTGGGTTCCTTCCGCGAGAGGAGGGTGAGTTTCCGCTACCACCGCCCGCACCAGCCGGCGGGAGTATAAAGTGGTCGCGTGCACCAAAGCTCGGTCACTCTGTTGCGGAGACATCGAAGAGACGACGCTACCCGGGTCTCCATCGAGTTGTCTTGGATCGCATTCAAGTGTCACGCTCCCTTCACCCCCATCGGGATCGAAGCACCGGACGACCATCGAGTTTGCACGAGGTATAAAATCGCGTTCTCCAACCCTTTCCTTCGCGCGCTTTCCGGTCCCGGCCTTTCTCGTGCGCCCGATTGTCCTTTCGACAAGTCGTTTAACGCAAATTGGAATGTAAAAAATTAGAGTGAGGGTAATAGAATCGAGAAGTCGCGTGTTCTTGCAATATTAGTAGAAAAAGACTCTTGTAATCGGACTTGTTTCTATGATAATGTTGTACGCGGGGTTCAAGACGAGTTGGAAAGGATCTCTTTGCGGAGATTATTCCGTCATTGGCCCTTCGGGAATACGAGGCGAAGTATAAACCTACGTTTCCTTGTGCGACTTTCCGAGCTCACGCGAATTTCTTTTAGAGAGAAAATTAATGATGGGAGAATCGAATTATATAGAAATAAAAATAAAATAATATAAAAATCAATTTTAAATAAAAAAGTAAATTTTCCACGGGAACAATAAGGACAATTATATTCGATAAAATAAGTAAGGGAGTTATTAAAAACGAGGAAATTGACGAAAAAACCGCGCACGCGTTTCGCTCTGCATATAAATTAAATTAATATAATTAAAATATAATTAATTAATATAATTAATTAGTCGTATTAAATAAACTCGCAAGTTGAAACAAAATGAATACTCCAGTGGAGAAAGAAACTTTACTATCGGACGTCGCTTCTACGATAATTTATGACATAAATATAGAACATGGGATCTCTTATAGAGTGGAGCAGAAATGTCGAATCAAAATTTAATAAAAAGTAACTTCTTCTCTCGCATATTTAGGTCTTCTTATTGACTTTTGAGGATACGACGAGGGTTCGACAGACGACACGTACCTGAGATGTATATTTGTCGAATTTTCACACGACTTTTCCGACTCCGTTTGTAAACTAACGTATAATTTCACGTTGAGCGAACGGACGTGAACAAATTAGGTTTTCTTTCGTTAAAACTTTTTACTTTCCGTAATAATACAGTAGTACTGTAATTACATTTTCTTAAAAGAATGTGAGTAGCTATAAATTAAAGGTAAATTAATAAGTATGTGAAATAATAGGTATATAAAATTATATGTAAATAATTTATAAATATATATATATATACCTATATATATATATATATATATATATATATAATATATTTAATATTATTACAAAATAATATATATTATACAAAATTATAATATATATAATATATAAATATATTGTATATATATATATATATATATATATATATATATATATTGAAATGTATGTGCAAATTTTGTCGCTTGGAATAGTTTTTTAAACTACTATTCTCGTGTTTAATTATCGTTAAAATTATTATTGATTTATATGATTTTTTCATTCATTAGTTATAATTTATCTCACAAAACTTGTTTGCATATAAATAAAATAATAATATGATTATAAAGAATAACGAACAAATAATTAAAAATAATCATAAATATATTAATTGTACGTAATAATATTAAATATAATAATAATAAATAAGTAATAAATAAGCTAAATTACAAATAATAACAAACAATATAATAAAATATTTATAAATAAATTTATAAATACTATTTAGAAATACTACTACTTGTGCGTACAGCTCTACTACTATAGCGGCAGTAGAAAGGGATTGTTATGGTCGGACTTGGCGATTTCCTAACCATTCAGTGCTTATAATTCGAAAGGATTGAAATGAGCATAGGGTTGTAAAATTTTAAGATCATTTTTATCAGATATTATTGTCAAGATAACTTATGATTAAAATTTATAGACAGTAAGTTTTAAAATTGGAATTAAATTAATTTTCTTTATAATAATTCCTTATAATAAATCTTTATTTTATTAATTCTTTAAAGTTAATGCAAGACATCTGCAAATTTTTTTTATCCAATTGTTATTTAAATAAAGTTATTGAATCGAAATTGAGTATTTTTTGAAAAAGAATCGAGGAGAGAGAAAATATTTAAAAATGAAAAAACTGTGTTTAATTTCGATTAATTCACTTGTGTCTAAATTGGGTCAATTTTCAGAGAAGAGCTTTTCGACATTTCCGCTTAATTATTTGTATTAATTTTCACAATAATCCAATAAAGAGTAAATGCAACGATAACCGATATATTTCGAATACGAACCTAAAGAGGCGTGAAATTCACCGCTGATATTATCGAAACGCAAGAGTTTCGAGATCACGATGAGCCGAAACAATTTAAAAGTGCAAAGAGATTCCAATCTTCCTCCTTTTTCTTTTAAGAAAATTCCAGGAATGCGAGCATGTCTAAAAAAAATTTCTGGTAAAAAATGCTCGAAATTTCTTCGTATCCTCAAGCATCCTGCTTCTTGTCTCGCGATCTTTAAAGGAAAAAAGAAAACTTTTCCTTCCTCCCTCGAGCGCTCAAGATTCTCCCTTCGCCAGAGATGTATCAGCGATTTTATCAGCGATTTTATCAGCGCAATCGTTAGTTTCGATGTCGCGGGGTTAACATATACCATGGCATTCGGTAAAACGCATTCGCGCTCGAATTATCGCGATGACCTTTTCTAATTAATGAATTAGATTCGCGCAAACCACAACGCGCGCTCGTTGTCGCCCGCCGCTCGTTTGTGCGCTTTGTGCGACGATCCAATATCTCTGTTCCGCGCTCGAATATCTCCGGCCGCAACAAATTTATCTGATGGAGCGGCCAATAATAATGCGTATCGTCGATTGTCCTTCGCAATTAGCGGATTGCGTAACGAACCGCGGGTGGTGAGCTTCGCGCGGGCTTCGTTTTTCCCATTTAACCCTCCTTCACTCTCTCCCTCTCATCCTCCTGTGTATTTATATTTCTACACGTCCACCGTACCCTGTCGACCTACTCGTTTTCGCTGCGTTCCTTCGAATTAAATGTAGAATTTAAATTAACAATTTTCATTTATCACACTTCGTTCCAGTTAACTAACTCTCGAAAACTGATCTAACAATTTAATCTGTTAAAGTGAAACTTTACCTTTCCTATTTATCGAAATTATCGGGAAGTTGAAAAATAACGATACAAAAGAAATTGGCCAAAGAATTCTTCCTTGGAGCTTCACGAGCGATCTTTCCACGATGTTAATTACAATAAAATCCAATAAATTTACAATAAAAATTTTACAATAAAATAAAATAAATTTAATAAAATAAAATAAATTTAATAAAACGAATAAAAAATAAATTTAATAAAATATAAATTTTATTAGTTGCTTGAGAGATGAAAAAGGAGAAATTATCAAATGCGGAGAAATTATCAAATTTCTAATTGTTTCTCGCTCAAATGAGAAAGCAAGAAATACAAATCTCCAAAGACTGAAAAATATATTCTTTAAAATATATTGTAATAGAATCTCTTTATCAGTATCTATTATATATTTATTTCGGTGATACTTTTGCCGTGTTTAAGAACGCTCTTGCAATTCTTCGATTGAAATACCAGTCGATCGAAACTCTTCAACTTGACGAACGCTTGTATTATTCAAATACGCGCTCCACATTTCACATTTATTCCTCTCATAAATATATTTTAATATTCTTCTAAATCTCTCTCCAATAACTTTTTAATCAGAAATTCAATATTTATTACTTCTGTATTTTGCGAAAGAGATAAAGAGGTACATTATTAAATAATTGCGTTATCTAAATGAAATGTACGGAACGTGGAGAGATGAGAGATTGCCACGTACGCTGAGAAAAAAAGAGAGAAAAAATACGCCTACGAACTTAACTGTACGAATCGTTAGCGGGTCCATTAGTTATCGGCATCCAGATCATTTGTATTGATTTTCGATGTGCCTTTTCGACATGTAGATATAAAGTGCGAAACATACATCGCCTTTTAATCGAATGTTTCGACGTCAAGATTGTCGAGATTCGCATCGATTCGATGGAATAAAATTATTCTTGACACTTCTTCACTTTCGACAAGACAAAATTCACGACACGAATTCTCACTTCTTGATTGTTCTCTCTGACAAATATATCATCAATATGAAACACATAGTTACGTTATATATTAAAGAAATATACTTTTTAAACTGTTTTTATTTTAAAAAAGTATATACGTTTATTTATTTATTACTTATTTATTTATTTATTTAGTATTTATTTATTTATTTATTTACTTATTGATTGATTGATTGATTGATTATTTATTTAAAATAATTTTTGCATCGATTTTTATAAATAAATATCGCAATGATAAGATAAATCTATATTTTTTTAAGGACGTGCAGCTGCAATGTTCGAAAATTTCTCAAAATACAATCAAAAAATCAATCTTTTTTATTCAAGAAATTCTTGTTGTGATAAGGTGTTATGCTAGCCTTAAGATTTTGGTCATCGATAATGATTGAAATAATTCTCGATATTTCCAATTTAAACAAAAGATAAAATTAAATTTGTCTCGAGGGATTTTAGTAAAATATTATTTTAAACTGGATACGAATTAAAATTCTTATATTTTTCGACATTTCATTCTCACTTTCAGATTCTACAAGGATGTCGTCGGTACGAAATATAGCTGCACTGGCGTTGGTGCTTCTCGTTTTGGCAGAATGGTCAGCGGCGATGCCAACAACCGACAAAGACAAAGAGAGGTTGTTGAACACCGTGGATGTAAGTAAATCGAATATAAAATTTTTCCATTTTTTGATGTCCGAATTAAATATATCGCGCGCGATATCTCGTTTAAAAGAGATCATCTTTGTAAAATAAAATTTTTAGAACCAAAGATCGATAAAAATTTCTCTAAGAAGCTGTCGAAGTCACGAGACTATAAATCAGAAAACGCGTGATATTTGAGATCATTCCAGTCGAATTCGGATTATTTTTCCAATTTTTTCGATAATTCATAATTCATAATTCAGAGAAAGCGAAAGTTTTCAAATTCGCGCACGCGCATCTAAAATTCTTGCAAGGTATCGTTCCTAGATCCACTTCGAGCAAGGATTCGCGACATTTGTAAACTCTCTCTCTCTCTCTCTCTCTCTCTCTCTCTCTCTCTCTCTCTCTCTCTCTCGCGAGGAATTAAAATTGTTTTTTCCAGCGATGGAAAAAATCCGGACCGTTAGAGAAAAAAATCTCATTTTCACAAACGTCGGAAAAATAAAATGCGAAAAATCAGGATTCGCGTTTTTTTCCTCCTTTTTTTCGAAGGACTTTCGTTCGATCGGATTGATTGGCGAGTAAAATGGACGCAGCGAGGGATTTATCTGACAGCTGTCAGAAGCGTCTTCGTATTTTCCATTGCTTTGTAATCGAACAGCGAGATCGATCACAGATACTTGCTTCCGCGTGATTCGAAACTCGCAAAAAGTTTCCTGACATTCGCACTCTCGACTCTTTAAGATATCTCGCAACGAGCTAATTTTGACAGATTCTTTGATAGATTTGAAATAGAATTTTTTGTTCCTTCCAAGAATATATTTTCGAGTCAAAGAAAGAGAGTATTTCGCGTAAGATCTCCAAGCTTGTGAATCAAATAGATGAGAAAACCATATCTATTAATTAATTCCAAGTAAACTTTATACTTTAATAGAATTTTAATTTGAAGCTCACTCATGAAGATGTATGATGTTGAAAATTAAAAAGTTACGATAAATGATAAAATAAATTCTCCTTGACATTTCCGCTGAGGAAAATCGATCTCAAATTGTTCGGAAAATTCATCGTTAATAAAATTCTCATGAATTGGCATTTTGTACATCAAGTTCTTCAGGTACTCAAAGCAGCTAATGATCTGGACGAATTATTTTCTTGAAATTTTCATAAAATTCTCGACATAACAAGAATCACTCGTTGACAAGGAGAGCAACGTTGTCGATATTAAAAATAATTGGGAATTATTCAAGGATGGCTCATTAAAGATGAAAAATACGATTAACGTGGTTTTTTTACAGAGAACACTATTTTCTGAAATTTTTCACGCGACTGCACCGCGAAAGAAAGATAAGAAAAAAAGAAAAGAAGAAAAAAGAGTCTCATAGAAAAATAACTGCATGTTCATATCACGCAATTCGTTCTCTCCGTATCTCTCGTCTCGGGACATTTACGCTTGATTTGAAAGATCCATCTCGAAATAAAAATACTTGCCGGGCGAGAATAAAAGGACGGAAAGGAAGCTGTCACGTATGCAATATGCGTCAAAGTGCAAGTATCGAGAAGCTGCTCGACAAATCGATTCTATACACTTGTTACTCGATGAATTCCGGAAGGATATTGTTACGAGATGACGTAACCGGAAGGAGGGAGCGAGAGTTCTATGAAAATGTTGATACTATTTTTCTATCAGCAACTCGCAGATGGAATAAAGTTCGAAGAAATTGCATCGCTGTACGTTGCGTAACCGCATCTCCTCCCTGAATTGCAAATGAGACGAAGATGAAGGGGAGAAATGTAAGAGAAACCAAGAGAGAAGAAGCTTCGTTTAACTCGTCGGATTTATCGAGAGAAAAAAAACAACGATCTATCGTGATGCAAGGTGCTTCATGAAAAGTAATAACTCGCTCGGCGAGTAATTTAGATTCGCGTTACACTAAGGAAAAACAACTGTACGTTTCTCGTTTCGATATTATACAATCGATTACATCTGTCCCGTTATCGTCAGCAGATTCTCTTCTTGCTATAGAATAGATTGAAAAATATTGGAGAAAAATGTAATTCGCCGAGTGAAGACTTAGCGACTCAAGAATCGAGAAACATACAGGCCTTTTAGCTCGAATTGCGTTTTGCGTTCCGTTTTATTCGCGCGATCAAAGTTCCACTACCGTAAACTGCAACTGCATCGAGTCATAAATACGAATCAACATCTTCAAGAAGAGCAAAGAAGAACGAAGGCGAGCGCGGAAGCGGCGATGAGGTCAATAAATCGTGACTCGATAATCTACTAATCCGGATTTTTGAAGCCCTTTCGCTTTAACGCCTCTCTTCAGCTTCTTAATTTTAACACCGAACAATAATTCTCGGAAAAAAGGGTTCTTCGAGAAAAATATAACCATGATAAAAAGAGTGAAATTTTGCAAGCGTTAGAGAAGAAAATATTAAGAAATATCTAAAAAGCTTGTAATAATTATATATATATATATATATATATATATATATATATATATATACATTAGAGAAAAAAAGAAAATTCTCAACAAACGTTTTAACCGAACAATTAATTATTTACATTAAAAAAATGTTTTTAAATATTTTTTTACGCACGCTATCACTTCTTCTTTTTGTAAATTTTCGTAAAATATATAAATGTATTATTTTTTGTACGATTTTTATACCGGAAACTTTAGAGAATGTGTTCAAACTATCGAGAAATTACACGCTGCATGAATACTTTTATCTGCTTAAAAAAAAGAGACAAAAAAAGAAAGACGCTTTTTGAAAAAAGCGTCTTTCTTTTTTTCTTTTGAAAAATATCTTATATGAAATCATGCAGCTCACATTTTTATAATATTTTAAAATCCACGATCTGTGATCTGTAAATCTTAGATAAGAGATTTTCTCGAGAAAAACATCGTACAACGGAAATAAGTTTTTACAAAGCAAGGTATAAAATATCACAAGTGTAAAAATCAAAGATTTAAACTCTTAAAATAAAAAAAAAATATGTAATATAAAAAATTGAGAAAATATATGATATTACAAATATAACATTGAAAGATCAAGACAGAGATATTAAGAAACATCGAGAAAGCAACCAACGTATAATATAAATGGAAAAAGTGAGATTAATGAAATATTTATTTTTTTATATTCTGTATAAAAGATGGGCAAAGAGAAGAAGAGAAATCACAAAATTACCCTCACGAAATCACGAGGAATTTGCACTCCTATAACGCTTACAATTTACCATTGGGATTTCGTTCGCTCTCTCGTACAAACTCTGGGGACTCGTTTATTGGAAAGAGAATCCGAAACACATGTCCTTTCTATACGTCGACTTTTTGTTAGTCAAGAAGTATATCTCCGCGATAAAATTTCCGAAAGAGAGCTAACATTAAATAAACGAGGAAAAAGAATCGCATTTACTCTCGCGAGAATAAGCGATATATGTTAAAAATAAAAAGAAATAAAGTCATATAAATTGAATTAATTTTCACGCATTGATATATATTAGGGCATCTCGACTGCTTGAACGTAAAAATACTATTAAAAACATATATTTTTTAACAAAAGCAAACATTATTTGCCTATCTGTTCCAATGAAAATTTTACAAAATATCCCATTTTTCGATTTAATGTAATTTCTATAGTCTTTTGATCTTTGTTTACATATAAAAGGAACAGATTAATAAAGCAATACTTGAAATTAAACTACAATTTTCTTATTGCATCAAAAAGAATCTAAATACTTGTAGAAAAAAGGACGTGTAACATTAAATTATGTAACATTAAAATAATATATTTTTTCAAGAGTATATCTTTTGCGTAAAATGAAATAAAAATACACATATATTACGTATAAATCGAACTAAATATAATATCCAATTCTCTTAATGCATCCTCTCTTGTTACATTTTTCTCAACAGTGTCGTTCAATTTTTTTCACTCAAAATCAATCGCACAGAGTCAATAATTATAAATAGTACTTTCAAGATTTTCTTTTACATGTCGAAACGTTCCTAAATTTCTCTTTCGAAAGCTCGATTCGCGAGAAGCGGAATCGCAAATATCGCATAAATAAATAAATTAATTAATTCTTCAATTTCTAATATCAATCTGATCGATCGATCTTACGCGAATATTTGCTATGCAAAACGCAATCACGACTACATTATTTTGTTCGCGTCACGATGAGGAAACTGAAATAAATAAATATGTCAATCGATCCGAGCAGACGTGCAGATTGCATCCATTGACAATAAAAACAACAGTTCGACCCGACGACGCGCATGTTGCGTTTCCATTTATGTCCCACTGACGAAAAAACGCGAGCTCTCATTCGTAATGCGTTGCGAGTGTTTCTCGTTTTTTATTATCGGAACATTAATCGAGAGTAATCGTATTTAGAAAGAGCGCGCTCTTCGAAATCGACGGTAAAATCGACGATGAATTGCGACTTGCGACAAAATCGGTCCCGATGGTATCCGAATCATTATTTATTGCAATTTATGCTACAATTATAATTTTTGACAATATCAATGAAAAGGCAATGCAACACGGTAAACTTTTATTATTTGTACAATCGCTTTTCCTCTTTCCCGAAATTTTTCGATATCACGATGCCATGAAAATAAAACATGAAAAATTATGTAAATTAGAATTATGATTTTGTGGAATATGTACAATATGTAATCAAATTTAATTAAATTAAATATTTGCGTATTTATTTAGGAATTTATTGCAACATGCATTTTGTGGCAATATTAGAAATTTTTATATTTCTTTGTAAATATTTATACATCTAATAAATATATCTAATAAAATGATAATTTAATTTATTACAAATTTTACAATACTTTCTTTGTATTAGATGTACATTTTATTTAACATACCGGAACGAAACATGCAAACTATTACTGTTATTACAAATTTCTCAAATTCTCGTCATTCTCCAGCCGTAACTTGTTCCCGATTATCGTTTATCCAAAAATAAACGTTAGTCTTCGCCCTTTTCCCTTCTTCCCAAACAAGAAGAAGAAAGTAGTCAACGATGTCGTCTAATTGTTTCAGTTGATAGACGACGACGGCAGCATCGAGACAGCCCTGATAAATTACCTGTTCACCAAGCAGATCGTGAAGCGCCTTCGCAGTCAGCTGGACATTGGCGATTTACAGCGTAAACGCAGCTACTGGAAGCAGTGCGCCTTCAACGCCGTGTCCTGCTTCGGTAAATAAGCAGGGCGAAGGGAAAAGGACGAAGGGCGAGAGACGCGCGCAAGGGAAGCTCGTACATATATATTATGTATATTTACCATCGGAAAGTTTAGAAACGCGATAGACACGCGAAGGAGACTTCAGAGAATCTCTTAAATTTCCATAAACAAAAAAATGTAATTAACGAGTTATTTTAAAATATCAAACGGAGATGTGTAATTTACAAGTGGCTACGTATGGTCATTTACTCCGATTATCAAAAGGACATTATAATTTAGCATTATTAAAATACGCGAAACTTTAAATACGTATTTTCTTTGATGCATTTAACGAAGCAATTTGATGTAAAACGATAGATGATAACATATTATTTGATGATTCATTCAAGGAAAAATTTTACGGCGAGGAAATAATTTCCAGATTACAAGGCGTCAACTTTCTTTTCGTGAAGGATTTATTAATTAATTTCAAGTATGATAATAACTAAAATGTGCGCGCACAAACAATTCTCTTTCACCTCTTCACACGTCTTTCTTCGTTCTAATTCGAAGCAACAGACTGCATTATTATTAATCCGTGAGGGAATAAACCGCACGAGCGGAAAACGGGAATTATCGTCGGGGGCGCAAGTCAAAGTCGGTTGCCCCCGAAACGAGCGATTATTCGATATCTCCTCGCGTGTTTGTCCCGGCGTGTTCCTCAACTTTCCGACTCGACAGTGTGTACGAGGAAAAGACAAAGAAAAGAGAAGGATTCTTCCTCATTTCCTCAAGTTATCCGACTTAGAGCTTTCAAGAACAAACTAGCTGCGAAAGTCACTCCCGTCGGCTGTTTTCGAAACCCTTTGCATCGACTCCCTCCCTTCAAGAGAAAGGATAAAAGCTAAATATAAAGGATAATAAATAGGAAAGAGAAAAAATGAGAGAGAGAAAGAAAAAGAAAGAGAGAGAGAGAGAGAGAGAGAGAGAGAGAGAGAGGATCAAAATTAAAATCGTGGAAAAAGGGGTAAAAAGGTGATGTAAAATTAATTGTGACATCGATTAATTTTACATCATCGATCGCGTAGAAAATAATTTAGTTTCTGTAAATGATAATGATACGACAGAGAGCGGACGCGCGAATGCAAAGGGTAACGATATAATCGAATACATATCAGAGGATACCGCAGAGGACACGTGCCAAGTTTAATTCTTCTTTCGTGCTGTTGTAAACTGTCTCCTATCTCTGTATCATGAAAACCTACCAACCTCTAGCGCGCTATTCGACACGTATATATGTTTAATTGACGCGTAATTTCATTTGCCTGCGTCGTCGATGTGTCCCGCCCTGTATATGTCACAGCGTTCTGTGAATGATTAAACTTGTTGTGTAATTGCCCCTCAATTATATAAAATATTTCTCCTATCTCCAGCCTCCCTTTACTCGTCTCCCTCGATATTCGCCTATTGCGAGCGTCGGAAATATGCGTATCGATACCAATACATGAATTATCCTTTCTTTTAATAATATGTTTAATCGTCGAAATATCACTTGGGAAATTAGAGTCTCATAATTCGTTTAATCGGAGAAAATACAGACCTTCTCTCCTATTTAATGGTTTATATAATTTCTTCATCGTAACCCATTAAAGTATAAATTTTTCCTTCTCTGTCAGAGATAATTTTATTTATATCGTGCACACACGAGAATGTGAGTTTTACTCATTTTTCACAGATACGCATATGTTTCTGTACAGGATATATAAAATAAAAAATAATTTACTCACCGACATCGAGGCGTAGTAGTCGAATAGGCGAGTTGTAGTAGTCACTTATGCCGCAATTGTTTGACCACAATGTTGATCTGTAATATATAAATACATCCTAATTAGAGCAAAATAAATATTTAATTAATATTACATTATTAATTATTAAAACTAATCATTGCGCAAGAATCGAATTTTTCATCTGTTTATTAAATATATATTTGATGAAATAAATAATAATAATAATAAATATAAATAGTTATATCGAAATAATTAATTTTATTTAGCTAAAAAGCTATAAATTTATTAAAATAATCACATAAATTTAATTTTTATAAAAAGATTTAAACAACCAGAAATATTAAATATAAATGCAACGTGTTGAAAAATATTTTAATATTTTATCTATGGTTTCAATAAAATTATATATAAAATATAAAATATAAAAATATTTTGTTAAAAAAGTTTTAATTATTTCAAAATAAATCTTTAGAATATTTTCCACGCATTTGCATAAAGCAATTAATTTTACGAATAACAAGTAAGGAAAATAATTTCTAAATTATGCTCACCCTCTATATATAAAGCTGCCCGTTGCATTTTTGGACTTGTTGGTCTTTCTCTTTTGTTCAACCTTGCTACTTTTTCACACACTACACTACACTCGTATGACACTATACAGACTCGCGAAAACACGGTTAATTATGAATACGGTCGCAGGCACATTAATCGTATGTGACGCACGATTTATTATATTACGACGAGTTTATCAAATCATAATTTTATTATGTTGCGTTACGAATTAAATAAATTAAAGACAAGTATCTGCGGATTCGAAGATATAATTAGATTTGCCGACTGTTTCTAGAGTTTAAGTGAATCTCGCGAAATACGCACGTTTCAAATTTAAGTAACTTGGAAAAATAAAATTATTTAATATAATTATTAAATATATTTAATCTCTTTTTGATTTGTTAAACAATGTCGTTTTTTAGAGTAATTAGATAAATCAACTTTTAACTTTTAAATCAAAATGATGTGCGTTTTTATTTTAAAAGAAATTAAGATTTACAAATATATAAATATAATTTTTAAATGCAATTTAAGTATTTTAAAATTTAATTAAAATTCTTTAAAAAAAATAAATATAAATAAATATTTAAAATTTTTCAATTGCACATTTGACTGTTCTATATATTCAATAATTAATACATGAATTAAATACAAAGAAAGATAATGATGAAATTTTAAATTCATTTAGATTAAAAAAGAAATTAAATTATTGCAATAAATATCGACTTATAATGCGAGATTAAATATTAAAAATGCTTCTTTTATAAATATTAACAATGCAGAATTAATATATAAATCGATGTATTTACAAAATATTTTGCCAATTAATTGAAAGAATTTGACATCAGTATCTCTATCCCTATTGCGAAATGAGATGAGAATGAGATAAGAGTCGAAAATAGTTACGATACGATAATTGATTAGACACACGCATTTTTAGTTGCTAATTGAAATAATGATGAATTAGATGAGAATAAAACGCGAAACAAATTAACGCGTAGATGAATAACTGCTCCTACTAGTACTTGTCGCGAAGGATGATGCCTAACAAATAGTTCGTGCTTTGCTACGCATAACTCGAGTCTCGCCGCGTGAAGGATAAGACGAGTGAAAACGTAAACACAGCGCGCAAAAAACATCGCGCTTGTGTTATTCATCGTATCTGACACATATCAATGAAATATAAATAATATGTCATGTTATCCGTCTCTTTAATTTTATCATTTTACAATGTATCGACATCGATATCAATATATAAGAATAACTTTATTGAGAGGGAATAATCGATACATCAACATTTCAATATTCGAACTATAATATATTAAGAAAATCTTCAGACTTCTCTCGATTTCTCGTACTTTTTAGAAGAATGTTTTTTTGAAAAAAAAAACATTGCAAAAAAAACATTCTCATACATGAGGAATCTATTTTCCATAATATCGCGAACATAAAGTCCGGCCTTCTGGAATGTGTACAAAAATGTGGAAAAGCTTAAAATCTGTTTCGAAAAAACGATTGTTTTTTCTTTCGCCTCTTTTTACTTTACAATTTTACAAGAAATAATTTATATAATATAGTACCTGCTACGTTTGTCAATGTGCGCAAGAACAATCGCAGTAATCCCCGATCAGCTGTACTGCGTGATAGATTTCGTCCTGCTTCGCGGATCGCGTTGCAGACTCCTCCAACCAGGACACGTTCACGTGCTTGGTGGTCCTTGGAAAATTAGTGAAATCCTGAAAGAAGATTTAATGCAACGATGTTTCATATAAAAATATAATTCGCGAAAAGTTTATTCGTCTTCTTATTTTCAAAGTGTCGTGTTAAAAAATAATAACAAAAAATTATACTCTATTGTCTATAAAAAGTGAGTGTAAAAGAGTGGTATAAAATATCTAATATTTAATAAATAATTAGTCTAAACGTTCTTTTATCCTTATCATTAGGCACAAGTTTTATTTTTAATTAACCGTATATGAGACAGTTTTGCGAAATTATGACACTTTATTATAAGAAGCACCGTGTTGTACATGCGAGCTCTGTAATATTTTACAGTTTATTAACGTATATACTTTTACGTAAAAAAAATATTTATGCATAAATAAAAATATATGCATATATTTTTATATAAAGAAATGGATACACGCTAATGGAGTGTAAAATATCGCAACAATGTTTCTTGTAATAAAATGTCATAATTTACTCATTCGGAAGATTTATTCGTTCTTTCTTCTTGTTTGCATTAACATAAGGACCACGAAAGCATTTATATTTTCAAGATTATATAATTGGCTCTTACGTTAATAAAAACAAGAAGAAGAGAAATCGATCTTCTGTTATAAATCCGACATTAATTGATGATGTAAGTATCAAGATACACCTACATATTAGAACTCGATAGAGAAGGAATTCGTCAGGATTGACATAAAATCGCGGGGGTGTCTTCCTGATGACGCGAGCCACCCTTCCCCCCTTTATACTACGCGTTTGCGATATGCAAATATATTTTCCATAACCGTTACGGTAACGTGGAAAATTAACGGGCACGAGCGGGAGAAGGCCGGTAATTGGTGCTGACGATTAATCGGCCTGTGGCAGCCTGCTTCCAGGATAACGGAAAATGCTAAACGTCGCCATGGCAGAGACAGTAATGGCCGCGGTATTAACCACGGTTAATCCGGTTATAGTTTCCCTCCTTTCCCTTCGTATGCGTATCTTTCCCACGCGATTTTTCACCGATACTCGGATACACGTGCAGGAAATAATCATCAGCGGAAAACAGAACGCCTAAGATAGAAAAGTTTCAGATAGAAAAGTTCGATTCTCAATAAAAGAAATTACATTAGAATGTTTTCTTTCAAAAATTAGAATATATCGATAAAAAATTACCATAATTCGCCAGATCTTTCTCTACATCTTTCTTATATTAATGTTTGAAACTTGTTAACGCAAGATTTTAATTATATAAATTTAATCCAAATTTGAATTTATATTCGACAGAATTTGCTATTGAAATAAATTATTATAATATTATATTAATAAATATATAAACAAATAATATAATATAAAATAAAATATTTTAAATTATATTAACCATTAAATATTAATTATAAATAAAATAATTTATTGTATAATATTATATTTTTAACATTCTTGTTTATATATTTTAATATATTTATCTTTTTTATCTCAATTTATTTTACACAATTTTTTCCTCACATATATCATTTATAACTATTACATTTTTCATTATTTAATTTATGAAATTAATTCCATGTAATAAAATCGCATCTAGAAACTTTTTATCTCTGATATATACGAAATGTACGCTTACTCTTTGAAATACGTTTTTTTTTTAGGATCTTTTTTCACTCGAAATTAAATTTCTTAGTCAGTTCCAGACTGCTCTTTCATCCACACTATGTATTATCATGAATTACAATCTCGGAAACACGTATGTGCATTGTGCCGTATATAACTAGTTCAAACTTACCACGAGAACGGCCGTGGACGGAATTTCCGTGCGCGTGTGGATGACGTGGGTTGCCGTCGAGACTGGTCTATTTTCCAACGTTACTATCGTAGCGCCAAGTCTAATGTATTTCAAGCTTTGTCAAGGAAGATCATAGTACGGACATAGTTAATAGATATGCTCGGCTTTAAATTCGCTCTTATCCCGGGAGAACAAATCGGAAACGTGCGTTCCCTTCGGAGAAGCACGACGAAGAGAAAAATGGACTTTGGCCACCCCGCTTATAGGAAACAGCGAACGACCGGATGTTCCCCCGAGGAATTTCCTTCCGCGAATCAGCGCGGTGTCTGGTCACTTTGTAACTCACCGGAGAAACGAGATCTGATTTATTTATTATATTATATATCGTATCTATTACATATTGTATATGCTATTGTACATGTATTTCGACGATTGATTGCAGCTTCCGTACATAATTCGTTATATATTACATATATTTCAATTTTATCACAATTATATGTATATATATAATTACATTCCGGTTATGAATATTTATCGATCTTACTTTTATTTATGCTTTCTGCTTGCGAAAATCTGATAACTCGCACTTCGAACTTGGAACAATTTTCAATCATACCGGCCATTTCATTTGCTTCGTTTGCTAAACTTTGATTAAAATAGAAGACAACGGCTACTTCTCTTTTCCAAGTAAGAACACATGCGTGATTTTATTATCAAAATGCTTACGTATTAATACATAAAAATATATTATTATATCTCTTTGTATTAATATATGCATAATAAAACGCAAAATATATGTAAATATATATAATATGTCAATTAAAAAGAGTTTTATTATAATTATTATACTGCATAATCGAAATATACGAAATATATAATAACATATATAATATAATTGAAATAATGTAATATATATAATTAAAAAGATATTATACAAGATTAATACATGTTTTAAAATCCACAAATTTGCTTTTTCTTCACTAATTAATTTTTAATGCAATATAACATTTCTTGAATGAGGAAAAAAACGGAGATCCCTTATGCAAAAATCCAAAGATAGAGAATTCACGTTACAAGTCTCGATAATCTCCGAACATCTCCGTTAATGCATAGCTGATGTTACGCTACTTCGGAAATCGATTGGAGGATCGAGAGAGAAAGAGAAAGAAAGAGAAAGAGAGAGAGTGAGAAAGAACGGGGGCAGTAAAAATTTATGAAATTATCGGAAGCGAGTGCAATTTTCGTGAAATTATCGAGCTTTTATAAAATCGGGAACGTAAAGATAATATAATCATGTTGGTACAGCGCGAATTATCATCGCATAAAATAATGTTGAAAAAAGGATACTTTTTGAGCATCCTGCATGCGTCCTTCCTCCTACCCTTATCAAAGCCTGGCGCAAAAGTCGCTCGCACGTCTTGCAGGATAGTGTTCGATTCCTGAATAAACAAATTTTATAATAAATAGAGAGAATGAAAAAGAAAGAAAACGAAAAATTTTTATTATTTTATTATGTATTTTAAAATTAATTATTTAAAAATTAAGAAAATATGTAAACTGATAAAAAGTAAATTAAGAAAATATGTAACTGATAAAATAATACAAAATAATAATAATAATAATAATAATAATAATGAAAAGAGGCAATTAATAGTAAAATAATATAAAATTTAATATATGGAGAAAATAGGAAACAATATAAATCAGAAAATTTAAAATAAAAAATAATAAACATTAAATGCATATAGCTAAACGGCATAGCAGTGCGAGAGTTATGTTAGATGGAGAATTCCGAATAGAAGCAACTGTGGAAGATTATTACTGATAGGTAATACGTTCGTAGTTAAGCTTAAGAGAGATCAGCGAAACAGAGAAACATTTATCATTGTCTCAAGTCAAGAATTCTCCAAAGACATAAAAGAATACACTTTACGAAATCTGTGATGTTTTGATATATCATCTTTGGAGAAAATAGGAATGCAAATAATCTCTACAAATCTCATAAAAAATGATTGACAAAAATTCTGACAATCGTAAGTACCGAACTAAATAAATTTCTTCGCGTGACAAATCTTCCTTACAGAACTATCAGTAACAACAGAGGATATTTATGATCAAACAATAAAACTCGCTATAAAATAAATAAGTATACGAGTAAAGCTAATAAAAGAAGAAAGGAAACGCGTGTAACATTTGCAAATTCTTATCGTTGAAAGCTAAATTTTTATTATCCTATAAAAGAGAAATAAAAATAATATCAACTTACGGTATCCTCGTCGTCTGGATCAAGGGCGCTCGAGGACTCGGAAGATCCTTCTGCGTCCATTCTTTCGGTAAGATAATAATCAACGTCACGATTCTGTTGCGTTTCCTCTGCCACGTCTCTTTTGACTTTCGCTTCGATCTTCGATACTTTCAATTTCTTTTTCCGCGGCTGAACATCTGCAATATTGTCGGATCCTTCGTCGCGTTTATCCCTTTTCCGTTTCTCGAAAGATTCTTCCGACATTTCCTTGAAACTCGTTGACGGCTCGTCCAGTGAGCTCGTTACCTTCCTCGCCTTCTTCTCAACTTTTCTCGGTGACGTAGCCGAGTCGGGAGATCTTTTTCTCGGAGATTTCTTCTCAGTATCCTTGACATCGGCCAATGTTCCGAGTAGATGACTAAAGTCGACGGAATCCGGCTTCTTCTTGAAGAGTCCGCGCAACTCGTTCAAACTAGTGGCCGTGGACCAATCCTTGTCGTGACGAATTCGCGTGACACGCGGAAACCGGATGCTAATACCGTCCGCGGTATGTACCCCCTGATTCGTAAACTCGGCCCCCGTAATTTCCCACACTGGCTGTTTCTGTTCCTCGATATTCGAAATGACGATTAATGACGAGATAATAATAGAGTATTTCGACTTTGTTATCTTCTATATCACGTAATAATGAAAATTGATGATATATAGATTGTCAAGTCGGAATGTATCTCTATATATTTATATTTATAAAAATATTTCCATCGTATATTTTTTTTCTAATAAATTTTTTGAGCCATTTGGTACGCCTTTCATTATTAATCAAAATTATCATAAAAAGTATCGTATTATTAGCAGCGCGTGCAGAAAATTTAATCTCAGAATATTAAATTCATATCTAAACAATTTCATTTATTTTTCGGCTTGAAAAATTTATTTAGAGAGAAAAATTTTTCTTTCTTAAATTTTTTAAATTAAAAAGTGAATAAAATTATTTGAATTATTGAATAATCTAAGTTTATTTAATATAAGCATAATTCTCTTGTAATAATCTAAAAATTAGTCGGAAAGTAAATGAAACAATTAGAAAAATTTATTACGGAGAAAAATTTGCGGTAGATATATTTCTAGAAATATAAATATGGAGATATGTTCTAAAATTTAGCGAGAGATTTGTAGCATCGATTTTCATTATTAAAACACATGATATAAAAGATAACAAAGTCAAAATATGTCATTATCTCACAGTCTTGTACATATATATTTATATATATTTATGTATATTTATATATCGCTTGATTAGTTTACTAAATTCTCTCTAAATATCGCTTTAAATATTTCTACAAATTCATTCACTTTCTCAAAGAATTTTTTTCTGTTAAATAAATGAAATTATTTCTGGATCTGAATCGTTGAATTGAATTATTTTTGTAAATTACAATCGATATATATCGCTAGATCTGCCTTATACTAATAAAACTCTTGTGGCAAAAGTGAAAAACATTAATAGATTAAGCTGCATAGATTACCTTGGGATCTCTCGCCACAAAATCCGGTACCATGGGTTTTTTGGCAAGCAACCAACTCGGCAGTTTGTCAACATCCTTGCCGATCTTCACCATGTCGAGCTCATCTTGAAGCGCCGTTAGGGTAGTATCGTCATGTCCCGTGTGGACCTGTCATTCAGACAATAAAAATATTAATTCTTGGCTCGAATTGAATTAATTTGATTAATCATTTTATTTACTTTGGTCACAGTCAACCATTTATCACGCTCCTCGTCGTAGCAGCCCATTAAAAAGATTGACAACATGCCACCTGTGAAAGTAAATTTAAAAGAAATATTTCTTGTGAAAAAAAGAAATAAATCCAAAATATATATTTCGAATGTGAGTACAAAAAATTCATTGTTTTTTTTTTACTTTGTTCCGTTTCAAAATTTCGAATTTTGTTTGACTTTTCTAAAAGATGTATCAGAATCAACCCTAATCATGATTATATATATATATTTGAACAGAATAAAAAACTTATTTATTTAATTATTTTTATTTATCATTACTTTTTTAATAAAAAAATTACTCTCAAAGACTGTGTGCAATATATCTTGTTTTTATATCATTTTAATTTACAAATCTTTTGTAACCAAACTGTGATAACGTATCGCGTATCGTACAAACCTTTATTGCCTGTGCCGTACCATGCGCCAAGCACGACGAGGTCTGCGCTATCAGCCATTGCACCCCCGCATAAATAGTCCTTCTTTACCTTCAACCAATGTCTCTTGCCTGGCTCGTATTTGCTCTGAAAATACGAGTTTTTAAACCCCTCGATTGATCGAAAAAATGTTTACGCGAGAACGAAATATGTTATCGTGAGATTTTTACGAATCAATATGATAAAAGTAATTAAGTAATGCAAATAATTAAATACAATATAATATATTAATTATAATATATTAATAAAAGTAATAAATAATAAGTAATAAAATGTAATAAAAAATTTCTGAAAATTATCGTTTATATGAACATAATAATATACATAAAAATTATAATATATCTAATAAAAAGAAAATTAATAAAAATATATATATATATATATATATATATATATATCGTTATATATAATCTACTTTTTTATTCAAAATCTTCATGACACGTTTCCGAAGATAGATACTTACATCGATGTCCTTTAGAACTAAACCCTCGAGACCTAATTTCAACACGTGCACAATTCTTTCCGCCAAAACCCGCGGATTCTGAAACAAGATGCGAATTATAATTTGCAATATGGTACTGCTGTAAATAAATGACAACTAAAGAAAGTGTATTTACATGGACTTCGTGAACCTCTGATAGCATTATTCTATTCGGTATCTCGGTCATCCTATCCATCAGGATCCTTCTGCGCTCCAACATAGACCTAACACCACAGAACGAGAAAGGAAAAATTCTATCATTGTAATATAGTTGCATATAGTTGCAGTTTAACATAGTTTTAAGTACAATGTAGTTACTTTAAAATATTACATCAAAAAATATTATACTAAGTATTATTATTACAAAATCTTGTAAACAATATTATATACAAAACTATTGATCATAAAATTTAAAGTAATAATAAATAAATCAACATAAAATACATAGATTAAGATTATTAAAAAAGAAAGAAACAGAATTATCGTATAAATTACTTCATAGAAAGTCGATATATATATTTACTTGTTTATAAGTATCTCTCCATTGTAGTATAGACAATCGAAAACAAAGAGGCACACATTGGCGTTTTTAAATTCGGCTTTCTGAAATTATATTCGATTATGCGATATAAATTTTATTTTGATATTAATATAAAACATGTAATATTGACTCTTACACAATATTGATGTGACAGGATTCGAAATAATAGCAAATTAAACATAAAAATATTAAGAGAAAATATTATATTGAAAATGTTCATATCATGAAAATAAAAAATTAGTCACACGTGAGAGAGATAAAGCTTTTACTTTGTGTATTCCTAAGGTGCCGAAAGGCAAGGGTTGCCCTGTCTCGTTGTCGACCATGAGAACCTCGGAATCGAGAATTAAATCGTCCCCATCGGGAAATGCCCGCGCTATATAATCCTTGAACAGATTCACCTGAAAGAAATCAATTATCATTCCAAGAGGATTATTCAATTTCGGATGGCGCGATCTTTTGACGTAGTTTGAATTTTAATTCTATCGAGTGATTTTTCGTGAGAAATTTTTAACTATCTTTGTGTAAATATATGATTTTTTGCATTATATATCTCATTCTTTCAAAAAATCTTCTCACGTTTCTCGGAACGAGGACTTTTGTAATCTTGTCTCTCGAACAAGTATACAAGAAGTTCAAAGATGAAAAGGAAAGGTGAAAAATACATTTTAAGCTTTGTGCGTTGAATATTAAATCTTACGTGAGATAATCAATCGATAATCAATGTTCTCGCGTTAACACGCGACTGCGTCTCGAAGCATGAAATTGTTTTTATACGATAAAATCGATTTTAAAAACGATACATTATACAAAATATATCGATTATGTCTTTTTTGCAAATTATCGTCTCTACCTTGTGCGGCAAGACCGGTTTGAGGGATCTACTGAAGTATCGAAAGTCGTTTCCGCTTTTGTGCACCTGTACGCGCTCGCCGTCGTATTTGACCTCGGATAACATTCCGTTCGGGCACTTTCGCATCGCCATTTCCACGGATGTGCATGCCTCTGCCTTTATTAATTAATTAATCAATCATTCATTAATCAATCAATTATTTTATTCAAATTAGGCTGAAATTAGTCAATTATAATGCAACAAATTAATTAAATTAATAACAATTATTTAACTTTTAAATGAAAAATGTAACAATTATTACATTGCTATTTCTACGGATACCTTTATTAATTCATTAATCAATCAATTATCTTACTCACGATTGAAATTAGTCAATTATAGTATAACAATTTTAATTAAATTAATAATAATTATTTAATTTTTGAACTGGAAAATGTAGCAATCTACAATCGTGTTAATTATATTATATATATTATCATTATTTTCCTTTTTACGTTAGTTCTTAAATATATTAATATAATAATATAATAAACATTTTAAATTAATATAATTACTATAATATAATATATTAATTAAATATTTTAATTATTGATGGGCAACTCTTATAAGCACGCTACAGCAATTATTTAGCGTCTATACATGATTACTTTTAGTTATGTATTATAGTCACAAATAATTTATTAATATAAGGGAATCCTTGTTAGATAACCGAAGAGATAAAACTCGATTTTATTATATATACCAGCATCGGTAAAACCGGCGTCATCAGTGAAATGACTACTTTATTCCGACTGGATGGCGAGCCCAACGTGTCCGAAGGTTTTTCCTCCGAGTCGGGCAGAAAACGACGTATCACCGCTTCCAAATCTCGGGACATCTGGAAAGCCCTATACGCGTCCACGTGGACTCCCTCGAGACTGAACAACGTATATGTATTATTAACATCGTCAAATCGATTATAGGATACGAAAGCGCACTTATACACACTCACATGTGCTTCGGACCGGCGTTGATCCTCAGATCGTGCTTGATCAGACGTACGATCATTTTGAGGTCGTTGGAGGTACATCTAAAATTTTTATCGGAACGATTCGTAAGAAAACAGATTCGAGTGAAAACGAAGAAAAGGGAGAAAAAATAAACGATCAATATTGTATATCATTCTCGCGAGTGAAAGAGATACAATATCGGCGAGAAGTCAATAAAATTTTGGAGGAAAAAAATAGAGCTCAAGAGAGCTAATATATAACAAAGATTTATAAATTAAGTGAGGATAAATAAGATAAATTGTGAACGCGCGCGCGATTAATGCTTCTCCTCTGTTTGCAATTGCGAAATAATTATCGTTATTTTGGATATAAAAATAATCGGAGTATCGTAGCTGTGCAAACCGCAAACATTATAATCGTACATTGCATTTACATATATATTTCTTGAAATTTCTTTTTCAGCTCGAAAGGTTAACAAAAAGCATCGGCAAACTTACCTATCGAGGATGGATCGAAAATGCTGGATCTGTTCCTCCTCCTTGGTTAAATGTGACAAACTTTCCAAAAAAAGATCAACCTATCCGAATATAACGACACTCGCATTAATAAAAACATGAGACCTCGACAAACTGTTTACGTATTTCTGTATTTTTATTCAATTAATCGCGATTAAATTGAATAATTTAATTCTAAATTAGTTATCCAGTTAATTTTATAGAATTTGTAGATTAATTATCTCGAACTAATTTTAATTTAATTATCATAAAATTTCTTTATTTCTAATTAAAAATTTAATTAATTCAATTAATTAATTCAATTAATTAATTCAATTAATTTTAATTTAATTCTCAATTTGATTTTCATCACTATCCCTACAAATTTGTTTCATTTGTATTAAGTTTTCATAACAATTAAATTAACTATTTCTAATTATTTTTAATTTAATTACTAATTTGACACTTTTTCGTATGAATTTTCGTAATTTTTTCTTGATTCTAATAAAATATGTTCACAATTAGTTTTAATTTAACTCTCAATCAATTCAATTTGTTTCCCCACTAAATTTTTCTTATTATAGATTATTATAATTATTAGATTAGTTTTAATTAATGTTAATCTAATTCTAATTAATTTTAACTTAATTTCTCGATCTAATTTCCAAATTTTTCTTGATTTTAATTAAGTTGAACTTAATTTTCACTTGATCTTTTTTAGTTTTTCCCTCTTCTAAATTTTTTCAATTTTAATTGATTGTATAATTACTTTTTATTACAATTTTAATAATTTCTAGCTTAATTATTTAATGATTCTTGATTTTATACTATGAAATCGATTTTTCAATCAATCTAATCTGTTCCACAATGTGTCATATTCATCTTAATTTGTAAAATTAGACTTACATCTTGGATCGTCAATACGCTCGCGGTACAAGGCGACACAGAGACGCTGTTCTCGAAGAACATGCTGATTGTCTCAGCCACGTCACCTTGCTCCAGATGTTCCAACATCGCGTCCTCGTCCTGCAGCAATAATCGTGCGAACAACTTTATCAGCTGCTTACTCTGCAGATTGTAGATTCTCTTTACAGCGCCGGGCAGCAACAATTTGCACCAGAGCACGATGTCACCCTTAAAACCGTCTATATAGAAATCAAACAGAAGAAACATTTTTTTAGAGCTACATCTTTTCTCCTTCCAAATCTATTTTATTCAGTATCCTTTAACATTCAATTATTTTCGGTAATTTTATCTATAAATTAAAAAAAATAGTTTTTTTCCGATATAAATATAACATATAGTTAAATAAATTTTTTGTAAACTTAAAACAAATTTATTTAAGTACTTTAAGTAGTTTCTTAAAACATCTAATTTCCAAATTTTTCTTGATTTTAATTAAGTTGAACTTATTTTTCACTTGATCTTTTTTAGTTTATCTACAGATAGAAAACGAACGAACTGGGACACGTGTCAAAAACTTATTTATCGCTTAATTTGAGATCAGTGTTCCAGTGATTCAACATATACACAGAAATTTCTCACGCGTATGCTCATTTTTATCTCCATTCAGTCTCACACATAGATTCCGCATTTCGAAAAGACACATTAGATATAAAATAAAACCATTAATGAAAAAATGAAGAAAAAAAAAGAATCGTTGCTCTCCAATCTCTGTGCTAGCGAAAAAAAAGATTAAAATTGTGTAATCGAAAAAGTGATAAAATTTATGAATTCGGTTAGTTTCTTTCCCAACATCCGTTCCTTATCGCAATACTTGCCTAATAACTGTTTTTTCTTGCGTATGATAATTTTGCGAAATTGTTTTATCGAACGTTCGCTCTCTATAATTGTTTTTATAATTTTTATAATTTTTTTTTATTCCTTGCATTCTATGTAAAAAAATAAAATCATTATTACTATTAATAATACTATTAATATTCAGAATTATACTTGTATATAATATATAACATAATAAAATATAATATAAATATAATGAAGTAAATATGTAAAAAATAAATATAATATAGTAATAATATGATAATGTTCGTATTCGAAAATGTATTGGCTCCTTTTTTCTTTCTACTCCTCTTTTATTTTTACAATAATAGAAAATATTATAATTAAAAAAAATTAATTCTTTTTTCAGAACTTATATTTATACAATAATTCTTTATTAATTTACTAAATAAAATCTTATTTCTTTACTATTTTTATCTTCTTCTTCGAATGATGCTTTCTACACAGATTGATTCCGCGCGAGAAATTATCATCGAAACATTTTTGATGGAAAACATATAATTATAAAATTTTATTTTTCCGTTAAAACATAAATTTGAAAAATTTCATCGCGTACTAAAGAAGTATCTATCCGTCTCTCGATAAGGATAGGAATCAAGTTTAGTCGAAGTACATGAAGAACTGCGCGTTCGGAACCGCGCCGGTCCAATGGAATTCATCATCGGCGAAAATAGAGCAGAGCGCGAGATTAGATCACAAAGTTATGCGGCTTCTAAGCCACGCATGATTCAGTATCCATTATCGCGAACTATCGATGTTGATTTGATAGTTTCACGGGGGCCTTTGAATACGCGCGTAAAATTTTGCGCAGATATCCAAGATTCTCTCTCTCTCTCTCTCTCTCTCTCTCTCTCTCTCTCTCTCTCTCTCTCTCTCTCTCTCTCTCTCTCTTTCTCGAGCTTGCTATAAGCGAAACAAACAGATGATTGAGCACACAATTCGTAAATAATGGCCCCTAAAAATAGAGAGCCGCCGGAAATCGGAATTCCGAGACGTGGCGGCGATGTCGTGATCTCTTCTTCGTCGTCGCGTTTCATCCAGCTCTCTTGTCTTCTTTCTGCACGAAATATCGAAAAATCGCGAGAATCGAGTCGCCACAAAGCGAAAGTAGCGACGATTACGATCGCGTAGGCGCCGCGTTGATTAATTGGTCCACGACACTATCATTATATATCGCTTTATCGCAATCATCGGCTCCGAAACGCGCGAATTATCGCGTATCGTTCCACATGATATGGAAACCTATCTCTTTTCTCTCTCTCCTTCCCTCCTGCGTTCTAGTAAATGATTCTTTTGCAGGCGTGATTGCGTCAGGTCGCGTTCGCCTTCACGAATATGTCGAGCGGAAAATAAATCGCTCCGCGCCTCTTCTCTTCGTCGCCTCGACCGTCTTCGTCGTCGTAAAGTTAATCCCGCGAACTTCATCGTCGAGATACCCCTGCCTGCCATACTTGCCGATCGTCTTCAAAGCGAAAAAAACTATATCTTTTTTGTATTGTCTGCAGTATAACTTTTCGAAGAAATGCGAAAATAATGATTTTTGCGAATCTGCGAGTCCTTCCTTCAACCACAGATCCTTTCTCAAATTTATAGATTCTGGAGCAAAATTCAGAGACTCTAAAATGATGACAATCTTGATTAAAATATTGACAAAAAATCGCTAATAAAATACAAAATCTTGAAAATAAATATATTATTTGTTTTATTATTAAAGATTTTTTGATATTAAAAATTATTTAATAAATAAATAATTACTTATAATAAAATGCATTCTATTTGTGCCTTGAATACTTTTTGTATGTACACTTTGTGTATTTTTAATGATGATTATGTTTGAAATTAATAAAAAATCTGTGTACATCTCATACGTACACAATCATGTTGCATTTTATATTAAATACAACATTTTTAATATATCCAATTATTCTTCAATAAGGGAAAACTTAAATTTTATAGTATATACAAAACTTATTTTTAACCATATTTTTAATTTCCTGATACTATTATTTTTTAGTGAAAAAGATAAATTTGCATACAATATAAGATTGTGTGTGTAAAATATATTTTTACAAATATCGATAAATTTTTTTAAATAAAAATATATATTATTTTTATTCTCTTTAATGCTTCGCGATATGAAAAATTATTCCGATATGATAAAATATTTCCAAGTGATATGGAATGAATATCGAAATATCTTCGCATCGCTCACATAAATCGCGCAATAATTCTCCTCCCAATCGTGAAAATGTCGTAATATCGCATCGCGATATCGTAACATCGTAATATCTATCGCGGACGGGTATCGTAATTGCGCCGGAGCGCGAAAAACGCGATCATTCAGCTTTGCTGACGGACAACGACAAAGACGCCAGGGCGGAATCGTGATAAAGTGTCCGCGGAGAGAACTTTGCACGAAAGATCCCGGGAAGAAGAGGAGGAAGAAGAAGAGAGGCGGTGACGAGAAAGAAATCAAAGAGAGAGAGAGAGAAAGAGAGGGGGGCAAGATAGTCTGGAGCCAAGCTGGCTAACGCGAGAAGGGGCTCGTCGCAACGAACGTCCGCAAGAAAAGGTTCCTCTCGCACGATTAGAGAGGTGGGGACATCCGAGAGTTTATAAGAACACGAAGGGGGCCTAGTCGTGCTAGGCCGAGAATCGATAGTTTGCAAAACCGAGCGATCGTCGCGAAGTGTGTACGAAAAATCGAGCAGAAGGAGAGAGGAGGAGAAAAAGTGAGAAAGAAAGAGAGAGAGAGAGAGAGAGAGAGAGAGAGAGAGAGACGGAGAAAAAAGAAGAGATACGCGAAAATATCCGTCCCATAAACGTAAACTTGAAGACTTGAAAAGTAATCGCTCCGGCGATTACTTAAAGTATAATCGCGATTGTCCGCCAATCGAATACATATACACATAAGGACAGACTTATATAAAAGGCGACTGATCTTTCTCCTTTGCGCTTCTATTCCTTCGGTCGTGCGCGACGCGGACCATTGGGCGGAAAATCCAAGTTCGAGGGAGAAAAAGAAAAAAAAAAATAGGAACTTTGCTAGCGACGCTTCGAGAAGAATCTCCTCAACCCCTTGTGACAACAACGGTGAGTAGCTCTTGAGCCAAAGTCACTCAAGTTGACGCAAAACCAAAGTTTTTCATAAGATACTTGGCTTGAAATCAAAGAAGGAGTCATTTATTAATCTAGAAAATTACACAATTCAAAGAAATTTCGCAAACAATAAGTATTTAATAATCATTTTTGGCTTAATCAAATTGGTTGAGAAAATTAAACTAAAATTCTTTCCACACAATACTAATAAAATTACAGAAATTATTGCAATAAACTATAATTATATTAGACATCAAATTAATGTAGGAGAGCACTTCCGAGGATCGAACCATCATCAACTTCGAAATGGCACCGATAAAGAGTATCTTCAGTGCATTTTCGGGCATCTTCGGTGCATTACATCATCATACGATGCTGTTTTTCAGCATTTTTCAAATACTTCTTAACGTTACATAATTGTAACTTCTCCGAACGATGTATTGATTGTATTATATGAATTCTTCATGGATATATAATTCATAAATTTTTACACAAATAATTCTCCCGTAATCTTGCAATTCTGCGACTATAATGTCTTTTGTCGGTGCTGTCGCTACAGAGCGAGAGAGAAGAAAGAGAGAATTGGGGAATATCTTATTAAGTCTGTCATTTTGAATACATTCATATTCATATCATTCATTACTCGCGCTTTATTTCTTTTAATCATTCATTATTTTTATTATGCATCATCATCCCTGTTATTCGCATTAATCTTCATTATTTCATTTGATAAGAAATCGCGACTTGCCGGCTATCCAATTAAAATAAGGGTATATAAGGGTGTTTTATTAACTCCATTATACATGACATTTTCTAAGGAAAATTTTATTGAAGCTATTGAAGATATCGATATGAACTTTTTCTTTTAATTTCATTAAATAAAGACTCGTTCATACTATGTAATAAATAAAAATATATTTAATTATCGTTTCATTTAAAATTTGGTAGATTTTGTAAATTTTGTTTTGCCCCTTGCAATAAATTAATCTTTTTATTAAATAATATAAAAAAACTTTTTATTCGATGAAATTTAAATTCGAATCAAATTGAAATTTAAATTCTTTCAAGTTCCTTGAGCGTGTAAGGAAATTAATAAATTATATGTACGTGGTATAAAATTATTTTAAAAATTTAATTTAATTTAAAATTCTTTTTTTACTTGTCTTTCTGTATATCTGTTATTTTAATCGTTTTGAATAAAAGAGAAATTCTCTTTATCCGCAATCAAAGCTTTATTTATCGTTCGTTCTTCGTTGTTTATAAATTTCCGTGACCGCGACCGATCTTCTCGCGATCTCGGAAAGAGAAGCGTGGAAGTGAAAATTCTACGAACGATCGAATAAAACATTTGTGTGAAACTAACACTGCAACTTTGTCAAACTTGACAAGATTTCGCGATTCTACTCCCTCTTCCTCCCTCTCTCTCTTTCTTTCTCTCTGTTTGTCCGTCCAGATAACCCCGTAAAAATCTTCCACTTAGCGTCTCCCGCAGTGGCCGAGTCCCATTCACGCGTGCTTGGGTGTGATTAATGGTTTCCTTGTATCCGATTCCGGTATCATATTTACTAACCGCCGGGTCTCGCCCCTTTGCCTCCGAGAAAAGCGTGCGTATGAATGTAAAGAACAAGAGAGAGGGAGAGAGAGAGAGAGAGAGAGAGAGAATTTCTACTTGAAAAACGAGTTCTCGCGAGGAAGATGTAATGCGCGAGAAGAAGATCGCAATGGAATGAAAAATAAAATAATACGAAAGAAGGGAGGGGAAGAGGGCTTCTTGTTGAGGAGGGACGTGAAGATGGATTCCCGTAATGTTTACACGAGGAAGAAAGAAAAGCATCGTCGTGTCGATATCCCCATTGATGAGATTGCTTCTGCATCTCTCGCGCTCGTTTCGCCCTCGTTTCGCGCCTTCTCTTCGTCTTCGTAGCACGCGATGCACGCGAGAAGGATCTCGTGTATGATTCATTCTGGTTTATTCCTCTGTCTCGCGAGAGAAAAAACAGAGATAGAGTCAATAATAACGCATCCCTCCTTTTCCTTTTCTTTTTCAATAAATTAAGAAAAATTTGCAGGTATCGAGATCGCGAACAATCTTTCTTATAAACTTTAATGCTCAATCCTTGTCTTTGAGGAGAGCCGTTTATTACGATCAGATATAGATGAATCAGTTGAAATAATTTTGTCTAGGAAAGAAAAACTTTATCGTTGAAAAATGCTTGATAAAATGTTTCCAATACTATTGTTATTTTGAAATAGAATTTTTTTTCTTAATACTCTTCTTACGTATACTTCTTTTTACGTATAAAATCTCTAAAGAGAAATGAGGGAAATATTCCTTCTTTTTTATCCATTGTATATATTACAGTTTATCAAAGAGAGAGAGAGTTTATCATTTGCATTTCGATATCAATAACATGTAATTTAAAATTTGAATATATCATCAATAAAGGCAACAAAGTGCAATATGTAATATTGCATTTGATATCTTACGGATGCCGCCTATCAAGACAAATTTTAAAACAATGTGACTATCAGGCAATCCTGATGCACTGCTTAACATTATTTTAAATAAATCATTAACAAATTTTAACTCAATACAAAACAGGTGATTCTATAAATTATCGCCTCTTCTCATTTTTATCTGTTTCAGGAAAGAGAATCTATGATAAGGAAAAGTCTATAACACACTCTAAAATCATATTATTCTTTGTATTATTAATATTTTTATAGAATATTTATTATTAATATTTATTATTAATATTTATTTGTAATATTTATTTGTAATATTTCATGATAAGTATTTCTGAATTAATTGTCTGACTAAACTTTTGCGAGCGGCGATTCGGAATAATAATTGGAAAGATATCGTGTTTTATGTCACGTGGCCGATTTCGACCACAAGATCAACGTTCGCCTAAAAATAAATAATCCGATATTGTTATCGGATTATAAACTAAACTGTAAACTTACATTTCTTCGAATTTTGATATCTTATAATGTGCCGAAAATATGGCGAACAACTCGACCAATACCTTCGAAATATCATCGTGTATCGTGAATATGAAAAGAATTTTTATAATTTGTGGAAATTTGAAAAAAAAAATTCTGTGTGTAAAATTCGTCTTATTAAACGAATCAATCAATCATAATGAAATAAAGTTAAACTGTCAATTTTTGAAAACGTAAAGTTGATGGCTCGACGTAAATATCTTTTCGAAGTCCCTATTTTATTTACATTATTTTAATCACTAAATTAAATTCGTTTTAAAAAGATTGATCGAGAATCGATTCCTCTCGTTATTGCATTTATGAAAGTATTGTGGTAAGGTCATCGGAAAGTAAATATTTTATGATATTTCGTATCTTATGTCAGAATAATTTTGTACGAGAATAAAGTATACAATATCTCAAAGTATATTCACTTTTCGAGATTACCTCCTGACACTTAACACTTTTTCACGCAAAATAAAAATCATTTTATGCCAAACACATAAGAGGGAGAGATGAGGTAAATAGTTGTTTCTGACAATATTCTGTTTGTCATCTCTCTCTCCCTCCTCCTGAAAAAAATATAATATTCAAGAAAACAGCCTCATTCACTAAAGCTGGATCATTTCATTTATTATTACACAAATGAATAATACAAATATTTTGCGCGGGGAGCAGTAGCTCTCTTTCGTACGTAAAATTATTTCAGAAAAAAATGAGAGAGTATCCGCTATATTTATTTAACCATCTACAATACGATCCATTATCGCGGTAAAGATTGTACCAGAAATCTTTTCCGCGGGCAAGTCCTTTTCTTCTATCATGGAAATGTGTCAGGGGAATCGTTAATAATCGCCTTCATGTTTCGCGAAAATATCGCATGAATTCTCGATTAATGAAGCACTCTTCGTTCAGACGCGAATGCTGCTTTCGTTCGTTCTCATTCTTTTTCATTAGGGCATATAATTCTATCTCACACGATTTTGTAGTCCGAACGTTATAAAAAACGAGATCCTTCTCGAAAGAAACAATCAACGAGATGATTTGCCAATTTGTGTTGTGGCCGAAGTTTTCCGTCGTCTTATCGAGGTCAGCGAAACGTCGTTGATCTCGGAAGCTATCGCACAGCCTCATTACCGAATGTACCGAATAACCGTGTAAAAACAAACTTGGTTAAATTCTACCTCAACGCGACTCATGCGTCACTCTCGATTGTTCATTTATCTTTCATGATGCTATTAATCGACCGTGTTATCCTTTTCATATCAAATAAATGTTAATATTTATTCAACGGGTGTACCATAAAAATTACATTATTGCATAATAAATTATGAATTATTGATAATTATTATTATATCATAATAAGTTTAAATAATGAAAATAGTTTAAAAAATTTTCTAAGGATTTTATAGAATTTTCAGAATTATTGCCGTGTATTTTTTCCTTTTAAATTAAAACTTGTTCAAAGAAACTTTATTCCAATAGATTCTCTATTTATCTTCACAAGAACGCAGATAATTTTTTCGCGTAAAATATGTAATTAAATAATACATGCAAATTACATTTCACGTACAATTCCTTCTACATGAAGCCATGCTTAAATTTCGCACGATTCAACAATCGCTTATTCGGGCATTTTCACGAACTATCGTATGCATTGTTAATCATGTTATATTAATGTAACAAGTGAGAGAGATACTTACCTCCCTGTGCTCCTTTCGTGAACATCCTCTTAATAATCGCAGTCTTGTCAGTGTAGGCGTCGGCATTGGCGATATTGTTGCATACGCGTCGAAATTCGCGAAAGGAGTCATCTTTTGATGAGATCTTTTCCCCTTCTTTCTTATCTTTCTCCTTGTCATCCGTTACAGTTCCTTTCTTTTTCTTTTCCATCGTTTTTTCCGAAGTAGTACTTGAGGAAGGAGCCGTTTTTCGTGGCGATGTGGTCTTTTTCGAAATCTTTGTAGGACCTAGAGCAAATAAGTATAAAAACTGTAATTTTTAATATACATATAAATTTTTAATTAAAAATTACATAATTGTCCTACTTATTTATTTTATATTTTAACTGCTCCTTTTATATTTTTATACTTTTATTTTCCCTTTTATATTTTATTCTTCTATATTTTTTATACTTTTTTTATTTATTCTCTTGTGATAATTTTTTCAGAAAAAGTTTTAAGTCATTTAAAATTGAAAAGTTTAACGGATTATTTATTATTAAAATTATATTAATCGTCATGAAACTGATAAAAATATAACAATCTTTCAATAAATTCATCTCTCTTGTTTCCCTCATCCAATTACTCGTACATTATTGACCGTCTACGTGAACTGATTTTTAATTATGGAAAACGAGAAAATTATGAAGAAGAAAATAGTACACGCGATATGACACGTTGTAATTCTTTCCCAATATAGATGAACTTTTCCACCCCCGCACAGAATTCTCAATCTCTCAATCTTATAAGCGTCAAGTTCTTTTGGAACTTTTCGTTGTAAAGCTTTCGCAAGCGAGAAAATCTATTAGAAGCAACGGAAGTTTCTCTCACGAAGAGGAAAGCCTTTGAATGATTTTTCCATGTAACACGTAGATCGACTACACACTTTGAGATAATGTGAAGAAAAGTATTGCTGGATTAAGTATAAATGTTAATGGCTCCGATGAATGGCTAGACGCAGTAGCGGACCTATCGGTAAGCTAATAAAACTTGATAAACTCTAGGACATCAATATACGGGTGTACAAAGTATTCTGGAAAGAACAAATGTTCTTGATAATCGAAATCTCTTGTTTAATATAAAATTTAAAATTAATTTTTTTCCCTAAAATATCGAGTGGAATCAATTTAGTCTCTTTTCTATTCGACTTTAAAAACGTATATATCATTTTATTGCTAGTAACAAAAAACGATCCGCTGAATAAACACGAATAAGTCGCGAAAAAGGGGAAAAGGGAGACAGCAAGACCTTCTTTCAAGAAGGAGTCAAGCGCTCACAAGATGTCACGATACTCACAAGATTTCTCGAATTCCTCCAGCTTATTCAGGATGACCGTCTTGTCGTCGTCGGACAATAATTCCCAACCCTTCACATCCTCCGCAGGATCATCGATCCTCTTGGTCGTCGCGCGCTGTTTGGCGAACGCGTCGAACAGACAGGTGACATGGTGCCAGGCCGGCATCAGTTTTCCATCCGCGAAGAAGCTCGTCACGTACTTGCCAATCCGTATCTCGCCCTTCTCGATCACGCACTTGCATCTCTTGCATTTCGCGCGGCCGGTCTTCGCGCGTTCGACGGCGAACGGTTTCTCTTCCCCCTGCTGCGACTCTTCCTCCTCGACGTCGCTTGACATGATGACTCACCTGTCGAAATAGTATAATTTTTATTATTGTATTTTTCGGAGTCAAGGGAAGCAAGCGCTAATTAAAAGGTGCCTTGAATTACATGTGTAGATCGTATCATCGAACGTATCGCGAGCATTCTAAGCGGATTCTGATGTATCTCTCCTCTTAATTCTTCCCTCTCTCCCGTTCTGTTAGCGTACGAACGCACGTAACTGGGAAATCAAAGATCTGCGGGTGTAATCGCGCTACGTCTTAACATAGGTAATCGAGCTTTGGATTAGCGTACAATCTGTGTAGCTCCTTCTAAGGCAACGGAGGAAACCGACATGTAGTTGCGTAAATTGCTACATTATCCGCTAACAAATAACGTACATGCGCGTCACGAATATTAGGTAATTTACTTCAAACAGACAAACGTATGGTGCGTAGGATTCCCGAAACACACATGGATACACGTTAATTAAGATCGTAGACGTATTTAATGTCCTCCAAATGCAATGACGTAATTTATCGCCGATGAGCAGCGATCTCTCAAGATCCCCCAAGATTTTGTTTTTTTTTTTAATTTAAAAAAATAGCATAACGTATATAAGAGGAAGTAGGGGAGAGAGAAAAATTACATTATGTGTGTTGACAAATTAATATCTTTGATAGTTCAATAAAAAAATATACACATGAACAAAATTATTTATTATAGTTTTTTGATATGATTCTTAATTTTTTTCATAATAAATCTTATTTAATCATGCATATCTTATTTTTTATTTTTTTCAAATTTATAATATAATAAAATAATTTAGAAACTAGAAGCATAAAAAAACTACACAAATAATCATTTTTTCTTTGTGTTAGAAAAAAAGATATTTTGTTGAACTATATGATTCATTTTCCATAAGAATGAAAGCTAGCAATTCAAACTTAAAAAAAAAATTATTAAAGATCAAAAAGTTCTTTATAGAATGAATCTTTACTATAGACATTTTAGAAGGATTTTTAATGTAACGTCAATTGTATATTTCAATTTCTGATAAGACATATGTTTATTCGGTCTGTCAATATATATCTAGTCAGTCAGGACTTTAGTTTCTTTAGTCGCTTATCAGAATTAATAAGTAGAGTTAATAAGTAAAATATAAGACTAAAAATGTTTAAAAAGATTAAAGATATTTAAAAAGTAAAAACTATGAAAAAATATGTGATTCTAAATTAGGATCTCTTGTTTTAATGAATGACATTTTGATTTCAAAATGTCAACATTAGTCTGGGCGAATAGCTGCATGACGCAGTTTACTGCAATATCTCAAGATCGTGTACAGTAATACGTCTATATAATCTCTTATTAAGCTCTCATTATACTTAAGTATACAATAATTCTCGGAATGTCAATCCTCAGAAACGCTTTAAATAGAATTCCTTTCTCTCTCTCTCTCTCTCTCTCTCTCTCTCTCTCTCTCTCTCTCTCTCTCTCTCTCTCTCTCTCTCTCTCTCACTCTCTTTTTTCTCTCTCTTCCTATCCCTCTCTTACTGACGAAAATTGGAATCGAGTGGGAAGATCTCATTATGTCTTTTCGTCCATAAATATCGAAAAGAATCTCAATCTCGATCGAGAATATAGAAAATACACAAGATATTTTGGCTGCGTTCTGAAATTTATTGACAATACTGAAAATCTATAAAATATGTAATGTAAACTATATAAATTTTCAGTCTTAACATTGAATTTTGGAACGCAGCCTTTATAACTCGTCAAATTAACGTAGTTAACATGCTACATATAAACTTTTTTCATTGTGTTTGAGTTCATTGTCAAGTGAATCTATATGTTATAAAATGCCTTATAAAGTCAAAAATATGTTATCAGTTTTCCAATAAACGATAGAGATTGATTTCTGCCTAAAAATTGTAAAATATATGTGTGTGTTCTTTAAGTCCCTGAACGCAATAACATTTTTATCCAAAGTAATCGATAAAGTGACTAAAATTTGTCGAACAAATCAATTTTATTAATTGACGATCAATTTAATTAATTTATCAATTTGATTAATAACGAAAAATGGATCATTTTTAATTTTACATCCATCATATTGATTTCGCCAGATTTATTATAATTGTTTCCTTATTTTAATGTGTTTAATTTTGCTTTAATATTTTCAGTAAAAGGAATTATAAATTTAAAAATTAAATTATATTATATAAATAAATAATTAAAACATACATACCAATAATATTATTAGTCGAATTATTTATTTAAAAAGATCTATTTTGAAGCTTTTAAAACTAATTTTGTTTACTTTTATCATCACATTAAAGAAATAAAGATGATATTAATAATTATTAATAATTATTAATATCATTTATTAATAATTTAGTAAACATAAGAATTTAGATAGAAATAGGTTTCTTTACTTATCCTTTCAATTTTCTCGAGAACAAAACGTCACGCAAAACAATTTGCTTCATTATTTTAGATTTAATTTTGCGCGAGTGTATTCATGTTCTTTTGAGTCGTATTCCAATTTACTCTTGTACATATTGAAATTGCGACTTACGAAATTGCGAAAGTAATAATTTCATCGGAGGGAAGAAGAAGGAACGAGAAAAAATCTCTACCGAATCTCGATAACTCTTCTTCCCTGTCTCCCGCATCCCGTTCTCTCAGAGTCACGATAAGAAGTCTTATCGTCGTTTCGTCATTGGCTCGAGAACCGAGAGAACATTGCTCTAATCTAATTTTAAATATTCGCTCATCTCTTGCGTTACATTATATACATTCGATCTAGTCGCGTACGTTTGCCTTTTTTACGCGCGATCGACACGAGTCGCGATCCCGCGATTAATGTCCCAGTAATTTCTCAATTTTCCGGCGAAGAATGCATATGCACGTTGAATGTTCGAAGCACAAAACATGCGTACGAGTGTACGTAGGTGCTTTTATCAATATGCTGATTTGTTTTCATTACGCGTTGCGAGAGATTATCAGCGACCTTATAATTTCATAACACGTCATTTTCCTTGTCATCGAGTGTAATTGGCACGTCGCAATTGAATTGTGACAAAAATTCGATACATGCGCCGTTAATGGATAAACAAAATATCGAAGGAGAAAAAAAGAGACCTGGGGAGGCGGATTGGGAAAGGAGGAATGACTTGCATAACTATTTTCGTCCGATAAATTGGGAGTCAATGTATATCTCTTTGATATCATACATAAAAAAAGTATGATTCAATTTAAAGGAGGAAAGATTATTCAAAAATATTATTATCCGATTCGATAATATAAAATATAAAATATAAATATAAATATAAATACGAAAAAATATAAATACCGAAAACTTTTCTTGTCTCAAAGTGTGAGATTTTCTCGTGCATTCCGTCAATTCTTTTCCGGATTCCGCGTCGGAATCTTTAATTTGGTCGGTAACTTTAACGACTAGAACGCGAAAAGCGACTTATAAATGGCGTATACGAGATAGGCATCGTTTCATTGAGAAAAAGTGAAGAAAAGGTGGAGAAAAGGGTAGAGGATCAAACGCAACCTTGCTCCTCGTATCGCACTACAGGTGGGTATATTTCTCGAGGGTGGTGGCGGATACGGGGAGATGAGTGAAGGGGGATATCCCCGCGCGGGTATAATAGAGGGTGCAACAGCCCTTCGCGGCTCATTCCGTCACCGCGTGTCCTCCCGTCGACGTAATAGAACGCGATTTTCTCGCAAGGGACCTTTCGACCAGCGTAAGTTACATTCGCGCTCTTGGAGGAATCACTCGGGAACTGTCACAATATCCGGAGAAATTCGATTCTTGCATAATTCTCGGGGAAAAAAAAGAACACTTTCCAACATTTTCCTCTCTTTTTCTCTCGTCGTAATCGAACTAAAAAAAAATGAAAAAAAATTACCGATTATTTCTCCCGAATGCCTAGTAGTCTTTGAACGGCGTGGCTTGAACGAATTGTTTTCTAATCGTTTTGTTTGCGACGAACGGGCTTACATTGGAATTAATGAGGTCGATTTAGAATCTATAAATAATCGTTAACGGCCATCAAGGCGGAGAAATCATCGTCGCACGAAACGCTTTCTGCTATTATTATTATTATTATTATTATTATTATTAATATTATTATTATTATTATTATTATTATTAATATTATTATTATTAATATTAATATCATTAATATTGTTATTATTATGTTATTATTATGTTATACGTATGTGACGCTTTATCGCGCGTTTGTTATCGCTATTGTTATTATTATTGTTATTATTATTACTATTATTATCGTGACGCGATATCGCGCAATTTCGGATCCCTCTTTTCTCGTTGCTCGATTTTATTCTTTATCACACACCGCACGTTTTGCGATACCGATAACATTCTATCGGCGAAAGGATAATCCGTGATGACCCTCGCGTGGAGACCGGTATCGCACAAATCACCGGATCATGCTCGTTCTCGCCTTTTGTGACTCGCGGTTCTCAATTCATAAAGTAAAGGGAAAAAAAAGAATCAATTATACTTGATATATTCTTCTTATACAACCTAAGGGAGTCCGTCTTTTTCATCTATCGCTATTATACTTGTTCATGGGAAGAGTCTCAATCTCTTGTCGTCTCAATTTCAACGAGACATTTCCTTGCGTTTCTCGATTTTTTCATTTTTTAGTCTCTCGCGGTTCTTTCGTTATCAAAAATATAAAAAAACCTTTGTTATTATTAAGAATATAAAATATTCAAAATTAACTGTCCGATTTAACGGAAATTACGAGAGGAAAATGAAATATCTCTTGTTTCTGAAATTGAACTTTTTTAATAGTGACAAAAATTTTTAATAGTGACAAAAATATTTTTAAATGATTCTCAACAACTGCAAGTTCCGTCGAATGCACACCTTTGCCATAATCAAGTTTAATAAAACTGGAAAACTCTAGTCTCTCTCTTAAATGGAATATTATTGATTGCAGTGTGATTTTAATTATAAATATAACACTATAAATAATAAAATTTCACTGAGAAGAATCAGTTAGCGATAGAGATTGATTTTTCAATGAAATTTTATTATATGTACCAGTCAGTAAAAAACGGAGGAGCAAAGTGCGAGTGTTTTCACTGAAATCTCGTTTTAATCAGTGACATTTTTAAAGTCTCCTATTTTATTTCAATTCTTTAATATTATATCGCGCATATTAATGCAAAGAATTCCTGTCGTTTCGTAGAGAGCACGAGATACGAGGGAATGACGGAAAGAGCTAGTCGACGAGGCGCTGCTAGGACAAGCTTCTGCCTGCTGGTGGCTTTCGTCCTATCCTGTGTCATAAGTGGCAGCGAGAAGGTTCTTGCATTTCCGCAGCCCGAACCGCTACCACCGGGATTCTACGGCGATAATTTGGCGTATGACGCGCAGAGTTCTGTAAGTGCAGTTTGATTTACACGATGCCGATTTATATGATTGCTGTCTAAAAAAGGAAAAAAAGAAATTAAAAACAGCAATTATATTTATTTCTCGAATTGCGTTCCGTTAGAATTTGCTGAACCGCCTGAAGCAGCTGGCGGAGCACAAGCATCGCGTGGACGAGCAAATCGAACGCGAGATCGCTGATGAACGCGAAATCACCGACGAACAGATCGAGATCCAGGCGATGCTGGAGGCGAATGCGCGGGAACGCGCTGCAGGCCGGTCGCAGCCATCGGATTATTCCGAGGAGCCGGAACCGGAAGCGCTGCCGATACCCGCTGCCATGGTCCACCACGAGCAACACCCGGGCAAACGACACGGCATGAATGGAGTTAGTTGTGAGTATATTTTTCATATTTCTCCTCGTCGATTCTCTCCGAAAAGAGATATCACGATTTAGTCAGATTCTGCGAGACAAGAGATCTTCGAGTCTTATTTTATTTATTTATTTTATTTTATTTTATTTTATTTTATTTTATTTTATTTTATTTTATTTTATTTTTAATAATCCTTTTAGCATAATATGTACAAATTTGCAAGTTTCTTAAAAATAAACGTGGAGCAAAATGTGCAGTGAAACTTTAATTAATTAAAGAAAATAGAGAAAGGATTACGGCAATCTAGTAGTCTAGTGCGCATTAAAATTAATTAATGAACGGCTAAAAATTCCTCTGGCACGAAAACTTTAAATATTCATGTATCGTGTTATATATTCGAGCTATATATTTGAAACATTGGAGACGATCTCGGGATGATATTCCACGGATTTTCGACGCCGCATGGAATCCGGTCATTAAAATAAAAAGCCAGTCGTTCTCGTCTCTTACCGGGTTTAGTTAAGATCTCGGGGGATCGAGAAAATTATGCCACGCACTATTTTCACGCGGGAAATTCACGCAGAATCCTCTCCTTTCTCATGTGGAAAGAGACGAAGAGTCTGTTTTTTTCAAGAATTTCTCGGTTATATTTACTAATCTCGAAAGTAATTTTTCTCAGACACGCTTGTACGAATCTGTAACGCGTTCGGGATCGAAGATGATCGTTATCGATGACAATTGATTAGAGCAATTGACTCGTGACGTACGTGTCTCCGATTGATTCATCGAACGACTCGAGTTCGAAGGATCGGAAACCTTCTCGGAAAGGAAACCTAGTCGGAGATGGGAACTCATCTCCGAAATATCGCGATAATCAGACTTTTCAAATCTGTTCTAAAAGTTTTGTAACGTGCGCCTTCCACATTAATTTGTCGCTTTCTTTCGTTTTTTTTTTACAATTTTGCACTTTATTTCTTTATTCTCCTTGTTATTATCTTATAAATTTGCATTAATCATTGTTCAAAAGAAATATTATGTAAAAACTCTGAAATTAAATATATAATATAATTATAACTTTATAAATAACATCAAAATAATAAAGAGAATACACAATTTATCCCCATATATGATGTCTTAAAAACATATTTTTTTCATCATATAAACATCCCCAACAGAACACTAGATTTATTTTTATATAATAATGTTTATAATAAAATTCGTTTATTTAATTATTATTAATAACTTTAATTATCATGATCATATTTTTTTATTTAAACGTACAAAGCGTCTGTAAGAATTACTCACTCTCGATCATTATTAAAGAAAGACAATCGCGAAGCTGAACTGCGACAGCGAATAACGCACGCGATTCGTGTTTCAGATCACATGTCCCTGTGCCACTTCAAGATCTGCAACATGGGACGTAAGAGGCAATCGAAATAAGTCCCCATAAATGGTGTAAAGAGGCAGTCGCGAGATGTTCGAAACGGCGAGCGCGGCGAGGAGCCAAGGGAACCTCATTGTGCTTCTTTAAAGAAACATTAAGTAAAAGATCAATAAAACACAGCTTGCCACGGTCAATTGAAAATTAAAAGTGAGGAAGATAGCAAGGACGAGCGGTCTCAATCGACATTAGCGACATTTTAACATCGAAACACTCGACGTTAAAATGTCGATTCAAATTCAAGAAAATAATGACTAAAATATTTTTCATAAAAAAATCTCAATGTCTCGGATAAATCTTACCGTCCTGGATACATTGTACCTGTATTATAAATTCCTCCAGGATAAACAAATAAAATATTCAACGATTCGCGTGAATTTTTCGACAGAAAATTGATAAAAGAAATTAACAAAACAGAGGAGAAAAAAATATTGCATCGAAAAAAGGTACGAGGATCGTCATCGCTCTTCCTTGCTATCTCTTCAAAACAGTAATTACCAGTATTACATGTCATATACGCGCCACGATGAATCTTTTTGCGCAGCGTGATGTTAAATTTCGCGAATCGCGAAATAAACGCTCGACGGGCACTTTCATTAATGAACGTCGATCATCATTAAGTCTGTTTATAGCGAAGTACCGAAAGGCCAAATAACGCGACTGAATTTGAGGCAAAAAAATATATTGGAAATATCAAGACCCAGTCCTCGGCTGCCACACGAAAATATGTGTACCATCCGATTAATTCGAGCCAGAGTTACGCGAGCTGCCTATCGAACCTGTCTTGGAATATCGAGCGAAATCATCGACGAGATATTGTTAAATAAAAGCGAAACGGAAGCGATACTTGATTCAAAAAGAGAAATTAATGAAAAATTAGTTCAAGTATAGTATTTGATTTACAATTAATCTTAAAATGTGCGAAATCGATTATGAATATCCATATGCAAAACGTTTCAATTATATTGTGGCAAATATTGCATGTTGTAGAAATATTGCAAAGATTTATATAAAACTAAAAAAGATAAAATGATAAAATAATATTATAGTTATATTAGAAATGAGAGATTGTAATGTTTGGATATTAAAAGTGAGAAAGGAAACATTTCAAACACATTTAAAGTTACTCTTTTTTCTCTTTTAAAATTATACTCGATGATACATAAATTAAATAATTGATCAATTAATAATAATTGTCATTTTTGGTCAGATAATATTATATGTTGTTGTATATGTGAAAATATTTGAGAAAATTTAAGGCTTCTGAAAATAAATACAATTTATGTCGAAAATAAATGGTTTATGTCCTTATTAGATGTGTCTTGAATAAGCTTATGATTAATTTATGAGAACTCCTAAACTTTCTTTGTTATATATTAATTTTCAAATTAATTTTCGGATTTTAAGAAGAAAAATAATATATATTCTTCAAAAATTTCGACTAATTGCTAATTTCTAATTTTTTTGTCAATCTAAGATCAACAAAAAAGGATATAGAAAAATCTCACGAAAGAAAATAAGTATCCAAACGTGAGCTGATAATTTATTAACTTTCAATAGTCACGTTATTTCGAGAAAAATATATATTTATAGAACATATATATTTATGACTGACAGATTTCAAATTATCGAAGTCTACTTAATAATATCTCGTCGATGGCGAAATGAGCAATCGAATATAAAATTTCTTTCCCTTTTATTTTATAAAATTATATGAAATGTTTTTAAAAAAATGATGTCAAATAATGGGTCAATTTAGCAATTATTATTTTTGGCCCGATAATAATATTTATTTTGTCGTATATATACGAAAATATTTATGAGGAAACTAAAGAAAGAGGAAAGTAAAAAAGAAGACTAAAAAATTATTCGATTAGTAAAAAAATAAAATTTTCCTCCTCGCTCGCATCGCAGCGGCTGCACTTCTAATGTAAAAAGAAATTTTATCTTGCACGAGTTAATGCGTTACGCGGAGAAAAGTAGCGTATCGAAGTGTGCTCTCGTAAACTGAATTAATGAAAATGTCACTGATTACCGAATATTTGAGTGAAAACTCTCACACTTTGCTTCTCCGTCTCTTGTGTGTGTGTCCCACTAACAAAGATTTACGCAAAATTTCATTGAAAAATCAGTAATAATCGTACATTTACAAGATGCAGCTTTTCGAGCTTTTCCTTATTTATTTTTAGATTGTATTTATTGAGAGAAGCTCTCAAACATACCTGAACATATCTGAAATAAAACAAGTATAATTAATATTAGATAATCAGATATATTTTAACAAAATATATCATATAATATAAATTTATTTCATATATAAATATAAATTTAAATTATTAAATATATTATTAAATTATTAAATTATTAAATTATTTACATATACGAATTTATCTCATATACGATATTATAATATAAGACGCGTTATTTAAAATATTACTGATTCTTTTAGTGAGATTTCACTGATTTACAATGATTTCAATGATAATATACATTGATTCGATTTAACAGAGCAGTAGAGCGACATTTTTACGATAATACGAGATCCGGGAAAATTTATAGGCGACTAACAGTTCGATCGGATTTACAAAGTTATCGACATGGGGTCTCGTCTCTAATAATATGTATTTATTACTACTATTATATATTATTATTATTATTATAGTCGAGTTAAGTCGAAAGAACGCTTGCGCCCATTTCTTCTTTGTCGCGAGGTAATTTTGTTAATTTACTATTTTAGTAATTTACTATTAGCTCTTCAGCTAGATAGATATATACCTGAAAGGGGAGTGCGTGTAAGAATATTTCACGAGAATCAATGCACATCGATGGGGTTGAGAAAGGCGCTCGCGTTCCTTCGTTATTTATGAATCACCGGGTGAGTCCGTCTCTCTTTCCTTTTCGAAGAGAGAAATCGTAGTGCCGTGTTCTTTTCTTATTTTTTTTATTTATTTAGCGCTTACTTAACTCTCGCTCTTTTCGTGTGTTGTGTGTGTCATTCCTCTTGTTTATAGTCCCTCTCGCGCGACGAGACCTACTCTCTTTCTTTTTCTTGTCGATCTATATTTCTTCGAATTCGCGATTCCTTCAGAGAGGCTCGAAAGTTGAATGAGAAGAAGAAAGAATGCTCTCTTAGGACACGCGAATGTATCAATGAATATATGTACCTCACGCGAGCAATACATATATATATATATATACATATATATATATATATATAATAATAAAAATTGTATCATCAAAGTCTTTCAGCGTGCTTTATTTTTTCATCTCGATACGTCAGATAAAATTAATTATTTTTCCTTGCAAGATGTATTATATATTTGTTTTATGCGGGGAATAATTAGTATTTTGGCGAAGAAAAATCTTTGGGTTTTGAATTTTTCTTGCGCGATAATACAATCTAAAAACTTTCCCATACAATAAATTATTGTTGTTACATTCCAGCAATATTGCCGCAATATTGCTGCAATGTAACAACAATGATCTGTGCTGTATTTGCGTTTAAAATATAAAACTTATAATAAAATATAAACTTACATATACGATGACAATCATTCCTCTTTTGAGGATCGAGGAGTGCGTATTTCCTCCAACGTTTGCAACTTTGCAAGAAATTTCGATAATGATACGTAAAATTAGCGTTCGCGAAAATTATAATTTTACTCGAGAAAATGGCGCGTTAATTATGAAGGAAACTAAATAAATGACATAAAAAACGAAACTTCATTTTTGCGCCATCTATAAGAATAATCGAGAAGCAAATTCAAAAATGAGTCATGGTAAATAAAAGCTACTTTATCGACAGAGATGTTTCGCGGTTTTTGCTCGCTGTTTGATTTATGTATTTTTCGAAAAATAATACAATCAATGTTAATATAAAAAATAAAATATAATAATCTTTACTGTAAACGTACTTTTCTAAAAATATAGTATATTTTTCACATGTATATTTCACGTATATTTTTAAACGTGAATAAAAAATTTTAAGTGAGATTTTTTATTTTATCAGATAAAATTTTATATAATACATAAAACCAATACACGCATGTAAATATATAATATTTATATACATAAAAAGAGAGAGAAAGAAACAGAAAAAAAGACTTAAAAGTTAACATATAGAAAATAATATAAAATAATATGCTAGCATAAATTCTTTTGCAGACGAATTTTTCGTAAAAGAAGTTCCGCTTAGCGAGAAATAAAACTCCCGATAAAGGAATTAAAATACATGTGACGAAACCTAAAGGCAATATCTCTCCCTAGTCGCAAAAAATAACCTCGACCGACGTATTCACGTGCAACGGCGCTTCTCGTCAAATATCATCGTCTTACATTTATTATAAGAGCCTCTGGATGATAAACGATATTAATACTCACCGAAAAATAATGATTTTTATCGCCTGATAAAACGACAAGTTCGTGTACGCGCGATTTAATTAAAATTACAAATACTGCACATTTTGTAAATATTTTTACACACACGATGAATTTAATATCGATCACGAAACAACTGTTTATTTCTTTGTAGTGGCAGCATTGCGTTCCGATGCCATCTTTCTAGGAAATTCTATATATAATTTTCTCTTTTCGTGCAGCTTAACATTGATAAAATACGAGAGAAATGAAAAAAATCTACAAGCGCATCCTTATAAAAAAAATACTCCTTCAAAATGTTTTTCTCGCGCTCCCAATATTTTGCACGAAATTCCACAAATTTAATATCGCATAAATAATTAACATTAATAAAATATTTTTGGAGTGTGTATTATTATTAATATTTTTATATAAAATATTATAAAACTGTTTCTCAAACATATATAATTCGTTCACTCGAAATATGAAATGTTAAATGAACGAGCGCTTACCTCGCTTATCGCGATAATCGATATCATTCGCATCTCGAAATGCCAGCTGAATGTTCCAAAATTGATGAATTGGCACAAACTGTCACAGCTGAGTTCAACACAAACAGAATACGATTCACAATGATGCAAAAAATGTACTCGAAATTCCCGATTTTGTATCACAATGCAAAGTTTCGACGAGGTAAACGAGCGCGCAACCACTTTGTGTTATATTTCAAAATCCACAGTGCTGCCAATGTGACAGTGCGAAGAGTCTAGTTATTTTTCTAGTTATTTTTCGTTTCGACGGTGACGTTAAGCCCCGTTCGCAGAACCAAACTGGACGAGCCAATCCGCGTCGAGAGATGAACGCGCGCGCCGCGTCCAGCCAATCAGAGCCCAGCGAGCTTCGCCCCGATTGGTCGATTACTTTCCCAGCGCTCGTTACGGGAAGGAGACGAACGCGGCGAGATACGAGCACTCCCTCCGGAACGCTTCGTTTGATGGATTACCATTTATGGCGATCCCGAGCGACGAAGGGACAAACATCAACCAAACAACATTTGTGATGCACTGTAAAACGTAATTCGGGAAAACAGAGAAGAACGACGGACACCGTCTCTCGCACGATTAAGTAAGCCCGCGTCTCGCACGAAGAGAGATATATCTCATCCTTATCGTCCTCCGCTGCTTTAGTCATACGCGAGCGAGTGATGTTGCTCGGCAAATATAAAGATGACGGCATCGCCGTCGTATGAATAAGCCGCGGGAGGTGCGCGATTACAAGTGTCGATCGTCTCGCTTATTCGTATCGTCTCGATCCGAGATTTCTTTTTTTTCCCCTTCACTATGGGGACAAGATCGTACGTATACATGTATAACTCTAGGTGCGCTATTTCGTCGATCTGCCAAAAATTTTTCTCCATGCGTCCTATACAAGCTCCTCTTCTTCTCCCTCCTCTAACTTTATCGTTTTTCTATATCTTGTGTTGCATTGTTAACTCTTCCAGTCCAGTCTCTCAAGTTCTGGAGAGATTATGTTTTAATTATTAATTTTTGTATCTATATGTATAAGGATGTTTGTCTATTGAGAGATTTATTGGCCTGTCTATAATTTTGCAGAATGTTTGGCAGCTCAAGATGGCTCGTTGTATCGGGAATATTAGTAGCGGGCCTGTTGACTTCATTCGCTCAGTCCAATTATCCTCCTCCAGAGAGATTGACAGGCATGAATCCTTGTATCAGTAAACAGACTTGCCATGAATGCATACAGACTCCGCACTGTGCTTGGTGCGCAGCACCGGTAAGTCTATATTAAATTTTATTTCTCTTTTGCTTTCTCTACTAAACTTATGTGGTAGAAAGAAAAGAGTTTTTTTACATTTATTTAATATTTGATCAATATTTCTGAATCAAATTTGCTTTTTTGTAGAAATTCCCTGAGAAAAGATGCTTCCTTCCAAATATCAATACCAAGATATTTGCGACGTGTCCTCTCAATTATACATGGAATCCTGACAATGTCTTTAGCATGTTGCGACATCGTAATTTGACAAAGGGTAGTGGTGGTGCAGGAGGATATAGCAGCATCGAAGGCTCTTTCTCATCTTCCAATTCATCTTCCAATTCCTCCTCTGATTTTCACGAGGAAAGTTCAAGCAGCGCTGGAAGTAGAAGACAGGAGGCCGTGCAAATGTGGCCACAAGAGGTCGATCTGAAACTTAGAATAAGTAAGTTATTATTATTAAATAAAAATAAAACTGTAAATTTTCATGTTATTTGTATAATGAAAATTCGTTTCAGACGAAGCTTATAGAATGTCTTTTGCTTACTCCCAAGCGGAGGATTATCCTGTTGATCTCTACTACCTTATGGATTTGAGTAAATCCATGGAGGACGATAAGAAGAAATTATCCGACTTGGGCCAATTGTTGGTCGAGAGCATGAGTAAAATTACGAGCAATTTTCGTTTAGGTTTTGGTAGCTTTGTTGACAAGGTAGTGATGCCATATGTCAATACTGTGCCTAAATCGTAAGTTGTGAGATAAACCGAACAAAGTATGCCTGTTACCTGTCGTGTGTATCGTGTGTCAATATTCACTGGCTTATCTTTGATTTTAGTCTTATCGAACCATGCGACGGTTGTGCGGCGCCTTACGGATATAAAAACATCATGAGGCTATCTCAGGATACGAGCAAGTTTGCGGTACAGAAATATTCATAAATATACATATTTAAATCCGGAATTAATTTTGAAATTGACAAATCTGAATTTTAAATTAAAGATAATAATAAAGATAATTAAAAATTCAGTCATCTTATTCTGTTACATGTGGCGATATTTTTTAGATAGACATCTTCATTTACAGGGATTGGTTCGTAATGCGTCTGTGTCTGGCAATCTCGACGCACCAGAGGGTGGTTTTGATGCGATTATGCAAGCAATAGTTTGCCGTAATCAAATAGGCTGGCGCGAAAAGGCACGTCGGTTACTGGTATTCTCGACTGACGCCGGTTTTCATTATGCGGGCGATGGTAAATTGGGTGGTATCATCAAGCCGAATGATGGTTTGTGCCATTTAGATTCCAGAGGCACGTACACTCACTCATCCCTGCAGGATTATCCCAGCATTTCACAAATCAATCTAAAAGTAAAGCAAAATGCTATAAATGTTATATGGGCAGTCACCGAGGAACAGATCAATGTTTACAAGAGACTTACGAAGCACGTAGAGGGTTCCTTCGCCGGTAAACTATCAGATGACTCCAGCAATGTCGTGGAACTGATCCGCGAACAATACGACGCTATTTCAAGCTCGGTGGAGATGAAGGACACAGCTAGCAGCGCGATTAAAATCAAATACTTCTCGAGCTGTTTGGGTACTGGACCAGTGGTCGAGACATCGAAATGCGATGGACTAAAAGTTGGCACGAAGGTGGAGTTTATCGCGGAGATTGAAGTCACTAGTTGTCCGGCCAACAGATCGGAATGGAAGCAAAAGTTTGACATTTATCCGGTAAGCTCATGCATTAGTGCATTGCACTAGAGATTGATCAACTAGAATCTGTGTCTATCAAGTTTTTTTTATCTTTTAATTTGCATCTATATATAAGATATACATATATTTATTTATGTTTTATTTGCTTTCATTATAATCATATTCTTTTTCCCTTCAGGTTGGTATAAATGAGACTCTCACGGTTAATCTGGAGATGTTGTGCGATTGTGAATGCGAGCGTCATGGTAACATGTACGAGGAAAAATCACCCGAGTGCAACGGCGTAGGCACGCTCAAGTGCGGCGTTTGCGAGTGCTACGATGGATTCTTTGGCAAGCGTTGTGAATGCAGCCCGCATCAAGAGCTCACTGGCTTTGACAAGCATTTCCAATTGTGCCGACCCGATAACACTACTCTCGTGGATTGTTCCGGTCGCGGCACATGTGCCTGTGGTCAGTGCGAGTGCGAGGAACGAGAAAACCCGAAGGAGGTATTTTTTTATTTCTCTCGCATGTCGATTTCTATGACGGATATTTTTCTTATCATTTTATCTACGAATTTACAGTTATTTCAGTTTAATGCCAAAAATTATGATTAATTTTTATTTTTCAAATTAATTTTCATCGTATATTCAATATTTTAAATTACACGAGTTATTTTCAATGATGAAGATATGATGAAATTAGAAACGCGTGGACAAATAAAACAAAATAAAATCAAAGTTTTGAAGTAAAGTGAAAAAAGATTTTGTATGGAAATAAAATTATTTTCTAATTATTTATTACTAAACATTTTTGCGAGATCACAAACTCACTATTCTTGCAGATAATATCGGGACATTTTTGCGAGTGCGATAACTTCTCCTGCGACCGCGATGAGGGTAAGCTCTGCTCCGATCATGGTACCTGCGAATGCGGACAGTGCATCTGTAACGCTGGTTGGATCGGACAGTCTTGTAACTGCAGGTCCTCCAACGACTCCTGCATCGCGCCGGGAACTACGAATGGCGTACTCTGCTCAGGTCACGTAAGTATGCAAGAAAATTATATTGTTTTCCCTTCCAAAATAATTTCAAACTCATTAGAAGCTCGAAGAATTTAAATATCATTCGCTAATCTATCCATCCTCTCTCTCATTTCTTCTTAGGGCGATTGTATTTGTGGTGAATGCATCTGTCACGAAGAAGGCAACACTCGATATTCTGGCAAGCACTGTAACAAATGTCCGACTTGCCCGAGCCGCTGCGAGGAACTAAAGCCGTGCGTGCAATGTCAGATGTATAATACCGGAAACTACAGCGATCCGGAGGAGTGCGCGAAAAACTGCAAGGAATTCGTGCCTGAAAGCGTGGAGACGGTGATCGTCGACGTAGACAACGATGAGGTGCCGTGCTTCGGCACGGATGAAGACGACTGCAAATACAATTTCGTGTATTACTACAACGAAACCAACTGCTTGCAAGTGCGCGCTCAGAAAGAACGCGAATGCCCCCCGCAGGTCTATATGCTCGGGATCGTGTTGGGCGTAATCGCGGCGGTAGTCTTGGTCGGTCTAGCACTGCTGCTGCTATGGAAACTGCTGACGACGATACACGATAGACGGGAGTTTGCCCGATTTGAAAAGGAGAGGATGATGGCCAAGTGGGATACGGTACGATTTGATTATTTCTCGTATCATGAATCAGATTAAATTAAAATTAAAATTAACAATAGTTTTTGCAATTTATATTGCTTCAAGTAAATGTGTTAAATACAAGATATAAATAGTATTTGCAAAACATTACATACATTATTTAAAAGTTATACAAAAAGACTATATAATAAGACATAATTGAAATATTATATAGTTGAATGTAGAAATATTTTAATCAGATTTATTATGTTAATTATATCATCTTAATTAATTGTCTTAATTAGCCTTAATCTTTTCCTTCTTTCAATTTTGCAGGGAGAGAATCCAATTTATAAGCAGGCCACTTCCACGTTTAAGAATCCAACTTATGCCGGAAAATAACGTGCTCTGAAATGAGAAAAAGAATAACGCAGATCTTTTAAGAAGAAATCGCAACGACACGACGCGACAGTTTGCGAACGGCGACTACGCGCTCAGTGCCTCGTCTCGAGTTCAGCAAGATCTTGAGTAGCTACGTAAAGAGACGCGTAACTCTGAGCGGCATAACAAGATCTAGATCTAACGTATTTTAGCGTATACATAATTATTTAAAGGTAACTAATATTTAAATACAATATATACTCTATTTTGTTGAGATATTTGTAAAGAACGACTAAAAATACTGCCATATAACATAGACTGCGTTATGGACGCGCGTGCACACGCGTCATTTGTTTACAAAATTATAACGTTATACTTTATCGTGATCGTGGTTTAAGGAAAACAAGTTAGTTAGGCTAATTTTAATATTCAAGTGCCTTTTAATGTCACGACCGACGGTATATTTGCAATCGACTCTTAGTTATCTTTGCATTTCTTACGCTATACGTATAGAGGTACAAAACTAAAGAGGTGTAAACTTAATATGCGATAACATAATTTTGGAATGGATTTAAAGGACAAGTAAAAGGATAAGTAATAGGAGGAGAATTCCTATGTGATTTATTTTATCGTTTCTCAATGGCCGTATCTTTTATACGCATTAGATATACATTTATTCTTTCGGGTCAGAATTGATTTTTATCATCGCTTGAAAGATAAGCAAAACTATAGATAGATTTCGATATTTTATACTTTCTTTGAAAGCAACTAGAGTGAGTCATAAGATATATTCGAATCATTAGTTAACAAAACATTTCATGTGAGATATGAGATGTAAATATAGTAAATTATATCAGGAATTTTATTAGAATGGCCATATATCTGCAATGACAAGATAAAATAACATCATATATTCTGGATTTATTCCTGAAATATATCGCGTATATTAAGTTGTACATCTTGTGTATAAATAGAAAAAAGCTCTTCCGGATGAAAACGAATAAGATCTTATATATATATATCTTTTAGTGCAATCTATATGAGGATAATTTCATGCGAAAAAAATTTGAAGATGCATTTATCTGCGATTCTTTTTTCGTATAACGTAATCATTTTATTGATCGATTAAAGCGCGGTCTTTTTTTATTTTGTTTTCGCGCGATTAAAGAGACTCGAAAGTGTTTATAGGAAATTTGTATAAATGTATAAAGTACTGCCTGCGACCCGGATATAGAAATAAGTTTTATCTCCGTGTTTTTTTAACGGCGCGACGATAATTAAACTATTATGTCTCGTATATTATTTCGTAAATATATATATATATATATATATATATATATATATATATATATAATAGATATATATTATATATATAACCAAAAGAGTGTTATATAATCGGTTATTTTTAACGCAAGAGTAGATGAATACGAGGATTTAGAAATATATAAAATATATAAATAATTGGGGATAATAAACAAGTCACGATTGTACGCGAATCATCTACTTTATTTTTTGACTCGTGAATCTCACGAAGCGCATCGATCCCGAAAGATACGTACAACGATGTAACGTACCGTAAAAGAGGCGATTAAGTGACAACATGATATCTCGATTCATCATGTTGTTTGTTTCCGAACCGTTTTATCTTTTTTGACAACTTTACAACAGCTGTAACTGCGTCATTATTAATCGCATTATTCTTTTGTTTTGTACTACTCGACTCTAACGTGAGTTGATTATTGTAATCAACATTACTCGTGCGATTGTCCGTAAACTCGATAGGCTGCATGTAGATTATAAGCCCTAGGCGAGGACTAATAAAAACGATGTGTTAGTAAGCGCTGCTATTTCGTCATACCTTGTATCATCTAGAGGACAGGAGATTTTGTTAAAATCAACGAAAGGAGAGGAAGAAGAGATGCGTGAGGAAAATGGAATTTTCACGAAATGTTGACGATATAATACAATGTTATACCGACGTGTATCACGCGATCATGTGTTTACGCATATCATGTTGTCGCATAAATGCATTGGTAGGAAAGAGAGAAAGAGAAAGAACATTCTTTCGTTGAATTATTTCTGTGTGTCTTTTTTTTCTACAGATTAGTTAATTTCATCAAATTTCTCATAATGTAATTTCTTCTTTCGAGACTAAATTATGAAATAAATTTTTCGTTAATTTTTTTTATTATTATTCATTAAGAATTTAAACAAGCCATTATCGTCTTGAAAAATTTGAAATTTAAATTGTCTATATATGACTACACAAGAAAAAGAAACTTTCAAGATTTCCTGTTTTTCTCATGTGATTCATTTATTCCAGTAAATAAGACGTGTACATATGATTTAAATGCGAGCCATGGATTAAAGCGCAAAGTTTCGGCATTTAACGAATGAAACCGTTACCATCTAACGAATGAAATATTTTATTTTTTTTGTATGTTAGACTAATGAAAAGAGGACGAAGAAAAGATTTGAAGGTATTTTCGAGAAATTTTAAAAAAGAAGCTACACACACGAAAGCTATATAAGCTTATTTCTAAAGATAAAATAATTTGAAGACAAAATGTTAAAAATAACCGGCTTTTAATGAAGAATTCTATTCTCCAAGGACACCCCACAATGAACATTGTAAAGGAACAATCAAAAAGACCCTTCGGAATAAAGGGACCATTTCCAAACAAACTTTCCATATGAAAAGCATGAAAAAATAGCTAGAAAGCGTTCAGACAAAATTACAGCATAAACCGTAAAAAAAGAAACAAAATTTTCAGTTTCAAAATTGCCGTTTCAAGAAAAAGAACGTTAAGTCAAAATGCAAACGATATGGTATATAATTGATCCCGAAATGCCACGACATGAATCGAAACTTTCTGCTTGTTTTTCCTGCAACTTGAGGTCTGTAATTTATTTTGAAAACACGTGAAAAAAAACTTGTATTAAAAATTAGAACATTTCGACGCACACTGCAGATCTAGGATAATCGAAAACTGGTTATCAATATTTCGAAACACGTTTCTCAACTATCTTTTACAAACAAGTTTATAATAAAAAGAGCACAGAGCTCGAAAACTGGTAACAACACTCGATTTAGTCTAATAAATAATGTAAAAACGAATGGAAAGAATACTTTCCTGGTAAGGGATTTTGATTCTCGAAAAATCTCGACAGAGCAAGGAACTTATCCTGTTAAATTTTTCTAAATATTTTCCAACGATATCTTCGGCTTGTTCCGTCTTCTATTGTGTAAACATGTAAATAATTGCGTAGCGCTACAACGCAGTAAAGGAAAAAATACATTGCTTAACTTGGGAATTAATTAATAATGCTAATCGGGAGCCTAATCAATCAAAGCGAATAGCAACAAAAGGAAAAATGAAAAGAAAGATAACATTACTTACAAAGACTTATTTAAAGACATGTGGGGAGAGAATTTTGCGGTCCTCTTCGAGTCCTAATCCTTAATCTTTTTTCTCAGAACCAACTTTCGACCTTTTCAGTTCCTTACAAACCATATGTAGACCCATCACTACAAAAAAAACAAAGGAAAAGCATTTATAAAAATAGCAATATAATTATCATGAGAGATGATCCTCCGATCGGGCAAAAAAACGACAAGGTAGAAGAGAGGATCATTGATGAGGTATGCATTCATTAAGGCCCAGTTCCACAATCCAGTTAATCCGAGTTTAAGTAGTGAATGGACCAATCAGGATCCAGTTTAACGTATTAAACTCGGATTAACTCGAGTTGTGGGACCGGGCCTAAGAAGAATTTCTGGAGAGATTTCGCGTTCTTATTCCCGTCGTCGTCTCGTCTTCATCTTATACATTTGTGCGTATCTCCTTTCAGCGTGACTCGCGTGCGCGTTGCAATTGTCACGTGTTTGTATACACACGACGCGCGAGGATGAGGGTGGGAGTGCGAGGAAAGGTAGGGGGGAGAGACCGGAGTGGTACTTGACGCAGAGCGCACGACGCACGTATGCGTATATATATATATATATACATACTGCATGTGTGTGTGTACCTATGTGTTTATGAAATCATACTAGAAATCACGTATATATCTATACATCAGTCGGCCTCCATCGCGCGCGCGTCATCGTCAGGTTGTCTAGAACGGCGCATAAAGCGCATCTGGCTCTCTTCAGCCCTCCTGCCGATAGAATCGTCGAGTTATCTGCAAAAAAGTGCGCGTATTTAGAAAAAAAAAAACAACGCAACGATATACTTTGTCCGGGGGGGTGTATGTGTGTGTGTGTGTGTATGTGTGCGCGCAGATTTATTGAATGACAGATAGCTAAGCGTTAAGGTGTATACTTACCTACCTGCGTATTCGCGTTACTCGACGGGGGTGCTTCTCGTACAACAGCTGTCCCGAGCTCCGTTTGTCTCTCTCTCTCTCTTTTTCTCCTTCCAATCGCTCCGTTTCGTTTCTCCCCCTCCTTCTCTCTTCCTACCTTCGAGGGCCGCGCGCGGCAGCTGAGGAAAACCCTCGTCGAGTCTCTCGTCGCATTCGTCGTTCCGTCGAGCTCTCGGTCGTGTGTGTCCGGCGCTATTAATACACACGGTACGTCTTACGACTTACGACGCGCAGTTGTCGTCCGATCCGCGGGTGGACGGGGAGCGTTTTGCCATGCTCGACGAGTAGCATTCGCTACGACTTGCCGATCGTAATCCGGAGGACGAGGAGAACAAGAAGCAGGAGGAGGATCAGCGCGTTGTCGCTGATACACGCTGGACGACCATCGCCGTCGCCGTCATCAGTATCAGCACCGCCACCGCCGTCGCCGTCGTCGTCGACGGAGACGATCGACGAGTCCGGATTATGGATCGTGTACTCCCATCGTTGTTCGCGCGCCGGGTCATGGAGTGTCGCGCGTGGAATCTAGTCTCCCGGGTGTATCGACGGGCGACGACGGGTCGCGACGTTGACGACAACCCGGGTCAACCGCAGCCGTCGCCGTCTACGTCGTCCTCGTCGCAGGGAGAGGCGTCCTCGCCGCCCGAGCGGGATCCTCGCCATCATCCGTGCAGCAGCGAGACGTGCCGGTATTGCCGCGCCGTGGAGAAGACGTTGCTCTGGGAGGACTTTACCTTCTTCCTCAACATCTATCTGATCATCCTGCTCAGCGTGGTGATCTGGTAAGAAGGCAAACTGCGCGCGCGCGCGCGCGCACGAGATTCCGCTCCATTGTCCCTGTCTCGGGTTCTCTTCATTTTCATTGTGCCTCCTCGAGCCCCCCCGCAGATTTCGTCCAAGCCTCCCACGTTCGTAAAGCGGGTATAGATACCTAAAGAGAAAAAAAGACTTTAATAGGATCGAGTTAATCTGCGTAGAAACAGAGAAAGGAAAAAAAAAGAGATCGCGCACCTTTCTCGCGTTTTTCGAAGGACTCTGCGAGCTCTCTCTCTCTTTCAAACTTGACCGATTGCGTCATAAGCAGCCGCCTTTGTTCTTCGCGTTTCGAGAGGTCCCTTCACCCTCTCCCTCTCCCTCTCTCTTTCTCTTTCTCCATCGCTATCGCCCATCTTTTCGATCTCTTGGATATCTTTTCCTCTTAAGCGTGTCCTTAATAAGCGACTCGGTTATTGCGCCACGACCCGCTGTTGCGTCTTTCCATGTTCGCGCGAATGTTTTGCCCGACGCCGCGCCTCCCGACCCCGGCCGTCCGTGACGTCATATCGCCGCTATTACAGCTGTTTTACGTTTCGTGTGCACGGAGAGTAACTTCGCCTTCTAGGTCAAGGCTCCGGAACGGAACGCGCTTGGGGGGATTACATCGCCGTGATGCACATGTGTGCATGTACATATGTATGCGCATATAGATAACACGCGTATTTAATCAATTTCTATGTGTTGAACGCGCGTCATTATCTCGACTTTCCTACCGATGAAAAATCTCGCTGATAAGATCCTTGTGTGTTTGCTTCGGTAATCAGTTGTGTGCGCGCGCGCTTTACTTCCGGTGTGCATCGCACGTTGTCCGAATGAGATCCGCGCGCGCACGTGTTCCTTACCTCGCTAAAAATGTTCCTTGCACCAGATCGGTGTCGATCCGACGATTTTTAGCTTATCGAGATTTTGTTTAAAATATACAATTGACATTTATCGTTGATTTTTAATTTCAAATGTCAATTGGCAGATTTATTTTGAATTACTTTGTTTCTGGGATTTTATTTACAATATTTAATATTAATTTTTTCAAATTCTTTTTTATATAAATTTTCGAGAAAATTCAAAATATATATATTTTTTATTTTATTGTAAAATATATATTAATATTATAATAGTATAAAATATTAATATATTAATATTATAAAATATATATATAATATAAATATATACTATATATTTATATTTATAAAATATAAATATATTTATATTTATAAATATACACACACTCACTCACACATATATATATATATATATACATATACATATATATCTACATAAAAATACTTTAAATAAGGCTTCTCTCTTTTTCCTTCTTTTTATCCTCATCGACACATTTCTATTCAAATCTACCCAACGATATTTCTTCCGGTTTTCTTCCGGTCTAGTTGAAAATCAAATTGGCATTTTGCGAAAGAGATTGATGTTTTTTCCTTGTTTAAAAATTCCGAAAACTTTCTTCGGAGTTTTTTTACAGAGAAATAATCTCGAAATTTATGGTTGTATCCTATTTACAGGATTTACGGTATGCTTGGAGTACCGACATCGCGGATACCCTTCAAAATTCTCATTGTTTATCTTATTGTACAATTAATGGTCGCCTTCAAATTCATGGATATCCTGGCTCCAACAGAGTAAGTTGCTAAAAAGAACATTTGCGCGTAAATTAAAGAAGCACACAAGTATACTTCTCTTATTTTAAATAATTCGTATCGCGAATAGATCGCACTATTACTTATTTTACAATCAATTTTATTATACATCTTTATACTAATTGTATAAAAATTATTAGTAAAAATCGCTAAAAAATAACTTGATTTTTCTCTTTGCATAACGATCGATGACGATAAATAAAAATAACAAACTTAATTTTATAAATGCTTTTCAGAGAGCATCAAAGGCTATGCAGTAGACTTCACTGGCTGTGGAAAAGTCTGAGGCAGTTGAGGAGCGAACAACCAGGATTGGCAAGTATTGTTTTTCTCAGTATCGATTTTATTCGATATCGTAAAATAAGAAGAAAGGAGGGAGAATTTTACAAAAAAAAAGAATCTTATTTACGATTTCGATTTTAGCATTGCACCATCGTTTGCCTCGTAGCGTTCGGCCTATGGCTTTTCGGTCATGTCAACCCGTCAACATACTATTCGATATATTGGGGGATCATACTAGGCCCTTTAATTATGCGGTTACCCTTGAAACTTTCCGACAAACTGTCGGAATATTTTAAGTCGCACAGAGGTAAGCGGATTTTCTTGAAAGAATAACGTTTCTCAAATTTCTATAAGTTTTTAAACATTAATTTACATAATAATAAACAATGAATCAAAAAACCAAAGAAATTAATTACAAAATTTAAAAAAATAAATTTTTATTAATAGAGAAGTTTAGAAATTTAATTTTTTTTATTAATAATTTTCTATTAATTAATTTTTCATTTTTTAAAATATTTTGCATGTATCGAGAAAATTTTGTTAAAAAGTTATGAATCTTCATTATAAATGTAGTCAAATTTCCTCTGTATTTTTTAATACAATATTTTGGTATAATATTTATGATGATGTTCGTTATGCTTTCATTTATTATATTGTTTTTTTTTTTTCAGAATGGGAATGCGACAGCGAAATTGGAGACGAATTTTTACCAGTGGTGACAGAAGCGAATCTTCAGGTGCTAAATCGAGTAGGGGACACGGGTGATCATTCGCCGACTCCGACGAGCGTATTGTCAGATACTCAAAATGGTAAACAGTCATAGACTCATTATTTACACAACTTTAGTATAAAATTCAATTCAACTTGTGTTTTGGATATTAAAAAATATACGTATAAAAAGTCTCTTCTAAACTTATAAAGAAATAATCGATTCCGTGTCATATACTTATTGTTTTACTTATCGCTATGATTCAAAATAGAATTAATCAAAATACCTGAAATCAATTTACCTCGACCGTTACATTTCATTGCTTACAGATTCTTTTTATGATGAAGATTTCATTGAGGCTTTCCATGAAAAGATGTTAACTCTGCCCTACTACGGGGAGGGAAGTACCGATGGTGTGGAAATGTCGGAATTGGAGCTCAGCGCTGGCGAGAATGACGCTGAGGGCGAGGACGATATAAAGTTTCAGACGGGCCACTTCGAGAAAAGTTCGTCCTCGTCTTCCGAGGAGGAGGCCTTCGATGCGAAAAAGATAAGCACAGTTAGCAGCGATGAAAGTAATGGTGACAGTGATTTCGAGATAATTGATAAAGAGGAAATAATAAAAATGGAAATGTGATAAAGATTGATCCGTATAAGAAAATAAAATGCTATTTCCGTGTGCATATTAAATAAAAATAAAAATAAAAAAATCCCTAAAGGAGAAAAACCAATCTTTACAATCGGCTGCAAACGTGAAATTAATTTATCGAATGACGATAAATAATAACTTTGCTTTTTTTTCGAATCGCGATTAAGGATATGACGTTAAATCAGATAAGTGAATTTAGTTTTAAGTTACAAATCTCTCGATGTACATTGCACATACAACGAAAGTGTGAAAATCGAGAGAAAAAGAAAGCGGAAATTTATTTATTTAAATAAATACAGTCGAGCCTTCTTATTCTTCGTTTTCTTTCTGCTTCTTCATCACTTCTCTTTTTTGTTCTACTTCACATTTGTGATAAATTATAATTAAATTATAATTAAATTATAATTTTAAATTATAGTTAAATTATAATTAAATTATAATTTTAAATGAAAAAGCAGTTAAAGTACAAAAAATCTAAAATGTGCAATAGCAAAGGTGAGCGAATAAGAAAGATAGAAAGAATAAGAAGGCAGACGTGAAGAATACGAAGACTTGACTGTAGATATGTATGTATGATGCGATACTACAGTATTTAATATCTTGGACGATAAAATAGGCGTATGTACATTTGCAATGTAATAAATATGCACCTGTGTACAAACGTTTTAATCTAAAAAAATCAGAGTTCACGCTTTTTGACTTAATTGCAATAATTAAGTGAGGACGATGCGGCAGTAAGGATGCGAGAGATGAAAACCGATCAATAGAGGCTGCACTCTGAGTAGCGCGAACAAATGTTTTAGATGTAAGAATGTATTATATTGTAACATGTTGTCCGCGAGATGTGTAAAAAAAAAAAAGAAAAAATGCGCAAGAAGATACTGACGAGACGTTCGTCAAGTCTCAAACGCGTTTTTGTAGCCCGTTTATAATTGGTGTCTGTCGTTTTGGTCTTGTCTACGCATCTCTAACTTTGGAAATACACGATACTGAAAGTATATTGTCATTGTGTGTATGCGTATTGAGCTTCTCCCTCGCGTGCAGTCAATTATACATTTTCTTAGTAGTTTTAAAAAACAGAACGACAGGAAAAATCTTCCTATTTCTATATTTGTGAAAACAATAAAAACAATTAGCATTAAAATAGACATTTTAATTTACAAAAATATATTTGATAAAAAATATACTTTAAATATTTATAATTTGATTTCTCTAATATTTATAGAAACTTATAGTCAAAAATTTTTCAAAAAGTCATCGCACTCTTAACTTTGCAAGAGACAACGAGTTTGACATTAATTAAATTACTATTTGCATTTATATTGCACACAGGTGCTCTTCTAAGACTTTTTTTGATTCTACGTTACTTTCAAGTTTATTATCCTTCTCTTGATTGCAAACGTTATGTATATCAACTGGCATTGTATTACTTACATCAATTTGCATTGTATTATTTACATTGACTAGTATTGCACTATTCACATCAACAGGCATCGGATCTTGGAGTGATTCGTCTTCTTTGGATTGCAGGACAGGAACGATTGGTTTAGCATTTTTTCTCTCTGGTAATACCTTTAAAAATGCCTCTTGCCAGGTATTGCCCTCTGTGACTCTTAATAGTATCTCGAAAACTGGACAAGTTCAATCATTGACAATATAAATTGCAGGATATAACTCGCATATATTACTTGAATTTGATTATAAACAATATATCTTTTCATAGGATAAATTTAATTTTATTCAAAATTTACTTGTTAGAAAAGTCAAATAAAAAAAAAATAATGACACTCGTATATAAATGATATACGAATATTACAAATTATAAATGATATTATAGTCGATTTAAAAAAAATTCAATGTCTTAACACTCACCATGGTCAATGGTTAACACCTTCCTCGCCTTCATCTGTAGAAACTTATCCAATGGCAATCGTCCATGTCTGATACCCGCATCTTTCGCTAGCTTGTAGCATATACCCTATATTTCAAACATTCCATATTTTAAACATTCCAGAGATTCGTCAAGAGAGACAATGAGTCATAAATCTCACCTTATGCGCGTTATGATCGACAAGGCCGCCTATAATGTATACCCATTCATGATTGAGACGATCTATCACATTTTCCGACTCGCTCGTAAGATACACGATTTTATCTTTGGGATAAATGTTTATGTATGATTCGGTGTGAAAGTTCACCTGCAAATCATCGTAACAAATTTAAGATTTGTCAAATTGCTTTCATCCATATGTATAAAAAATAATCACATACATCCCAGTGTTCGTATCCATTGTGTTTTTCCATATCAGCTCGTGACCTGCCAGTGAAGCTGGTGAGGGAAAATTGCATCGGTGCTATCGCTCTTCTATTTAAGGTATAGCACCTCAATATCTGCTTCGTTAACTTGGCGATATCTTTGTCGATCATTAATTCATCAAATGACAAGTCGATGGTTACCATCAGCTTGCAGGGACTAATGGCCATGGTGCTTTTCTTTAACAGTTTCCGCGATGGTCCTAGGCTCAAATTATTCGCACGTGCATAAGCACGTTTCTCCCTCGCTTTAGCCCTCTCTCGCAATCTGTATTAATAAATACATTGTTATGATATGTAATATGCAGTTTATTGAAAAAAGATATTCAGTTAAATATTTCAGGTAAAAAAGATATTCAGTTAAATATTTCAGGTAAATATTCACATATAGTCAGGTTCCATAAATATCAATTTTTATGACCTCTACAACATATGTCAAAATCATTGACATTTGTGAAGTCTAATCATATTAAATATTTACACGTTAGTTATGACAAATTTTCCTTTTACAAGAGACAAATATACAATTAGAAATGATTAAGATGAGGAATTTTACGTAAATTTTTCACAATTAACATAAAATTGCAAAAATAGAAAATAAATCGTACAAATATATCCTTTTGAAAAAGATTAATTCTTCGGAGACTTAAAAATATAAAAGAAACGACGACAAATTGTCACAATTTATAAAATTTCGAAACGCGACATTTCTAACCTCTTTTCATCCTTCTGCTCCAGCCACTTTTTCATCTTCTGCATTTTCTTGAATTGACGCTTGCTCATATTCGATGGTAACTCGGGCGATGTATCCGCAACGACAGTCTTGTTCTCCTCCGTACAATACTTGTTATCCATATTTTTGAATAATCGCTAACTCTGACGTGATCACGTACACACATGTGTATAAACATAAATTGGTTAGAATTGTCCGACGCATGCGCGTTTCCAACACAAGATTCAAGCGTCGAGCGTCTGCGCAGAAAACCATTATCGGTATCATTGCACAGACTCAGAACAAGGTCGAATCCAGCTAAAAAAATAGTTGTATATTATTATATATAATTTAATTAATTACAATATTTATCATTAGAAAGATAAAAATTTAGATTGTGAATTAATAGTGACCGAATACCAATCTAAGATTAAAAAAGACATATGCATTTTTTTCAGATATTTCTATTGAAAAAAACGCATCAGATAAAACTTTCCTGTACATTTTAAATGTGCCAAAAGATTTGCTCTTTATTCCACTTACTGCAATAATGTACACTAAAAATGACAGATCTATATTAAAAATGATAGATCTATGTTTAGTAGTTGGAAAGAAAGAGAGGAGAGATGAAAAATGCATCTAGAGAATTTAAAAGAATAAAAATCTAAAAATAATAATACATAAAAATTAATATTAATATTATGAATTTTTTTCATGAGGAATGTGGGGCGCACATTTATGCATTTATTTATTTAGATGAGATTTACTTTAGAGCACATTCAGTATTCAACTTTAATTTTATTTTCTCTTTCTTATGATATATAACATAATTACCTGTAAACGCTATCATTTTTGTGTGCTTACAGTGATACAGAAGCAACATTACAAGTACTATATTTACAGATAACATCTGTATAATAAAAAAAGCACCAAAAATCTAATGATGAAAAAAGGATAAATATTGTAGACCAGCATAAGTATCAACCAATTATTCCATCACTCTGTTTCATTAGAGTTGCAACTTTCTTTTATATCATAAATATTATAAATAAGATAAAGATTTCTATACGTTTCAAATAAATTTATATATTTTATGTATGTAATACTGCGCACACATATTAAAAGGTGATAATATCGCAGTTATAATAAGATACAATCTTGGCAATGTAGTGATTTTTGGATCCTACTTAAAATAATTTAATTTAATTTATTTTTGGGAAATGCGCACAATACTTGAGAACAAATTATTTTTGTGCCATGTATTACCTGTGTAAAATTCCACACACAGTATCATATTGTCTGCGATATATGAAAAGCTTCATCGTTGAAATATGATTGAGATATAAGAAAAGTAATATAGTACTTGTAATGTTAATGTGGCATACATAAATATTTTATATTTTAATTTTATATAATCAAGATGAGATAAGACACTCATGATTACTTTAAAAATGTGTCCACAAATATCATGTAACTTCAATAGCTGCACATTCGTCAAATGAATTCTATTACGTTAAATCACAGCAGCTTGTTTTAATTTAATCTAACCTAACCAATTATATTATATGCTTCTCATTAAAATGTGTAAAACTGTACGTCGCACATTTAATACGATTAATATACTACGTAATAAAATGTAATACACTAATGAAATAATTAAATATTATTTTTGAAAGCATGATAAAATCCAGACAGCATACGCTTGTGTTTACATTCGACATCCAAAGCACTGAGAGGTTAGGTTAGGTTAGATCGAAAAAATTTATCGTTTGACAGTTGGCAGCTATCCCTAGCCCTACGAGATAGGATGTGCAGCACTGCGCGTATACAAAATAAATTTGAAATCGCTCCTAGCATAACCATCTTCACGCGATCGACTTTATTTGAATTGCACCGAATCGAATTATGATACGGCGCCGATTTGTCCGAATGTAATTCGGGACACCGCGATGCTGTATAAGCGTCGAATGAGCACGCAAATATGCACGAATTGTCACGCAAATATGATAAATCAAATCTACTCACCGGCTGTTCCACAGGCCGCTCCTCCTCGGGACAGTTCGCTCGCCTCGGGACGTCCCATTCCGATCTTGATGCACACAAATCCACACGATATCATCAACGCGAACGCGCGACACTTTATTCGGCACTCCCAATACTCGCTCGCATCCGATAATCATCATCAAGGGCGCGAATAATGCGACGCAACTTCGCTCCATCTTCGCGATGACGCCATCACTGAATATCGTCAAAAATCGCTGTCGCGCGTTTCCATCGACACATTATGAAAGTCGCGCGATCATCCTTGGACACTCTCGACGCTCGTTCACTCGCGATATTCATTTAAAAACGGTTAAAAGATGCGAAAAATGCGGACGTACGACGATCCGTGTAACTGCGTATGACTCCGATTCACGCGCCAACATGGCGGCCGTATGACGCGTTTGACGTAGCAGTGACGTCGCAGTGACGTCGCAGTCACGCGCCAACATGGCGGCCGAACCACTGCGCATTCATTTCTGCGCATGGCCATTCCTGCGCGCAACTTTGATTTCTGAATATTGTCTACGGTTTTAATTAATAGCACATAAAGATAAATATATAAAGATGGAATCAATTAATCATATTGGTCATATATGTAGACTTGCCCGAAGAAATAGAGAAAAAATTGAAAGATATTTTTAATTTCTTTTTCTTTTAGTAAAGGATGGAAATGTCTATTCATAGGCTTGTTCTTTTTTTCCTCTTTCGCGCAATTTCGATTCAATATATAACGTAGAAAATTCATAGTATATTATGCTAATGAATTACGAATGATTCGATTGTTTTATCGCGCTTTTCCAAAGTCAAATCTTATAATATTTACTTTTGCATTTTAAAGGACAGAGAGCGAACTAAATAAATAAATAAATAAATAAATAAATAAATAAATAAATGATGTTCAGAAAAAGAAAAAGAAGACTTATAAATAAATAAATATATAAATATATAATAAAGATTGATATTAATATATACATATATATCATACGAACTTGTACGATCTCAAAATCTTTATCTTTTATTCCGTTACTCGAATACTTGTACGTTAACAGATTTAGGTTACACACATTGCATAAAGCTTCGATATTTTGCAATCTTCACCTCATCTCAATTTGGAGAAGCACTGCATTCCTTTCGATAAATGTCCGCACAAAAATACGTCGCGCTTCAAATAAATAAAAGTCACTCGATACTGTGCACCACTCTAATCGTACGAAATATATTCGACGATTTTTTTTGGATCACTGTGTTATCGGAATGTGCGATCAAAACGATTCGAAAACGATTCATATACAGAGTTTGAAGAGATATCCAATGCACGACAAATTATACTTGCGTTGATTAGTATTCATCAATACCGAACTGTTAATCGCGAATACGTACAACACTATCACACATTTTTTTCGCAAAGAACGATATACGAAATGCAATATTTCGCGCCTCGCGTTTTACTCATGCGGCCATCTTTCTTTGCTGTTTAGTATCGCCATCTGCATTCGCGTTAAACGCCAGAATTACGTAGTCAAGATATTTCGACTGCCGGTAAAGTCATCATTTTGTGCGTGTCGGTAAATTGTTAGAATCGCAAGCATGATTTTTTTATTTGTAGTATAATAAAATATGTAATTAAAAATTCATGTAAGAAACGTATTTTTAATCAAATTACATATACTTATTCCGTTACTCTAATACTTGTACGTTAACAGATTTAGGTTACACACATTGCATAAAGCTTCGATATTTTGCAATCTTACCTCAACTCAATTTGGAGAAGCACGTGCATTCCTTTCGATAAATGTCCGCACAAAAATACATCGCATTCATAATTCACTCTTATATTTAAGATCCTCTTAAGTAAGTTGGAAAATACAACTATTTTACTAACTGAACGGAATCTCAAGACGCGATCTAGATTATTTTAAATATAAATAAATAAATAAATATATATATATATATATGTATATACATAAATATATATGTATATGTATATACATAAATGTTTCGTGTCACGATAAATCTTATAAAATCATTGATCTTTAATAATATCTCATCAGTGAAAAAAAATGCTTTCGAATGTTACACTTTATGTAGCAAATTTTTTATATTGTTCTATTACAATTTTCATAACAGCAAAATATTTAATGCTTGATATGCTTTATATGTATATATAATACAATGTGCTAAATTATAAAGTGTAACAATTAAAAAGTATTACTATTATTAGTCGACTTAATTGCAAGCTATTCTTAATTACATGTTTATCCGATGCATCTTCTTCTTCAAATCTTTGCAATGTTGTGATCTGTCGTATTCCCAAGACTATAGGGACTCGTGCTTCTTCCTTCTTATCGTTTTATCATTCTTTTCTCTCTTCCATCTATAGGGACTATAGGGACTCGTGCTTCTTTCTTCTTATCGTTTTATCATTCTTTTCTCTCTTCCATCTTATTCAAAATATATAATAATTATTAACTAAGTATTATAATATATTATAATATAATATAATTATTATATTAATAATTAATATGTATAATATATATTAATATATAATATATATTATAATGTATAATATAAATTAATATATAATATATATTAATATATATAATTAATTAATAATTATTAATATAATAATTATAATTACGGTATCTCTCTTAGTCTGACTCTTTCTCTTTGACCTATCCGGCATGGGTGACCCTACCAGTAATTAAGGCCGGTGTTTACACAGTCTTATATTTAAAATCGTTTTAAGTAAAATTTAGAAAATGTTTGTTATTTCATTGAGATTGAACAGAATTTTAAGATGCGATCTAAGATTATATTTAAGATGATTAAATATAAAAACAAATTGTATGAATACCGACCTACGTTACCGCCGGCATAGCTCTCCGGATCATTAGAGTACTCAAACCTCCTCACCCGGCAAATGCCTTCGTTAAGGTGGAGATACCATCGAAGAGGTACAATTTTTTTATTTTATTTTCTTTTAATATAATATAGGTTTTTCAAATTTTCCAAATAGAAAATATAATACAAAGAATGTATAAAATATACATATATTATATATATATTATATAATTATAAAATATTATAATGCATAATTACATAGCTTAGAGTCATATAAAAATATATTACAAAATATATATTATAATTATAGTACAATTTATAAATTGGTATCAACATCAAATAAATATGTATTCGAATTTATTCAAATATTTTCAATAATACGGATAATGATGTTGAGAGTACACACACATTCTTGGACTTACAATAATACTATATATATAGAAAGAAAAAAAAGGAAAGTTCGGAGAATAAAATAATTTTTCGAAAAATGAAGATATATTTTCCATTTCTCGACATTTATTCAAGATTTATTTTCTATTGTTACAAATATCTTTTACACATAATTTTGTTATCATTTTCATAATAGTATAACTTAATATATAATATTTTATTTTAACTCTAAATACAATAGAGTTATAAAGTATAAATTAGAAAATTAATTTAATATATAATAATACAATCAAATTGAAAATATATAATGTATAACACTAACAATAATAAAATATATATACATAATACACACATATATATATATATATATATATATATATAATACATAAAATTGTTAATACATAAGATAATACATAAAATTTTTCGTTGAAAATATATAGTGTAATACATAACAATAAAATACATATATATTATATATAATACATAAAAAATTGTTATGTAGAATATATACATAGATTACTTTACTATATTACACGAAAATATCCGCAATACGTACAACGTAAAATTAATTAGAAATTTTTAGAAAATTTTTAGATTAGCGTAGCTG